AAGCTTAATATTTACTAAACATTTCTTGTTGATATCGTTTTTTGTTATTGATTTTAGATTTTTTTTTTAATTTCAACCCCCCCTTAACCCGCTTCATTTTTAATTTTTTTTTTAAATTAATGGTCTTTGTCCCCTTATAGAGCTTGATTTTTATTAAATATTTCATGTTGATATCGCTTTAGGTTTTTGATTTCTATTTTTTTTTCATTTCAACCCTTCTTTAGCTTTAGCCCCCATTTTTAATGTTTTTTTTTTCAAAATCAAAGGACTTCATCTTCTTATAGAGCTTGATTTTTACTAAACATTTTATGTTGATATCGCTTTTTGATTTATGATTTTTTTTTCAACCCTCCTTAACCCGCTCATTTTTAATTAAATTTAATCCCCCATTTTTAATCAGATTTTTTAAAAATCAAAGGGCTTTTTCTCCTTATAGAGCTTGATTTTTGCTAAAAATATTCAGTTGATATCTTGTTTCGTTTTTGAATTTGATTTTTTTTAATATTTCAACCCCCCACTTTAATTCAAATTTTTCTCAGAATCAATAGGCTTCATCTTCTTATAAAGCTTAATATTTACTAAACATTTCTTGTTGATATCGTTTTTTGTTATTGATTTTAGATTTTTTTTAATTTCGACGCCCCTTAACCCGCTTCATTTTTAATTATTTTTTTAAATTAATGGACTTTGTCCCCTTATAGAGCTTGATTTTTGCTAAACATTTCTAGTTGATATCATTTTTCGTTTTTGAGTTAGGATTTTTTTAAATATTTCAACCCCCCTTAAACACACCACTTTTGTTCAGATTTTTTTCAAAATCAATAGGCTTCGTCCCCTTATAGATCTTGATTTTTCTTAAATTTTCATGTTGATATAATTTTTCATTTTTGACTTATCGTACGAACAAAAAACGTGACATCTGACGGACGGACAAAGTAAACTTCTAATACTCTTCACAGACTAATGTGTGAATGGTATATATAATAAGCTACTTATAATAAAAATTCCAATCCATTATTTTTTTGCTTTGAGTATGCGATTAGTTTTTATAAATCAAAAGGCAAATAAAAATATATATTTTAAATGTACCCGTATTTAGAAATGATTAGTGTTATATACCTGTAGTAAAATTGGTTAGAAACCTAAACCCCTTGAATACATTTAGGCTGCACGCAGCGCATTTAATATATATGCATCATCATTATATTCCCTAAAACTCAAGTGACAGAAACTTCATATATATGTCAGTTTGAAACTGAAATTGATCCATACAATTTTGTTTATATTTCTATTTTTGAATCTTTTGAAAGTATTAAACATAAATCCTGGATTTGTGAAAGCAGATTCAGCTAATTTAAAAACATCTACAAAAGTCAAATAAGATAAGACAACTAGAACAAATATTCAAACTACTGAAACTGTCTTGGCAATGTTATAACAATAAGTGTAGGGTACTTTTTCGCGGGAATATATTCAATAATGGATTTTTCATCACAATTTTCTTATAAATGCCTAATTAAATGGATGAATTAATGTATTGTATAAGTAAATACCATTATTGATTGTTTCTACGTAATTGGGATTTAACATTCCAATGCTTTGTTATAGTCAGTTAGCTTGAATTAGTTAATTTTTAAAATTATAACTACTGTGGCCAGTTTTTTGAGATAGATATGGCGCTCACTTAAAAAACATCTACAAGTAGTGGAATAGAATATATATTTTTTATCTCTCTCTCTCTCTCTATTCAGCAGCATCGTTTATCTGTACCGTTCTCCTGGAGTCAGTATTGGAAAGTTAACTTACTTTTTAACATTAACACACACTTATTGTAATGCAAATAAAATTATTGTGTAAAACTATACGTAAACGTATTATCCTTACTATATGGTATAAAACTAAGACATAATATAATCTATGTGGTTTGGCGAATGAACTCAGTTCCCGCAGTCAAAAAATTCAAATTAAAAAAAAAAACTACTTTAAAAACTAGCTAGGGATTTAAGTGCATGGGCACAGTTTATAGCCAAAGAATCAGTTCGCGTCGGCACTTTTGATCTCAATGTTCCAGTTTATACACTGCGCAACTCGGATTTGTATCCCTGGCGCATACAGAATCAAATCATAACCAATACAATATATGACAACCGCCTACTATATTCAAACAGCAGTCTTCTGCGCATCCTAAATTTATATCCCTGGAGTGGATGTTATTTTGGAACATTCAACTGGTCCAAGTGAGCTAACTGATTCTTTAGCAATAAACTGTGGCATGGGCATGGATGGAAAGCCAGTTTGCATAAGAAAAAAATAGGGTTCTTTAATGTTTACACAATATCATTTTAATATAATTTAATAAATGTTATCTATATTGTTACTATTGTGACCAGTATGAGCAACTTACCAGAAAAGGTAACATACTTGTATTTTTCATTTTAATAAATGGCGGGAAGAAATAAATGTGTAAAAACTTTGAATTTGAGAAAATTGAATTTTTAACTTTCGAGCACTGTCTCATGGAAAGTATAAATATAATCTTAACTTAGTATGTTTAAGTAATTAACAACAAGAGTAGTGGTTCAAAAAAAAAAAAAAATTGCGCCATGTATCTCGATTTTCGTAAATTTTGCACCCTCATCGGTTTTCCCGCCAGCTCCTCATTTATTTTATTTAGTGAATTCAAATTGTGTACTCTTAATAATATATTTATTAACAAAATTAAATCATCGGATGGGTAGTATAGGTTAAAGATAAATAGTGATAAACGTTTTGTTATGTCGTTCTTTTTTAATTACTTCATAAATAAATATATCGATCCAACCGAAGTTGCGAAAGATTTCGAAATATTCTTTGTTTCTAAATTAACATGTGACAATCAGCAATTTATCTAGTTAATTGGTACTTGGGTGGGTGGCCAGTAAGGAAACGCCTCACGTATACTTTTTCACAAGTATAAAAAAGTCGCCATATACAGGGTGTTTCCGAACTTGGTGTCCAAATTTGTAGGGGTGGTAGTTCGCATAATTTGAGACCGATTCGCATATTTCATTTTTCCAAAATATTTAAAATAAAAATAATTAAAAATTAATTAAAAATGTTAAACAGGTACGGTCCTGCACAGCGATGGGATCAATTCTCTGAACGCGAGGTAAACAACCCAACAAAGCAATACGCACTAGAAAAACAATCGGCTACGTCTTTTGATACCGGCCGGGGACTATTGCGCTACGCGTTCAGGGTAGGACCCGCTTTTTGATTTTTTTATAATGGCTCTATTTTGTTTATTATAATTTTTTTAGAAAAATGAAATCCGCCAATCGCTCTCAAATTATGCGAACTACCACCCCTACAAATTTGGACGCCAAGTTCGGAAACACCCTGTATATAGGGGGTGTCGGCAATATTTCTGGAGAGGATGTAGCCGTACCTACGTTGCTAAAAAAAGCTTTATTATTTTATATTAAGTAATTTTTGGAGATATATTACAGCAACACGCTTTTAGAGCATATCAAGCTAAAAAGTTAAACATAATTTTTTTTAACACGCTTTTATTCAAATAAGCTTAAAACAATAATAAATGGAAAATACTAGTATTATTGTGAAAAAGCGTGGGGCGCTTTGTTTATATTTCTCGTGATTAATAATAGGGCATATTTTTTTATGGCTATTGGTCGTAACTCCAACAAACTTGTAAAAGAACATCTTTAATATCGAACAACATAAACTGCAATGTACATAGTTCCCAGAATGATCAAAGTACAACAGAAAATCAGAGGAAACAAACCAACTTACTTTAAATTTTATCAGTAATAAAGTGTTTCATTCCACGAAAAATCTTATTAAGGGCCTCCTGGATATTATTGTAAATTTGAGATACGACCAATAGCCAAAACAACGACGATGTTTTTATGAACAATTCATATATTTCAGGTATTTAACTATTAAGGTATAGTATTTTCTTAATAAATTTCTAAAAAAATTTTTTTAAATTAAATCCTTCTAGATTAACACACGGCTTACACTGTGCGTCGGTGATTAAAACTTCGTAATTAAAAGTAAATAAGCCGATAATAAATAAAATAAAGAAGTTACTTGAGCATGTTTTCGGATTTTAGATTTCTATCAATAATTGGCAAAGGTCTTTCACCTTTTACTCTAAAAATGGGTCCTATTTGTTCTGTTAAAAATATTTACTGCTCTTACTTCCTGTATTCTATCCATTCTTCACGTTAAATTTCTTGAAACATATACAAAATATTTTACTTTATTTAAATTGCTCTTTAATTGCCCAGAACTTAGTTGTATATTAAGATTAAACCAAGCACAACATTATTTTTCTAGAAAATTTCTACTCAACAAATGATCGTTACTTCTAAGAAAACTTTTTTGTCGTATTCTTAGGACTTGAAAAAGTCACTAACGAATATCTATATTTTGGTTCATAGACAGACAATCTTATTTTTATATTTTTTTATTATTTTACATTTTTAAGGATTATTTTTGTGTTATTGTTAGTTATTGCATGTTACGTATTCGGCATAATAATAAAAGAATTGCTCATTCAGATTATGTGATATTAATATTTTTAATGTAATTTTCCAAATATAAATGTTAAGATAATTATTAGTTGTTTTATTTCGGATTTAAAGCAGTTTATTAACCAAGTTGAGAGGAGCATGAACATTGCTGTGGAATGAAAAAGGATACCAACCACGTATTAGCGGTTTCGGCAAGAATACAGTGTACCTATAATTTTTTTTATAATTGCAAGGTTACCTCGAAAGCAGTCTTAGCTAAAGCAGATAACTATTTCCAAGATACTATGTATAATGGCCGAAATCGCAAATATACTTTCATTACTTATTTTTACATTCGTGTTTCCATGCTCTTTTAAACTCAGCGGCCCATACTGATGAAAACCAACAGTTTGGGAGTTTTTTTGAGATAATTATCCACTATTCCTATCAGTTTGTTAAAATTAAACTTTTTGATTTTTTTAGATTCTGATTCATCAATTTCCGAGGAGTATGATGATACCTCCTTGGAAAATAGACCCTGGGGAGGTTTTAAAGATGAAGACATGGTAGAAACACTCAATACGTAGTTTTAAACTTTTTAGAATAATAGATAGCTTTAATAATCTCTTTTAAAGTGTTTTCCATAAGAATCCAATTGTTAACATTTCTTTCAAAAGTACATTTCACATTTTTAAAAAATAATTCTGTTATATTGGATACTGCCATCTGTTCTAGTTTAAAAATTTTGAAAAATGTTACTATTATCCACTGATATAGAGTGAAATATCATAGGTAGGATTTTAGAATAGTTTCTTTTTGTTCATATTGATCTTCCACAGCACTGATTTAGAATTACTTTATATGATATTGATTAATAATTTAAGCATTTAGGACATTAATATTTATTTATAAGGATTTTATTTGACTGTACCAAATAAGTAAATGTGATATACCTATAGATACCTACCTGCTGTTTATTACCACTGAAAAAATACGTTTTTATTACATTTGTTTTATAATAAATAACATTTTTTGCTTATATTTATTTATTTATTTGTAAATTTTATTATATCTGAAAAAATCTTAACGGATCCAAATGCAAGCAAAATACAATGTATTAATGATAACGTAAGTTGTGTGTCCAAACAAAGTTTATTGACTAAATATGGAGTGATCCATGGAAAAAATCACGAATATCTGAACATACAATTGTTCTTTTTTAATGTCAAATTGGATTTAGTTCAGAAGTGTTCGTACTTATCACGAACGTGACTCGTATTTCTGTTAGACATGACTATGAAGACTCTAGAGAGGAGGCGAATCGGCAATGGTCAAATTTTCGTCCTTCTTTTTATAAAGTTCGCGAAATTGACTATAGTTCGCATGTCAAATAGCAGCGATGACAATTTTTTATGTAAGTCAATGTAAAATGAAGTGATTTTTTAAAACATTGGTGAACAGAATCAAAATAATGTGAAAAAAGTACCTGAATACAAGTAACATGACAAAAAACATCAAATCAAGATTTACGTCGTTCCAGATTGTAAAACATGATACAAATCACATGTAAAACTAAAGAAAACACAAGGAGAAATCAATTCATTGTCTTTTTAAAGCTTCTAATGTAAGTAAAATAATGTATTTATATCTAAATATAATATTTATTGTAAACTAGTCGCAATATGTATGTTACGGAGTGTAGTTTATTTTATTACAAGTTACTATAATATAAAATTTTACAGTCATAGATCCTGACTTACAAACAACAATAATTATACATTAAATTGACTTACAAACAAGAATAATTATACATTAAATTTAACTTGCTAGAAAAGAACATTTATTTTTTAGAGTTTTAATGTTAGATAAAGAGTTGCTACTGTTATTTTTTTGTTGAACCCCAATTGTGTCATTTTAAATGTTTCTTATAGGATACTAAACGCTTAGGACAGTGGCAGCATATATATATATATATATATATATATATATATATATATATATATATATATATATATATATATATATATATATATATATATACTCGACCAGCGTATCATGTGACATCCAGCAAAAATTTTGACTTTCTGACATCCACCCTTTAGAAAGACTTTAGGAAAAAAAGAAAAATATGACTTCTTTTAATTAAAAAAATATTATCAATGATCGAAAAATATCACAACCATACACATTTTAAAAAAATAAAACGTCCTATCGTTGTGAGATCCAAAGTATACACGGTATATATTTTTATTAACAACACTTTGTGACATCCAGAAAAACCTTGCATCTTGTGACATCCAGTTGTTACGTCACAGTATACCATTTCTACAGAAAAACTGCCATTCTTGTAACATCCAGTAAGTATATAAATACATTTTTTAAATTAAGCATCTTATTACATCCTAAACATTTAACACGTTCAGCGCCAAAGCCCACCCTCAAATTCTACGATTTTTTATTGTTTTTTTATTTCAATGTAATTTCTTAAGTTATTTTTATTCCATTTTCAAATGATTTTCTTTTTAGTTTTTGATTGTGTATATTTTTAGATACACTGGCCCAAAAAAAATAGTTTTCGATCGAAGTAACTTCTTAATATTTTTTTGGTATGTGGGAATTTATTATAGAGATTAGTTACAGGTTCTCCCTTTCCCAACAGTTTCGGACTCCCGAATCTTTGATGCAAGTTCGGCTTGCCCTTTACCCACTAAAAGCACCCCCTAAGCAGGCTATCGCCGGCCTCTTGGTAATCTTTTACTTGTCTGTTGGGACTACTTTATTAATTTTTTTGTGTATCGATCGCCCTTGGATGGTTGATTCTCCGGTCTCAAGTGCATTAACACGACCAGTTGGCGAACCTAGTGCACTGAACCTAACCTAACCTTACCTGAGAAGCACACAAAATATAAATCCAGCGGTGTTTATTATTTTTGCCCACCGACTATTTTACTATAAACATTTTTAACTTTAAATGGTTATTTTTGAGTTACAGAAAAAAGTACATTTGTAAATCAGTTAAGTTCGTTTTCATATTTAAAGAGATCAGAAAAAACTAAAATTAGTCATAATCTTCATGTTTTTGTGCAGATGATTTTACTGCTAAATTGTTATTGTCGAGTATTTTGGAGATATAAATGAAACTAAAGGGGTTTTAAGTAACTTCAATACGTTATAATGAGGATAATTTAATTCCAACTGAATTTTTAAAAGCTATATGTTTTGTTGGTACTTTTATATAATTGTGCCTACGTACCTACTAAAAGCAATGCTTTGAATCAATTTTTCCTAGAGTCTAGCGATTATGATGTTGGTACGGCATGCAGTGATTAATTAAAAAGTAGATTATGATATTTGGTACTAAATACCGACTTGTAAGTACAAACATAATATGTAACTTTTAAAAATCTGCTTAGTTTAAAAATAATATAAAAACAGTCAATTTTAGTACTAAAATCATCTACTCAAAAATTAAAAGCATACACTTAATTAATTTTTTTTCTACACCCACATAGATATTAGCTTATCTACACACAGATTACAAAACGAAAAAGTATGCTATTGCCTTCAACTGAACGAATATATTTCATATCCATTATAGGTAGTGAGAACACTGGAAAAAGAAATCCACCAATCACCGTCCATATTTTAATCAACCAACTGCTATTATTTTTAAAAATTTAAATAAGTGACAATTCTGTCGATCTTAGTCAGTATATTTTTTGGGTATTGAGATTAAACACATTAAAATGAGTTATTCTTGTGTAGAATCGATACATAATAGAATTTATATTTTTGTTTCGTCTATAATTATAAATAATTTGTTAATTTAAATAAAACTATATGAAGTCAATTTAATTACCAGTATTAAAGCAACAAAAATAAACGAGTAGATGGTCCTGTGGTTCTTGCCTTCCATTCAAAAGATTTGAGTTTAAATCTCAGATGGAGAAAAAGGAAATTAATTTTCTTTTTTTGTTTTATTTTGTTTTATTTTATGAATTAGTGAAAGTCATAAATTATTTTTAATTTAATTATTTTATCTTAATAACCTAAAATATTTTTTAAAATTTGTAGATTTTCGTTAGAGTGTCGTAGAAAAAATATAATGTACAACTCGAGCGATATGGATATTATATCCACTCTTGTTGCAGAAACTACTATTGTGCTCTTTCCAAATATTTAACGACTGGTAGTGTGTTCTTATAATAGTCCAAGAGCCAGTGACACACATTTCATTAAGTGTTTGATGCACTTTAAAATTTTGTAATTTTAAATCATTTGGATGGAAAAGCAGATATACCTGTGTTGACTTGACCTACCCCGGGACACCAGGTACTGCGCATAATAGAAAGGGGTCGTAAAATATGACCCAAAAAAAGTGTTTGATTCACGCTCAAATTTTAATAGCGCCTTAATTAAATATAAACAAAATTAATTCCAAAAAGGCAGACACTTTTTCCGGGGTTTAATTGCCGGTCAACATAAAAATAAGTCTTATCGCTGATCACACTACAGCTGTATCGGCCGTTCATACAAGGGAAGTGCAACCAACTTGACAAAATAAAATTGACACTAATGACATAAGAAATCGGGTCACATAAAGAGGCTGTTTTTTAGTTTGCTTTATGGTATTTCCTATCTACTTTCATGCCATTTGCATACCTTGTTGTACCCGTAACGTGAAAAAGACTTTTTAGTTTAGGTTATTTTACATTTAAAGGTTGAAAACATTTGTCACTATCAGCTGTGGATAATATCAAAACATAGGCGTAGCAGTGCATTTTATTTTTTGTTGTTAATAGTCTATTTGTGTTTCTCACGCTTTATGAAACATTTTTTTTATTTGGTTTTATTTATTTATGTCGATTGCAAAATGCTGCTGCTACGAATACAAGTTCTATACAATATACAATTAACATACAATACTAGTTTCATTATGCCCATCTAGGGTTACGCCTGTGTTCTACGAACATAATTGACAGCTGACGATGACAAAATGTTTCATCTTTTAAATGTAAAATAACCTAAACCAAAAAGTCTTTTTCACGTTACGGGTACAACAAGGTATGCAAATGGCATGAAAGTAGATAGGAAATACCATAAAGCAAACTAAAAAACAGCCTCTTTATGTGACCCGATTTCTTATGTCATTAGTGTCAATTTTATTTTGTCAAGTTGGTTGCACTTCCCTTGTATGAACGGCCGATACAGCTGTAGGGTGATCAGCGATAAGACTTATTTTTATGTTGGCCGGCAATTAAACCCCGGAAAAAGTGTCTGCCTTTTTGGAATTAATTTTTTTTATATTTAATTAAGACTATTAAAATTTGAGCGTAAATCAAACACTTTTTTTGGGTCATATTTTACGACCCCTTTCTATTATGCGCAGTACCTGGTGTCCCGGGGTGGGTCAAGCCAACACAGGTATATCTGCTTTTCCATCCAAATGATTTCAAATTACAAAATTTCAAAGTGCATCAAACACTTAATGAAATGTGTGTTACTGGCTCTCCGGCTATAAGGATAAACAAATTAATACATTTTTTTGAAAAAATAGAACTGCATTTTGTTTCTTATTAATACCCAATAAATTAGGGTAAGTTGTAGAAAATACATGTGCCAAATTTCAATAACATATAAGGGTGGTTGGTAAGAAAAACAAGAAAAAAATTGAAAAAGTTACTACCTGTACTTCAGTCTTAATGGCGAAAGAATCATTAAGTAAGGTTGTTTAGAATCATATCAGTAGTCCAAAAAAATTAAGTAGTAAAAAAAGAGTGTGTGTTATCGAAGATTAATTAGATTAATTCACTCTAAAATAAAAAAAAGACTTAAATAAAATCTGCGTACACTAATATTTATCGCACAGCTACATAAACATACTATTAAGGTGTCAGGACATTAAAATTTGTCGTTTTTATGAATTATCTCATCATATTTTTCTTATCATTACGAACGAAGGGTTAGTTATTTATTTTTATTTAGCTTATTAATTTATTTTAATTGGTTATTTAAATTTTTTTAAATTTATTTAATTTTTTTTTATATATTGATTTAAATTTATTTTAATTTACTTTAATTTATTTTAATTTATTTTAATTTATTTTAATTTATTTTAATTTATTTTAATTTATTTTAATTTATTTTAATTTATTTTAATTTATTTTAATTTATTTTAATTTATTTTAATTTATTTTAATTTATTTTAATTTATTTTAATTTATTTTAATTTATTTTAATTTATTTTAATTTATTTTAATTTATTTTAATTTATTTTAATTTATTTTAATTTATTTTAATTTATTTTAATTTATTTTAATTTATTTTAATTTATTTTAATTTATTTTAATTTATTTTAATTTATTTTAATTTATTTTAATTTATTTTAATTTATTTTAATTTATTTTAATTTATTTTAATTTATTTTAATTTATTTTAATTTATTTTAATTTATTTTAATTTATTTTAATTTATTTTAATTTATTTTAATTTATTTTAATTTATTTTAATTTATTTTAATTTATTTTAATTTATTTTAATTTATTTTAATTTATTTTAATTTATTTTAATTTATTTTAATTTATTTTAATTTATTTTAATTTATTTTAATTTATTTTAATTTATTTTAATTTAAATTTATTTTAATGTATTTTAATTTATTTTAATTTATTTTAATTTATTTTAATTTATTTTAATTTATTTTAATTTATTTTAATTTATTTTAATTTATTTTAATTTATTTTAATTTATTTTAATTTATTTTAATTTATTTTAATTTATTTTAATTTATTTTAATTTATTTTAATTTATTTTAATTTATTTTAATTTATTTTAATTTATTTTAATTTATTTTAATTTATTTTAATTTATTTTAATTTATTTTAATTTATTTTAATTTATTTTAATTTATTTTAATATATTTTAATTTATTTTAATTTATTTTAATTTATTTTAATTTATTTTAATTTATTTTAATTTATTTTAATTTATTTTAATTTATTTTAATTTATTTTAATTTATTTTAATTTATTTTAATTTATTTTAATTTATTTTAATTTATTTTAATTTATTTTAATTTATTTTAATTTATTTTAATTTATTTTAATTTATTTTAATTTATTTTAATTTATTTTAATTTATTTTAATTTATTTTAATTTATTTTAATTTATTTTAATATATTTTAATTTAATTTCGTTTGATTTTTTTTTAATATAAATTACAGTCATCGTTCACTCACCCATTGTTGATACACCTTGTATCAATATAGATGCATATACTATATATTTATTAAATAGTCACAGAGAGTGAATGCATTTAAGAAACTTGTTGGCTTCATGCGAAACCCAAGAAAAAATTTTGGCAGCTTATGTGTTAACATAAAATAGATCTTAAAATGAAAATCCAAATATATCTAAAATAAATTTTTTGGATGTCACATAACCTAGTGTGTAAAGTTCTAATATACTCTAAGGTGGATGTCAGATAGTCGGGTGAGTAAGTTTTAATATACTGAATGTTGGATGTCAGACAGTCGAGTGAGTAAATTCTAATATACTTAATGGTGGATGTTAGACAGTCGATGGACTGAAATATTTAATATACAAAATATACAAAACCAACTGACGCGAGCGCCACCTTCACATCTATACACTGGAACTAAATTTATACACAAAATTGAAAATCAAGCATTATGACATCCAGCTGAAATTTGTTTGGCGCTCTTTTAAATCTCTTTTATGATGTTTGAACCCCAAAAACGTTGTGACATCCGAATTTGGATGTCACATCGCAAACGGATGTCATAAAGATACCAACATTTTTGCGACATGATGTCACAACGCCGGCAGGACGAATCTATATATATATATATATATATATATATATATATATATCGTTCCTAGTGCCGATAAATCACTTTCTAGAGATGATGCTGTTCTATACTGTTTAGAAGATATCAAATATTATGAGCCTATTTTTACTGATGGTTAACAAAATAAAAAAGAGAAAGCTTAAATTAAAGGATGATGTAATGCCATGTACATTCCCAAATCTCCCTTTATACTCTTGTATTACAACAATAAAAATCTGATGTGTCCAACACATGACTTTCCTATCTAGTTATTATAGGCTTTTTCCGGTTATTTTGTAGAACCTATATAAATATTTAGAGGATAAACTAAATATATACATTTTCCACATATATCTACCTCGAAACATTTTTCTATTCATTGAAAACGAAAATACTGAAAAATTTAAATTTAGCACTTTTCCTCCAATTTTTCTATTACGGTGGATTTTAGAAAAATCGTGTATAAACAAAAATTATAGAGATCGATATCGCAAACAACTTTTAGTTTAACAATTTTCTTAAAAATCAGAATTTTGCACATTTGTCAAATTTCTCGAATACGGACCATTTCAGGAAAATTTGATATAAAGCAAAAATAATTATAGATAGTCATATTAGAAGTAACTTTTATTTGAACAATTTTCTTCCCCAAACTTAAATGACATATATATTCCATAAAACATAAATAAGAGATATAAAACATAAAAACGGCCTCCCATAAAGTACCTCCCCAAATGTTCCGAAATTGTCCAAAATCTAATCATTTCACGTCACGCCGCAATAAAACTTAAGTTTAAAATTTAATGTTTTTTCCTTTATCCGTTTTTGAGTTTTCTTTAAAATTCGAAATTTACACAATTTCTCAAATATCTCGAATACGGTCCATTTTAGAGAAATTATGTATAGGATAAAAATTATAGAGAATTATATTACAAACAAGTTTTATTTGAATAATTTTCACAAAAATTTGATTTTTTAACATTTTGTCAAATTTCTCGAATACGGACCATTTTAGGAAAATTTTGTATAGAACAAAAATTATAGATAATAATAGAAGTAACTTTTATTTGAAGAATTTTCTTCTCCAAACGTAAATAACAAATATTCCATAAAATACAAAAATGACCACCTATAAAGTACCCCCCCCCCCCCAGATGTTCCGACTCTGTCCAAAATCTAATCAGTTCATTGAAGGCCGGTATAAAGCTCAAGTTTAAAATTTGGTGGTTTTCTTTGTATCGGTTCATGAGTTATGGTGGATATAGACACACACACAGACATCGCGAAAATAGTCAAAACAGATTCAGGGGACTCCAAAACGTAAAAATCCGTCGAAAAATTATGATTCCTATACTTTCCTTATCTGTATACAGATAGGAAAGTAAACAATGAATTAAATATCTCCAATAAGGTTCATTTTAGGGACAACATGTATGTAAAAAAAATGATAAATAATGAGGTCACAAAAATCAATGCGAAGAATTTTCTTCTAGAATCATAAATAACAGAAGTATAGAAAAGCAACCCCCTATAAAGTACCCTCCAGTTGTTCCGACTATGTCCAAAATCTAATCAGCTCTTCAGGGGCCCCTGAAAACCTATGTTCCAACTTCCATTGAAATCGGCATGATAGTTTGGGCTGTATGGTGCTAACAAAAAACGTCACATACGTACCTCCGGCATAGAAATAGTAACCTCCGGACATTTTTTAAAAACATGTTTTTTGGATTCCCTAGGACATCAAAACGTTAAGATCTGGTATTATCGCAAATTTGAATTTATGAACGATTGCAATAAACTCCCCATTTTTATGGGTTATGTTGGGAACGGGGTTCCCTTCTGTCGCTAATGCAGCAAGGAGATGCCTCAAAGCCAAATTATTGGTCCCACGAAACTGTTGACAATCCAGGTAAGTATCTATTAATTGTTTGTATTTCTCCCTTTCGTTGTGTTATAGAACTTAAATCAAACAACGCAATTAACAAGAAAATATTTAATCATAGTTCAAATTCCGCAAATACATGCGTTAAAATCTTAAACATTTACAAAAAAATAACGTAAGGCATAGATTCTCGAAAAGTTTAACGCATAGCTTGATATTATTTTGACCTATTCGTACGTTTATTTACAAAGCAAAACCGACAAGTTTTTCACTGTGTGGATATTCGAATTAAAGACAAAGATTTGGATAGAAATTGAGCGATTTTTTAAATATTGTGCATGCAATGCATAAGTATGGAAGAATTAACCACCTCCACCTCCTAATTCGTCTTCGTACTGTTTTCGGAAGCAGTCACCAACCGGGAAGAAGTCCCAGCATCGTTGCGTGTACATATTCCAGACGTACGTTTCTTGACCGGTATATTCTGTGTCCGGTTTGTTGATCAAGTGCATAAGGAAGAACCTGTAAAGGAATTTGGTAAGTTACTTTCATATAAATTCATTAATTTACTATTAAAACTGTTCAATAATAAATGTATTACTTAACAGTTTTTGACCAATCAGAAAAGAGTAACACAATAAAGTTATTATGTAGTCATCAGATTAAAGAAAACATTCAGAAACTCGCGCGACATTTGAAATAGCTTTCTATTAAATTGAAATTGTTCACAATTTACCATAAATAATTAAAAAGGAGAGTTTTGATGAAAACGTGAAATAAACAATATTCGTCCTCCATCTGACTGCAAAAAGTGACGTGTCGTTTTTTACTTACTATTTGTAGTTGAGTACAAGGGATGGGGGGCGAATTACATGAACAATATCTCGGAGGTGGGAGCTGTCGTGCAACCTATAAAATTCAAAGTAAAGTTCCTTATTGATGAATTTTTCGTTTTTTACTGGCAATAAAATAATATGTTTCTAGATGTCTATAACAATAAAAACACCTTTGCAAGCATTTTCTGTGGTCCGGGTTTGTTACTTCCGGGATAGGGATTTCGGCTACGTGACCGAATATTTGAATTTTTCAACGAAGTTCGGAATATATCTAGCATAAACGCGTTTCTGCTGAATCTAAGATAGTATTGCAAGCAATTTTTTGTGTTGGCGAAAAATATCTTAAATTCAGAAAAAACGCGTTTAAGCTACATCCAGAATTTTGTTTAAAAACAAATATCTGGTATATCTGGTCACGTAGCCCTACACCGGAAGTAGCAAAACCGGACGACAGAAAATGCTTGCAGAGGAATTTTTGTTGTTATAGACGTCTAGAAGCTCATTATTTCAGTACCAGCAAAAAATTAAAAAAATCCATCGATAAGTAACTTTAAATTTGACAGATTTCACGACAGCTCCCACCACCGAGATGTAGCACATGTAGTTCATCCCCTCCCCTGTACCCAACTCCAAAGGTTTCTTCCAACATAAACCAAATCAGTTTACGTCTAGTGTCGGGATTCTGTGTAGTCTAGAATTCGTGTTCCAACAAACTTCAGACTCAAAACTATACAAAACCATAGTGTTCCAACACAACCAAAACTAATCACAAACCGATGTGTGTACTGTCAAATCAGTTTTTGACTCTGAAGAGGAAGGAATTGTCAAGATGAAAATTTCGTGATTGTAATAAATTATATCATTTGGATCCTATCGTCTCTGGCAGCTGTGATTAGTATTTGTCAGTCGAGTCATAGTTTTTGTTCATTGTCATTTATTTTGTTTTGTTGAATTTATTAAAAATTTGTTCCAATATACCTAACCCAGTACCAATCCCCGACAGGTTGTCCATTACTAGTTGCATTGATTCGGGTTTCTTTAAAATTTGATGCAAACCGTTCGAGAACCAGTGGAACAGTAGAATTCAGAATTATTCGTCGCGTACAACTATTAAACTGTCCACTGGTCAACTAGTCCTCTGACAGTTCTTAACGTATTTTTGAAAACCCGAACAGATGTCAACAATAAGTCGTGGACTGGTTTATTGTTCCAAGATCGTTATTGGAACAAACCATCTCTATCTGTAACGTGTGAAGGGTGGGCTACCCGGCACTTAGGCCTGACTAGGCCCATTGTGCATCCTCCCAAGGTGATAGGCACCTCCTAGCTCGTGAGCCAGCCTACAGATTTAATGTAGTTGACAACGTCGCCAAGAGCTGCTTCTCTTATAGCGGCCGGTGTTAGCCGATACTCGCCGAACATAAATCTTCTAATAAATGAGTGTTAGAGTGCGGATTCTGACAACCCCGTACTTGGCAATGGACCAATCAGAATGACTGTGACCAAGCGCAGATTCTGTCTAGTCATAGTCAAGAATTTGTTTGCTATAGTGTTGTCACAGGATAACTTAGAAGCTCCCTGGCAACTTTGTAGTTTCTTGTTTCATCCCATCTTTCCTTGAATTTCACAAGGGAATGTTCTGTCAAGCCCGATTTGGTCAGGCCAATAGAAGAGCCATGTCCAAAAAATATTTGGTTGGCTACTTTCTTGGCCAGTGAATTAGCAAGACGGTTACCTTTCGATGTGGCGTGACCTTTTATGCATCATAAGGTGACCACATTGTTGATGGATAATTCGGCCAAAGCTTCGTGACATTCTAGTACTAACCATGAGTAAATGAGTGGTCTGTTCAGGATGAGTAGTGCTTGTCTGCTATCTGTATGGACGAGCATGTTCCCTCCAGTGATATTGATTCTGGTGATTTCCTTTGCTGTTATGAGAATCCCTGTGAGCTCTGCTTGAACTACACTAGCACTATTACTCACAGCCCATTTTATGTTTAGTTTTAAGGATCTGGAGTATGTTCCACATTCTGAGCCTTGTTTTGTTTTAGAACCGCGTCGGTGTAGATATAAATCGTACCTGCCACTTCTGACTCTTCTATTTGGCTTATGGAAGATATATCTCGGTGAGATTGAGTCCATATTCGCTTGAAGCATTGGGATTGTATCGAGCGCCTCCTGTCAAAAGCTACGTCTCGCCTCACATGGAACAAACCATTGTTACGCAGTAGCCTGCGGCTATTATAAGAAACGTACAGATAGAAAAAGAAGTGGAATGTTACTCATCGCCCTACAGTGTGCTGCGGTCGTCATAAGTAAAAGTACAAGTGTAAAAGTACAAGTAAAAGAAGATAGAATAGTCCAGAAATGTCTGGAAATGTCATTACCCGTCAAGAATATTCTAGACAACAGTTCGAGAAGGGTCAAGCAAGCTATATAAGGATGATCCTGACGTCAGTTTTGAGTTTGATGATAGACGTTATCAGTTGTATTGTTATTGTGAAAGTTGAGTTGAAATAAATTGAGATACCAAAAACCTGTGTAACACCATATATAACAAGCAAAAAACACGACATGCCTCTATTTGCAGTCAGATGAGGGACTATATCGCCCTTGTTATTTTTGTATATTCTTCCTTCTTCCATTTTGCTAGTTTAGCTAGAGTAATATCTTATCTTCCAAATTAAAGTAGGTACCTACTGTCCAAGATATATAGTTTGCCTTGCAAGCATCATAAAGTCGTATCTGACAATGACTATAATGACTAATAATGCTAAATATTTCACATACGACAATTCTGTTTAAAAATACAGCCGAGTTTGTAGATATGACAATACGCTAAATTAGTGATGACAATTACAGAGACAGTATTTTTTTGAGTGCGTTTTGTTTTTTGTTTACCTAAATTATATATTTTTTAAACTTTCATAAATATATTTCTAGAGTAAGTTTATAGATAATCATCAAGTATATATAATCATTTATTTAAACTACTTTTTATAACCTGCAAACAATATTTAATAAAAAAATAAAAACAGTAAAACCGTATGTCAAATTTTATTAAAAGTTTGTTTACAATTAATTGTCAGTGGAACCAAAACTACGTCACACTTTTATGGCAAATTAGTTTTGAATGTGTAGGAGGGATAGGAACAGAAGTTGGAAAGGCTTTTGGTAGGTAGAGAGGTGAGAAACGTCAAACCCCGTCGGACCACTTCATATACAGGATTTGAAAATTATATATAGATGCTAATAACAGTTTCGTTTATTCATGTAAATAATTGAATAAATTGTGAATAGCTATTGAATTCTTGTAGAATTGTAATACTTAATCCTTTAAATAATTATTTCTAGCCCATAAATACATACAATGACCCGGTTCTGCGAATCGACACTGATGGTGAACAAACATTACCACTCAGGTACCATTCAGAATGTTATGGACACTATTTGGACAAAAAAGGTCCCAAGTGCGATTGGATACAATGTATAAACTGTTTTTCTTGGTTGCATGAAATATGCACACCTTCTGAAAAATACTGTTCAAATTACGCTGAGTAAATATTAATTTTTTCTTTTGTTACCATAATACTGTTCATTGTCTACTATTTGTTAATTTTTTCTGTGATTTGTATTATTAGTTACGAAGTATTAGAATACATTTTTTCAATCTTTTTTAACTTAATGCCCATATTGCCGTATTACCCAGGTCAGTGTTGCCATATTCCCGGAATATGGGGGGAAATTACACAATTTAATTTTTATTTCAAGCAACATTTTTTAAGTCAGTATTTAACATATTCTTATTGCTTAATTTTTGTTGTGTTAACTAAGAATAATATATTTCACTTTCTATATTTAGCATGCCCTAATGTAAAAAAAAATAAAAAGTTCTAATGAGTCTAATAAATTGTTGCCATATTCCTCCAGTTTACTTTATTAGTGTATGTACTGTAAATAAACTAAAATAATAAACTGTTTAAAATAAATAAACGTTACAATACTTACATGTAATTTGCTAGGTTGTGCTCCTGCTGTACATGAGTGTCGAAACCGTGCGGAACTTTATCAAAGTAGTCTTTTCCAATACCGCATATAAAGCAATTTGATTCCATATCGTCTTTTACGCTCTCAAGTTGATCACGAAGCTCACCAAAAGCATCAATGATTAAACCTAAAAAATTCCATTCAAATGAGCAGAATATTATATTATGATTATAAAGAAGTAGAGGTTGTAAGATAAAATCACCTAATATTTCTTAACGTTGCGTTTTTTTTTATATGTTGTGTGCTTTCACTTAATAAAATTGTTAATTTCATGAAAATGATAAATTCATGAAACGATCAATATTACTTATTTACACTATATGGATGTTCATTTCATTAAAAGGAAACGTGATTTATGTTCATATTGAAATTTATTGAGATTACACCATAAAGGCAGTAAAATTGGATCTTCTCATGTATTGGTTAAATACGTGACAATCAGTAAATAACCATTTAATGAAATGAACACTGATATAAATATAGAGAAAACATGATGGCAAATAAAGATCTTTTTAAAAGATCAATTCTATCAAAAAACTATAACAATATTATGAAGGAAAACCTGGTAAAATGTGCTTAAGCCGGCATTCTAAAGGTGGGGCGCTCGAAAAATGCACGAAAATTATTCAAGTTCAAACGACCGCGCCATCTCACTTCCTTAGACTACTAACTACTACTAACTACATCATTGTAAAGTGAACTGGGGTTTCTTACACCCCAGCTGTCGAAACTAGGAGAGTTTTTATTTTTCGAGTTCGTTTATTCTTCTTTTTAAATGAGAGTTTGGATTAATTCATAGCCATGTGTAGCTATCACTGACATGATTCGCATCTCTGTTTTTATCGGATAGTGCCTATTTTAGAAACGTTTTTGTGGATCACGCCTTACTTACCCTGAATGATGGCCAACAAAATGACAATAACAAAGAAGAAGAACGTAATGTCAAACATAATACGGTATACTTCGTAATCATCCCCATCTGGTGGTTCAATTTCATCTCCAATACCTCCACCAGCCCTTACACCCTTATAAAGATGGAATACGAAGCACTAAAATTTATTAGATATTATTTTTCCGAAGTTATCCAACGTAATAGCAAGTAGGTACTAACCGTAAGCATATCGTGGCACTTTCTATCGACCTCTTCGTCCTCTTCTTGCACGTAGAATTTCCTGAAGAAGTTGAACGCTATTACGGTATAAATGTACACTATGATTGTCAATAACATTACAGTGAGGACGAGCTGTTTGCCGTTGTGCGTTACGGATTGCAAGATGGTACGCAATGTTTTGAAACCGACGGCCACATCGAGCAAATGGGCGGCGAAAAAGAAGTTATTAAAGTTTCCCAAAATGGAGAACGTGAAATACCATAGGGAGTACAAGAACGAGTTGTCGGTGATTGTTACGCCCGATTTCCATATTTGGTATCGCCAATCGATGTTGATAATTCTAAAAAAAAAAAGAAATAAATTACCTACATAATTTTAGAGGATATAGGTAGTGTTTGATATTTGTAAAATACAATAGAAATCACTCGGAGGGTAAAAGAAAACAATTACCCTAAATAAATTAAAGAAATTAAAAAAATAAGGTAGCAGAACAGAATCCTCGTTGATGCAACTCAGCGATTAAAAAGACACTAATCGTATCAAACAAGAGTCAATTGGTATCTGCCTGAGTGAACTCACTAATCACAAAACCATAGAATATTCACTCTGGGAAGTTACCAAAATAATTTATAGGTCTATACTTCAAAACTCTTAGAAATGTATAGAGAAACTGGGCACATAAGTTCCAAAAAGCCTGTAGATTTGCACAGCATTTTGAAATCACATTTCAATCAAATAACGAAAAGACAATTATCATGACTACTGGATTGAACCAATAATTGTAGAAAATATGATTATATTCAAAGGAAATATGTGATGAAAAAATATAACATTAATTCGAAAGCTTTTGGTTTTGACATAAGAACTGGTGAAATTTTGAAACACTTCCAAAGAAAGCAATGACGATGATTCCAAAACCAGGCAAATCACCATAATTTCTTTATCACCTGTAATATCGAAACTATATAAATTTAATAAAGGAGAAGAATCTATTTCCTTCTCATGGCTAATATCTGCAGACTTCTACTGTCTAGGTCTAGGGTAGGCCGATCACCTGGCGATCGTCGTAAGAGGCAAGTTCGCAGGTACAATATCAGAGCGCACACAAACCGCTTTAAATATCGTTGATGAGTGGTGCAGGAGGAACTAACAGTAAAGCCTCGTGAAACCACAATATACATCTTCACAAAACGAAAAGTACTGACAGGACTAAAGTCGCCAGTACTGAAAGGAGTAAATATTCTATTTGCTTAAGAGGCCAAATACTTGGGAGTCATCTTTGACCACTGGTTAACATGGAATCCACTTAAAAAAAGTTACCCAAAAGAGCACAACATCCTTTAACTTATGCCGAAGGTTGTGTGGCAAAGATTGGGGACTACAATCGAAAATGTCCCTGTGGATATATACCAGATTCACGAGGCCTATGATAACCTGCGGGTCGGTGGTATGATGGCCAAACTCATCAAGCTGGAACCATTCGACAGCTCAACGGTATTCAAAGGCAAGCATGCCTGAGTATCAAGGGAGCAATGATAACAGCAGAATAAAAGGTCGTCTGAGACAAAAGAAAAAATAGAGAAGATACCTAGCGAGGCGAATGTATGTTAAAGACACCGATATAGCCTAGAATCAGCTGAGTTGCAGAGTATTGCGATATCGATGAAAATCGTAGTGACAGCGTGAGAAAACAGGCCGAATTTGTTTATTAATTCGAGGTTCTATTATAAGAACCAAATTGTATCAAAAACCTACGATTATACTCAAATTGAATTGAACTAACTTTTTTATTTCATCTATCTCAACAATAGTACTAGGGTAGATTAATAATTATCTAATAATTATTTGGCGCCCTCATTTGGAAATATACCACTTTAGAAGGTTTTTTACGCAAAACGATACCCTAGGACTCTTGTAACGATTCAGGCCGATTCCACTGACCCTTCTCGAGTCAAAAATATTCCATCTATACCCAACTGAGCTAAGCCGAAGTAAACCTACCTTGGGGGATTTTAAGGGTAACTCAAGGACCCTTAACATCTCCTCTTGTAGAAAGATAGCAAGATCTAGTTTTAAAAGTTTCAATACCGCAGTCAATTAGGTTAGAATTAAATTGCTCGGTAATCGTTGTAATAAGTTATTGTAAAGGGTATTTTATTAAAAAAAATATACATAATCAATTACTTACAGAGCTATAAGGCCATGCTTTTCTTCAGCCTCTTGTTGTTGCTGGAATGATGTTTTTTCCATGCCCAGAAGACTGCTAATGGAATCAAAGTCGTAAGTTTCGCTATATTTTTGTCGTACCTTTTTCTTTATAAATTTATCCCAGTAATTCACCGGGAAAGACCTAAAAACATTTATTTTTATATGAAAAACCTTTTACAAATAGTAATTCAGCTTGTTCTTACTTTGCCGATATAACCAATTTATCCCAATGAGATTTTAGATCATCGTCCTCCGGCTGTTCCGCTATGTACAGTCCTTCAAATTCAAGCCTCCTTGCGATTTCCTTTTCCCTTTTGAATATAGCAAGAGGAACTTTTAGATGGTAGTAAGCTATTAGCATCGCTAATGATACTGCGCTGTGCAACATAGCCGCCAACCTCATTACGTGGGCCATATAATAGAAATCTTCATCCACGTGGACAAGCTCCGGCAGATCGTCTTCTTCGGCCGAATCGCCAGATCCCATTCCGCTGCCGCTATCAGATCCAGAACCTTCGATAATATCTGCGATGCCTTTACCACCGCTACCGCTTCCTCCTTCTTCATTAATACTGGATACCTAGGAACGAATTGAAATACTCAGTCATGAACTTCACTTTCAAACCGGTAGAAGCAATCCAAAACGATACATTATCGATTAACTATTATTAAAAGAGCAGGACATGAAGTTCTTAGATTATCCCAATATTACTGTCAGAATAATCCCGTTGAATTGGTATGGAAGTATTTTAAAAATGTATATAACAAACACCTTCATTCCCAAGTGAAAGACAAAGTTTCGAATTTATGGACTATTGCTCTCTCAAATTGTATTCCAGATATGTGAGAAAATTACTGCCGACATTGCGAATAACTTATTTATGGAGACATCTTCTACATAAAATCTTCCCCCTTTTATTATTGCATCAAGGGAATCTGATTTGGATTCTAATACCGGTTCATATAACATATCTAAACCTTCTTTTTTATGTCAAAACTGTACCTTGTAAAACAGCAACATGAAGTTGATACAAAACGCCAAGACGAGAGCGACATATTTCAAGTTGTAGAAGTTCCTGGCGAGGAAAGATACCGCTCTGTGACCGTAAGAAGCAAAATTGATTTGAGACATAGCAGATGGTTCTGCTATGTGGACTATCTTGCTCTCGGTTTCAATCGCCTGCATCACGGCTTGCTGTGCTGCTTGGGCTTCAACTTTTTCTTGCTGTGCCCTCTTAGCTTGCTCTCCGCTATAATTTAAACAATTGGTATAGTGTTGTGCAAAAAGGGAATCGTGCAGGATGTGATAAACAGAAATTCGAGGAAAAAATGAAGTAAGTAAGAGTAAGGCATTATGTTGAAACAAAAACTAATAATGGTTAAGATTAGGAACAGACTTTTATTGCACGCGAACAAAGCGAGATTGGGTAATCAAAAATATTAAGAAAAATAAAAATACTAAGAGCGATAAACAAAAACGCAAAAATTGAGGCTAGGAATAATCGATTAAATAGGAACAATCGAAACAAATTAAAACATATATTAAATCTTTATTAGGAAAGACAGAGAACGCGTAACTCTTACGTCAGACCGACGTTGCCGATTGTGACCAAATATCAATCGGCAGCCATTTTTTTGGTGCTAGTAAAGCCTTTTTATATTTTAAGCTCATTATCAAATGATTGTAATGGTAGTGTATTAAGTTCATGGCTGTAAACGCCAAAATGAAAAAAAGGAAGAAGAAATTATTACATTTCACAATCTGTTATAGATGATAGACGAAAACATAATATTATTATGCCTACACGATGCTGATTAGTAGTTTGTTGAAAAATTGGAAATTTTCTGTCACCGAGTTTGGATTCGAATCTTATATTTAAATTAACAATTTGGAAGTCGGACAGTCAATGTCCATATAGCCAAATGGATAAGGCAGTGTACGTAAAACAGATTTTTTTAAATGAATAAAAATAAAGAAAGAAAATACATTGTTAACAATCAGTTTTAAGAAAATGATAGCACTTTGGACTCACCCTAATAAATCGGCCAAAGATAGAGGCTGCTCGGTGGTTTCCGCATCGGTGTGTTCTCCACCTTCTTCCGGGGTAGTTTCTCCCTCTCCCGAAGACGGTTGGCTTCCAGTGGGTGATTCGTGCGGGGCCATTTTGTAATTGCCGTTATCCTCTTTCGATATTTCCACTCCGAATGCCTGTATCTGTGTATTTTGTTCTTCCGTCGTCGGTAAAGAAGGCAACACTCGTAACGGACCCGTTTTTTCTTCTACGGCCACTTGTATGACCGGCTCTTCAACTGCAGGACCTCTCATCAACGACATCAGGATGCCTAAGATGTATTTTATAACTACGGCCACACCGAAACCCGAATAGTAAAACGCGAAAAATATCAACTTGAAGAAACCGATAAACAGCTCCGTAAAAGTCATTTGTTGCATTTCTGAAATTTTGTGTTTGATATTAGAAGGACTTAACGAGGATAATCCGTACGATATTCCTTCTTTTATAGCCGCGTAACCTCTTTGTATCGGATTCTTGCGGAGTCTGTCCTCATCTTCGTCGGTCATATAACTGTAGCTCGTGGATCTAGTTGGACCTCCGCCTCCGGACTCTTCTACGGCCATTAAACCGCTAGCGTGTTGCATTTCAAAGATGGCGTCCTCGCAGAAGTTGATGAATGCTTCGAGCTTTTCTTTGTCTCCGCCCTCGGTGACGATGGAGTAGAAGAACGCTCGTTTCGATTCCTGAAAATCGTACAAAACCATGTAAGGGAAATTGAAAATACCATAATACACATGTTAAAACCATTTTTAGGTAATTATCTTAATGAAATCCTCGCCTCTGCTTCATCTTAGGCAGTAGTAACAAACACTAAGTCAAATTCTAATAATTAACGTAGTGTGACATAAAAAAAACCATTTCACAAAATAACATGGAAGAAAAAGTTATAAAAGTAGTTTTAAAAAACAGACTTCAAAATCGTCCAGATGTCCTTAAAAATTGAGATTTTTTATTTTCTCAAAGATCATCAGATCCCGACCAATTGTATATGGGAGACTACCCCTGAGGTGCCCTCTTTCTAACAAAAAAAGAATCATAGAAATCGGACAACGTAGTAAAGAATAATCGCACATACATAAACAATTTTTCCGATAAATTGAGAACCTCCTCCTTTTTTGAAGCCGGTTACAAATATATTAAAGAACAATATCAATAACATTATCAAAGAATAATACCGAAGAATATTAACAAAGAACATTACTTAAGAACATAATCAAAGAAACTTATCCATAACACAAAAAACATTGAAGTACAATGTCAAAAACATAATCAAATAGCATTTTTAAAAAAATCATCAAATAGAATTAAAGAACATTATCAACAAATAATAAACAACATGAAGTAATATTATCAAAGAACATTATCAAACAACTTACAAAAGAACATTATTAAAATCATAATTTCAAGAACATTATCAAAGAACATCACAGAACATTATCAAAGAACAATATCAAAAAATAACATTATCACATAACGTTATTAAATAACATTATCAAATAACATTATCAAATAACATTATCAAATAACATTATCAGATAACATTATCAAATGACATTATCAAATAACATTATCAAAGAACATTAGCAAATAAAATTGTCGAAGAAAATTAAATAACGTGATACAAGATCATATCAAAAATATGATAAAGAGTAGTTATTTTTAAGGATAGTATTTTAATATGATAGAATATGATGTAATTTTACAAATTTAGTCGTTTAAAAGTATATGTTTAGATTTTAACCTACTTACCTTAATTTGAGGTTTCTCCCATTGCTCGATGTTAGATTCCTTGATTTCGAAATAGACCCGCTCGATGCGTTTACTGCCGCCCATAATTTCGATACGCCCTAAGAACGGTTCGAAATAGTTTAGAACGGATCCTGCAGTTTCTAAGAATCTGGCTAGTCTTGGTTCGTTGGGCATGTGTTCGGCCAAATTCGTCAAAAGTACTGCCAAATTAAAACCGATTTCTTTGGCGGGTTCGTGAAATCTACCGATGAAGTCGACGTAATCTATTTTGCCATCGTGGTTGGTTTCGCAACAAGCCAACAAGAATTCGATTTCTTCTCTAAAAAAATATAGATTTATCCACTTGGTATCAAAAGGAAATTTACAATACAATTTAGAAGTATTTAACAGAAGATAATATAGAAATAATGCATAACTAAAAAATGAAAAGCATGGTTATAACAACGTGGAAAAGGAAAGGGAAATATGAATGGAGAAAGGTTCCAAATATTTAGAAGCAGTAAACAAGGATATTATAAAAATGGAAAGGTAAATAAATGAAAGATTGAGTACAATAAAAGAAAGTGTTCAATATGCTCAAATAAACGTAATTTGAAAAGAAGGAAATACTAAGAAAAATTTAAAACCAATTATCAAACAGATCAGGGAAGATTAGAAGGAGGTAGTGGAACAAAGAAGAGAAGGAAACAGAATGAAAATCACGTAACTGAAAAAGATAATATTACAAATAGAAAAGATTATAATAAAATAAGTAAAGCAATCCTACATTTTAAATTCAAAAGCTCACAGCATCTAAACACGGCAGTTTTTAGTAGATAATAATTTGGAACAATTAAAGATGACACAGGAATTTACTACAACACACAACAAAAGAGTGGATAATCCAAAGCTCAAAAATGGTAGATATTTCTGAAAACAGTTAAACTCAAATGGAAATGAAAAATATCCCTAATGTTAGCGAATATATCAGGCGTTATGTGTCATAAAGATCCAGTCAGGCCTATAAACTTCCACTCTAACTCCTTTATCTTGTGAACCATTCTTAAAATCTGGACCTCTTCCATTCCAACTTTGGCAACTGCCAATATCCATTTCGTATGGACAATATCGAATTCATTTTTGAAGTGTAAGAAAGTCCAGCAATGATGTAGAAGTACAGAAGCTTCAGAAATATGATGTATTAGAAGAGCTAGCAATATAATATAATTACAAACTTTTATAACCCAGAAATTGGGATTGTAGCACTGAAAAATGATGAACGAAAACACAAAAATTTCATACAGACAGAAGACATTAACAAAAATGAAAAAAAAAAACATTTAACTAATTTAAAATGAAGTCATATGCCTAAGTAGAGATATAAAAGTAGTCCACCTCAGTGAAAGGATTAGGAAAATATTAATCATTAAAAAAAAAGCATTAAGCGACAATGACAATGTTAAAGGTAAGTACTTACGATGTATAATTTTTGGACTGCTCCATTTTCTCTTTAAAATCTTTGGGATATACCCAACCGTCGCTATTCAAATCGATTTCCTGGAAACCGGCAGACGAAGTTAATACCTTCAATTTCAAAAACATATCGAAGTATTTTAGGATTAGTTCTACGTTACTAGCACTCTCGACCAATGTGTCAACCATCTGTTTACCGATGGTACCGTTAACGACGTTGCCTTCAAGCATAGACAACATCATGGTGATCATGTCTTTTTGCAAATTGAGCAGTTCTTTGAGCAAGTCGACCTGGTTGGAGTGTTTGGAAAGTTTGTCTTGCATGTGGGAAAAGAGGAAAAGAAAACCGCCTACGGCGTCCCACAATCTGAAAGAAAAATATCGATAACATGTTTTAGTAACATTGAATTTAATTAATAATTACCTGGAATGTGCTAAAGCTTGCTGATTAAGGGTGCAAGGTCCCTGGATGACTTCAGTGAGCGTGTTAAAAACTTGACTGGCGACACCGATGGCTTTGAAGAAGTTCGCTTTACCAGCTGGATCTATCAGTTCCTTGCTGGAATAATGCCAGTAAAAGTCCATTATCGATTCTTGCAGCCTTAGCAAATAATCGACGGTACAAATTACTACATTTACCGTAGTTGTGTTACCGGCCTGGGTTCTTAGATAATTTTGCCATTCTGAAATAAAATAGTATACATATTGTTGACAAAATGGTATTTTATTTATTTTCGTTATGAAAATGATTTTTTTGACAATGATTTCACAGAAAAATTAAATAAACACTGATATTTAATAAAAGTAACGAGCACACTGGACAAGAACAAGAAGAACCTCAAATGAAAAAAAGGAAAGAAGATTAAGATAACTGCAACACCCATATTTCTAGCTTTTGGGATTGCTTTAGTGAAATGCTTGGGTCGACAAGTACAAGTCACATAGCTAAAGACATCAATATGGATTCAATTTCAAATATAGCAAGCATTATTAATTCAGAATGAAATAATAGCCTATTTACCCACGCCTCTTCAAGAACGGAATTATCCTCATGCTTGGAAACATAATTCGGCGAACATCCAGCGAACCGAAACGGAACAGTATCCTACAGAATCGTATAACTATTCGGGCCGGAAATGGAATATTGGCCGAATATTTGTTGTGTCTCTAATTTTCTCTCACTAGTGACGAAAATCCGCGGCCAAAAAACAAGTAGAAGATAATTTAAAGACTTACCTAGATTGTGACCTTCACAGGTCAGTTGGATAAATCTGAATAGTGCACAAGTAAATTCTGCATCGTGCATATTTTTTTCACCAGCAGCTCCTAAAAATTTATAATTTAATCAAACGTTTCGGATCAAAAAATGTTTAGTACCTTCAGATCCAACTCCGAGACCTTCGGCTTTGGTGTTTCTTTCGAACGCGTCCAAATCCAATACACCACAGCTGTTCATCAGTCCAGCAATGCTGGTGAAGAAACCCACGTCTTTCTTTTCTTTGAGATGGTTTAACATTCCCATTTGGATATCGAAATTACCGCCGCGTAGAACTGATATTCCTAGTTCTAAAGTTTTCATCACCATTTCAGAAGGAACCCCTTTGCATGCTGAAATATGGAGAAGAACCATCTCAGCTACGCCTCTGTTTGCCAGACGAGCTTGGTTGAATAAAAGTTTTTGTTTCTCCATTTCTTGTTCCTATATGCATAAATATATTATTTTAAAATTCGAAGTACAATTACATTTTATATTGATGAGCCATTAGTTCATAAAAATCTTACCATCAACTTTTCCATGGTCCTCTAAGTTTGCAAACCAAAATAAAATTCAACGTTTTCATTGCCAAATATAAACGAAAAAAAATCTTAAATATAACTTACATGAATGGAAGTACCACCTTCTTCACCTTCACCGCCTCCCTCTTCCTCCTCACCTTCTTCTTCCTCTTCGCCGCAAGACTTGGCAATAATCTCAGCGTAGCTCATATACAGCGGATCTTCTTGTAAAGCTCCGGACCTTTCAGTCATTGCTCCTCGACAGAATGTGGTTACTAGTTGAGTAAGAGGATCTGGTTTGCTTTCGTATTCTTCGCCTTCTTTTTTTTTCAATTCTGAATCTTCGAAACTCTGCGTTAGGTCTTCGATCAACACTTCCTGTCCTATGTTTTCGTCTTGCAACCAGAAATCTCGGTAAGTTCGAATGAAGATGTTTATTGCTCGATGTCTAGAGAAATTAATTGCATTTGATATTGGAGCGGTACTAAGTGTAATTATTTTAAGTTCAAAAGAACAGATCTGGACATTGTTCTCTTTTATTCAGGACGTTTTAGAATGAAATGTACATACGTTAACTGTAGATATGGGGACTCGATGATTCGAAATCACCCCATTATTAAAGGGTCCAGCATATCTCATTACCTAGATATAAGGTGTTTTATGGATTTCGTAGTAGGAAGTTTTATTTGGTCAAAACTCAATAACCACTCGGATTTAAATTTGATAGGTAGATTATCCTCGAACTAGCAAACATAATGCCATAGAAACCATAATTAAAATCCAGGTCTGGCTTAACAAAGTTTGGAAATTTCTTCCCGCCTCAAAAACTACATCCTTTATAACAATTTTGCTTGCCTAATGAAATATGTCAAAAGAGCGGAAAAGATTTATTTAATTAATAGTCCACCGGAATTTAGGTTTTTGAGGCTTAATTTTTGGTACAGCATAGAGACCCAGATAACAATGAAGGTTTTGACTTCTTTTGACAAAATTTCACTATGCGCAGATATGAGAATGATCGGAAGAAGGTATTATATATACAGGGTGGGCCACCCGTAATGCCTCGGTCTGTAGAGCCAAAATTAATTGATTTTTTAAAATCTGTTTTCACAGTGTGTTTTGTATATTAGAAAAGGCAACAATTTAAAAATAATTTCAATTATACAGGGTTCTCCAAGAAAGTGATACATAATTTGAATTGCCCTCGCTTTTCCCATTATAACAATTCCAAATAGTATGAGATTATACAAGGTATACAGGGTATTTACAAAAGAAATAATTGAAATCCAATTTTTTGTGGAAAAAGTTTTCGATATTAGTTAACATTTTATGCCAATGCACTACTTTTTTCAGTTCAAAACAAATCTGTTCAGTGTACAGGGTGGGTGAAAACTCAAATACATAATTTTCTTTTTTTTTTTTGTTAAATTGACCTGTATTATACAGGGTTGGGATAAAGTATGGAACCAAGTAAATATCTTTAAAACGAAAAGGACGATATTTTCAGGCAAGTACAATGACGCATAACGCATCTGATGCCATATTTTTTGTTACTACTGTACTTCCGGTTTCACCGGAAATACCCTCAACTTTTTTAATTTAAAGGGGACACCCTGTATATTTTTTCAGATTTTAAAAGATCTTGTTATTCCGAATTCGTACAGTGTCGTATTTAATGTACTTTTTATCTATCTCTATATCTAAAGTTAATAATTTAATTTTAACTGGTTACTGGTTAATAGAAAATGGATTTTTTGTTAATTGGTAATTGGAATTTAACCAGCTGTAATTTATCGACTAAATAAGTTTTTGACAATACCTAATGCGATCTTACATTCAGTAAAAAAAATAATAAAAATAGCAACAGAAAACTTCACATAATACCTACCTACTTTATTCTAAGTCTATTAAGTGTTATTTTAACAGATTTTATTTAATTGAAAAGTTTCTCTAATTAGCAGTGGCGGCTTGTCATCAAAATATTGGGGTTCACAATGACAGAATATAGATCTCAGTACAGATTTAGATAAAAACTTTCAGTGTTTTAGGAAAGTATATTATAACCACTAAAAGTTTTTTGCCCATGAAAACACATATTTTTTTTTAGTAAAATACAAAAACTGGGGAAAAACGACAAAAAATGAAAACATATACCAATCTTGAAAAATTAGATAACTTCCTTGTTGTAAGGAAATATTAAAAAAAAATGTATTAATAATATTTATAGTGTAGCTTGAATGCCATATTTAAAATTACATAGAGGTATCATGGAGGTAGCAGGGAGAGGAGTCGCTACTCGCGAATACTGAAACGATATCACCTGCGCCATATTGTTACCATCCTATTGTCATTTATGACATTTACTTATAACTTTTGTGGTATGTGTTTCATTTTTCGGTATTTATTGCGTTCATTTCGTTTTTATTCAGTATTAGTTGATAGACCTTGAGGACATAATGCTGTCTTGTACTTTAGGAGATTGCACAATCCCAGATCATGTGGAAATCAAAAAATTATAGGGAATAACCATGGAGGTATGTGGATAACATATCAAAAGTTGGTGAACAGAGAGTCGTATTAAAAAAAAATGGCTATCTAAACATAATTTATAAATTTCCAATGAATTCAGAAAAAACTGACTATATAGATACTGTTTTTACATAGAGATTATTGGTAACCGACCGAATATAGTGAGTTTCTTGTGTTAAAGACATTTCGAGGAAAGATTTTGATCGATCTTCATTGTGTAAAGTCTATTTGAAAAATGATAATATAATAATTTACGTTTTTATAAAGTTATTAACCTAATATACGAGTACATTCTTATTTATAATTTTAAATAAGGACGGTTTCATTCCAAAAAAGTATTTATAATTTTATAATTTCGGTATTTTAAATATTTTTCTTTCAGCAAGTAATAAATTGTGATCACATAGGCTTACATTTTAAAATATTCACTTTGTTGTAAATAAGATTAATATTAAGTCGAAATAAAAATTTGATTAATCTGAAGATTTAATTATAAACATAATACTTATACAGTTACAGCATACATAATTATCAAAATATTAATTATTTTATTTCGTAAATAGAAGAGCCAAAATGACTAAGCTTATATCCTTTATTACTATATTACTAGGTTTATTTGAATGGAATGAACGGCATTCAATGTACAATGTAATTTACAATAAAAACAAGTGCAGTAACATTACCAAAAATGCCTGTCTATATCTATGTTACTCTTAGAACATATATATTCCAAGGTGTTACTACTGATTTGATTCAAACGAGATTCAAACAGATATATCTTCGTTATTATTGGACCTAAGCTTATACAGGGTGTTTCTAAAGTAATCTGAAATATATATTGTTGTGGGCGATTCGTCGTTTAATTTTAAGACTAAAAACTCCTATAAACATGTGATAGGTTTTGTCGTTTATGAGATACAGGGTGTTGACTTTTTCTAATATACGAGCTCTGACTATAAGAGAAAGTTACACAAACCCGATCTTAAATTTAGAAGAACTTCAAAATCGCATCATACAAGGCTGTAATGTTATTCGCAACAATCCTAGCCTCTTCGAACGTATTCGGAAATCCTTTAGAACTCAAGCTGATGCTTGTATTTTAGCTGGAGGTGCACATTTTGAACATCGGCTATGAAATGTAATACTACTTTTATGTTTATCACAATTTATTGCTTCTATTAAAATAATAAAAAAGGCACCACCCTGTATCTCATAAACGACAAAACCTATCACGAATCGCCCATAACAATATTTCAGATTACTTTTGGAAATACCCTGTATATCCGTTATTGTTCGTTTGATTCGAACAGGGCAAACGACATTCAACGAGAAGTGTCATTTAGATGTAAAACTAAAAATATATAGTATTAATGCCAAAAGGATCGAAGCCTATATCTTTGAATGGGACAAACGGCATTCAATGTAGAACGTCATAAGTATTGATGTATTCTTTCTACAACAAACGTATATACATTTCACTTTGAAACACCCTGTGTATAGAAATTATAAACGAAAAAGTAAGAAATTGTACCCAATGCCCAGTTCTATTAAAGTTAGTAACACAAAACACACCTGCTCAATTTGTACAAAGGAGTCATTCGTAAGCAAGCCAGCGCGGCTCTTTTTCTGGCCGCTCCTAATACCCTCCTCCAGCTGTCCCGATTATTTTTGGGTTTTGAAGCCTGTTAGTGGAACACAATCAACAACAAACAGTTAGATTTTTTTTTAATTAATCGTGTGTAAACGAGAAGAACGCAAACTAAAATAAAGCCACTCAACGAACCTTGGCAAACTGTGCAAAGAAGCCTGACGGAAGCAAGAAAGTACTGCACGCTTCCTTTGGGTCGAAACGACGCTTCTGTAAACACCTTTCTGCTGCTGTTGCGGGTGATCGATCTACCAGGCAATCGCAAAGTAACATAAAATGAAATCAAGTGCAAAAGTAAAATATGACATGATAGATAAGGTTGGCGTTAAAAATTGATAAAAGTATATAGTGCTTATTTTTTCGTGTTAGGCATACGACTAGTATATAAGTTAATAAAATGGTAACAGAGCAACAGCCAGTCGTCGATTAGAATTAGAAGATATGGTGGTGGGATATTAGCCGAACCGAATAGTTGCCACATGTTTGCTGTGAAAGCACGGCTATGCCTAATACAAAATAATAAGTACTGTATATAAATGATTTGCATACAATGACTGGGAACTATAGTTTCTTCAAATACAAGAACCTGAGGTCATAAAAGCATGAAAATTTTACACAAAAATTTAAAGAGGTACTAAATTAATCATGCTCAACCTTTGATGGATAAGTTTTTTATCCGAAACCAGCAAATTTTTATTTGATGCCGCCAAGTTTTTATTTGAGGTAAGCTAAGTTATTAAAGTAATATTCATAACATTAACATAGCAAACATATTTCTATGAGCCAAATGAATATAAATTGGAAAATATTTTGAATACGTTCGATACTAATCGATATATGATCAATTGTTTTTATGTCTTAGTACATGGCTCACGGTCTTAATAAAATCTAATCTATGTCTAAGTAATTTCATTCTGCACAATATATAATTTAAAAACTTTATGAATATGAAAATGTAAATAATCGCCAAATATATCAAATCTACTTAAAGCTGTAAAGATATAAAGAATGAATTATAAAGTATATACAAAATAGAAAAAAAAAATTAAAAAATATTCTTACCATGTGTAGTCCGTATAATACTTTACTCATTGCTACAATTCTATCAACCGTTTCGTCTACTTGATTTTTTCCATTATTGTCGACAGAGCTGATAGATATGCTCTTCTTGCTTCCCAACTGACTGTATAGGAAATGCTGCCAGGACATTTCATCTGCAGGATCGATTTTGTCAGGTAAAGTGAGTTGGTTCTTCGCGAAGTCTATTATATCGTATTCAGGCATTTTCTTAAAAAAAAAAAAAATATATACATTGTAGTGTCTCCGAAATTCGATTTGGTCTATGTTGAAACCTCGCTTAAAGGCCGGTTAAATTGGAAACGTTTTTAAGAATTTCTCAAATCTGTTTTCAAAATTATTAAAAGTTTTGTAGTTTTTGAGTTATTTCATTTATTTTTTTTTAATTAGTGGTGGCTTAACCGATAATTTGATATATTACGAGTACAAAGGTTCACATTCTTTAGATTAACTAAAAAAAAGCTCGGATCTCGAGCATACCGCATCTAGTTTTGTTTACACAGATATATTTTACCCGTCTATCGATAACAATGCCGCTCCACACATCTCGCTACACAGACGTTATTTTCAAGTCTTCAATAAATGAAGAGTTTCGGGGTCGACATTTTTAACCTTTAAAGTTTCAATTCAATTCAACAGAACAAGAAGTGAATTTCCGACACATACAAAAAGCATTATTGTACATTGCTTGTCTCCGTTTCTAATGATAGAATAAACAGTGTGCTATATTAGTGTTTGATTTAAGGGCAACAAATTTCCCGCTCAAGGTTGAAATACATCTCCACCTGTACCAGGATAGTCTTTGATGAAATTTTAATTGCAGAAATCTTTTCTGCCATTTAAACAACTACTAAAGACGTATAGTGTTTTCCATTGTCTGCCTGTCTGCCTAAAGTGCCGCAATACCTACTGAACTTCATTTGTTTTAATATTACATATCTTGACATTCCATGTAAAAATGTCAGAAATAATCATGGCCTAGCATCTTTCGATAAATAGGGTTGGCAATATTAACAAAATGTTTTAAATTTAAATTTTCGTATTTACCAACTACTAATTAATCTATTTTTCCTTCCTTCAATATTTTAAATATAATTGCAAAAAATATATTTGTTACATACGTTTTAGTTAAAGACTACATTTTTTAAATTTGATTAATAATAATATTTATTGACCATTAAGAATATATTTATACATCATTGGACTAGTATAAACATTAAATTGAATTTATAGAATTGTTTTATTCTATTAATGACCGTAGTGTAGGCTTAAAAAATTCGTTATTGATCTTATTAACTAGGAAAATACAAAAATATTTAGGTCAAAAAATATTCAGTATTAAATTAATGCACTTTTGTCTACCACATGCTATTTTAGACAGATGTAGTGTTGCCAAATTAAGGAAAATATTAGATTTTTTATTAATTTAAGGGTATTTCTTAAAAATTTGGATAGACTGTGGCACATCGTTTAAAAGTTCATTTAAAGAGAAATAATATAATGTTGAAAATCCAATATGGCCGTCATAAGAAATAAAGTTATGATAGGTAAAAAACAAAAGACAATTTCGATTTTTTCTACAAAAATATTATAAGAAGAGTTTTAAGAATGTAATAAGTTAAGCCCACATTGAACATTTTTAGAATTTTTTAAACAACTTCCTATTACTTTTGAAAACGAAAACGAAATCAGTATCAAATAATAAATAGTAAATTTTGGTCCTAGGGTGTTCTTTTTAGTTAAATTTACTTACCTTCAAGAAACGATCTTTACAGTGTTGCACCAGTTCTTGTTCACGTCCGGCGAACAGGTTCAAACCAACCGGCAAAAGACGCTTCAAACATGCGACCATCAATGAAGCTTGAATTTCCTTGTCCTTGTCTCTCTTTTTGTCGCGATGTTTTTTCTTTTTCTAAAAATATTTAACTTTACAGCCTTTTATATAAATATAATGAAAGTTATTTATAAATTATACTCAAAAAAGTGACAACATTTTATAAGCAAGCATGGGAGATTTCAGTTTTTTTCTTTTTTGAGGAAGGGGAGGAAATAAAGGTGATGGCTCTATAGAGATATTTTCCAAAATTAACCTCTTCCATATGAAAATTCAAGATTTAAGTTTCCTCGTATAATTTAAGAAATTCAAGAACAATTTCATATATCACCTAGTGAAGTACGTCACTCTTTTCACCAAACATTCAGTATTATAAAATAAACTTAAAAAAAGATTTTTGTCGGTTTAAAATTGTCGAAACAAATGAAATCAGAGAGGTGTGAAAATAAGCCACAGAAAAATTAGAAAATTGTAAATTAAAAAAATCTGCTGCTAATGCGATTTGAACCCACGACCTCTGGAACCTATAACTCATAATCCAAAACCCATGACCCGTAACCCATAACCCGTAACCCATAACCCACAACCTATACCCCACAACCCATAATCCAAAACACCAAAATCCATAACCCACAACGCATAACATACAACCCATAACTCACAACTAATAACCCACAACTCATAATCCGTAACCGGTAACCCTTAATCCAACTTGGTTCAATGGATCTTTATCCAATTTCCCTGGTTCATTTTCACTCCTCGGAATTCCGGAATTTATTCCTAAATTTTTTTTATTCTATTCTGAATACAGTGTAATAAAAAAACAAATTATGATACTTACACCATAAACGTTGAAGATTAAATTTAATTATTTAAAAGTTGAAGAGGAAGCGTGAAAAGAATAATAAAAAAAGTATATAAAGGCATAATATCGTTACTAAAAATACAATTAAAAACGGAAGTATTACTTACTTGAATACGATAGAAGAAGCAAAGATAGAATTAAAGAACAGAATGCATGAAAAGAAGTAGAGTAGACAAAATTAGTAAATCCGTGGTCAAGTAACAAGACCACTGAAAATATCAAAATGGTTAACAATAATTCTTAAACAATACAACTTTAAAATTAAAGCACTAACCTTTCCAACAGTTGGCTGACTACCATCAGGAACCACCGGTCTTCTTGTTGCCGTGGGCATAATCAGTACCATATTATCAATTTCGTTCGCAGAAATGAAGTTCTGTTCTTCTCGCAAGAAGTATTGTGAATTAGACCAAATATTAAATATTTCGGCCACGTGGTTATATAGATCTTCGGCCTCTGCAACGTTGTGTCTTAACCAGTGATTCCTTTGAAGATCAACGTATTTTATTAGAAGGGGATAGAAAGAGTAGATGTCTCTTACTAGGAGATGCCAGTCTTCTTGAATTTGGGTCTCGATCTAATAATTACATGAATTATTTCAAAAATAAAATAGCATACATGTGTAAATTTATTCTGTACTAAATTATCTACAAAGTTTCGTACTAAATTCTCTCCTAAATTATCTATTAAATTTTATACTAAATTCTCTGCTAAATTCTCTACTAAATTTTTCACTAAATTGTCTATTAAATTATCTACTAAATTCTCTACTAAATTCTTTAATAAATTAAGTAAGTGGCAATGTTGCGAAAACGTGTTATTAATTTCTATCAACACTAATTTTATTAAATAACAGTTATTCTGACTAAATAAATTTTGAAAAGTGCACTAACAAACATTTTAGATTAATTGGCCTAGTGTATAAGTGTTTGCAATAAATTGTATTACAAAATAATTCGTTTTTAAACCTATTTTAATATAGAAATAGATATTTTAAAAATTTTAATGCCGAAATGTTTTACACCGACCTCTTGCAGGCAAATTTAAAATAATTATATTATATTCACCAAATTGATAATAAAATAGAAACATTTAATAACATAGTGCTAAATCTTTTTGACGAACATATACCATTTAAAACTTCCAGAATAACAAAAAAGAAAGCTCCTGTGTTGACACTAGAAATCCAGAAGGTAATGGGGTAAAGGGATGGGGCTAAAGCTAAATTTAAGAAATATCGTACAGCACATAACTGGCAACAGTATAAAAATCTAAGGAACATTACTAACCATACAACGTAAAAGAGATTATTTTAATAACATTTCTAGAAATAAAAGTGGTAAAGTGTTATGGAAAGAATTAAAATCACTAGACATAACTAATAATAAACGGAATCATATATCCGCTTTGTTTCAGGATCGCAATGTTATCAACGATTTCTTTGTTAACAGTATACCCCAAAATATTAATAATGGTCCATTTGATCAATATTATAAAAACAATATTATCTGTCAAAATGAGTTTCGTTTTAGACTTATTTCTGAAGAAATTATTCAAGGGACACTTTTAAAACTACGTAATACTTCTCCCGGTTCCGACAATATAAGTATTTCACTCATTAAATTGTGCTGCCCATACATCCTTCCATATCTTGTTAATATTATTAATAGTATATTTATATCATCACAATTTCCCACAGTTTGGAAACATGCCCAAGTTACACCTATTCCCAAAGTTAATAATCCTAAAGAACTTTCTGAACTCAGGCCCATAAGTGGTCTCTCAAAATTAATTGAAAATTTAATCGCTGAACAATTTGGTGAACATCTGTCACAAAATAATATATCGCCTTCAACACAGTCAGGTTTTCGAGCTGGATACAGCTGTACAATAGCATTACTACATATTACAGATGACATATTTCGGGCTAGGGATGATGGCGATTGTACTGTTTTGGTATTGTTAGATTTTAGTAAAGCTTTTGATACGATTAACCATGAAACGTTGTATGAAATATTAAGGTCTTGTGGTGTGTGTCATGATTCAGTCAACTTATTTAAATCATATTTATCCCAACGAATACAAAGTGTCAAACTGGGTGATAAATTGTCTTTGCCCCAAAATGTGTCCTCTGGGGTACCCCAAGGATCAGTTTTATTTAGGGCCTCTACTATTTACAGTATATACTAGCCAATTCACTAAGTTCGCTCGTAATTGCTCTACACATATGTATGCTGATGATACTCAATTGTACTTATCTTTACCACTTCATAAGTTTAATAATGCAATACAAATGATCAATGCAGACCTTACTAATATGGCAGATATATCTACCAAACATTCCCTTGTACTAAATCCCAAAAAAAATCAGTATCACTTTTGTTTGGAAATAAGGCTCAATGTGCTTTTATGAATGAAAATATTCAATCGCTTCTAGTACCAAAAATTTGGGACTATTTTTATATAAATCACTAAGATTTCGAGAACATGTTACACGTAACATACGAAGAGCTTATGGGGCGCTCAAAATTCTGTGTTCACATCGTAGTATTTCAACTAAAAAGATGCTTTCAGACTCATTGGTTTTATCACATTATATCTATAAACAGGGTGCAACGTATACAAAACTCCATCATATTTATATGAGAAGTTATCATTTAGAACAGATGTTCATAACATTAACGTAAGAAGAACGAATTTGTTAACGCCTCCCATGCATAGAACAACTCTTTTTGAAAGAGGTTTTCAATACAACATATATTACTTATACAATCCTCGGCCACAAAATTTAAAAACGAAATGACAAGGTTATTACTCGATAAAAAAATTTGAATTGTTTTTGGAATCGTGTTTACTTTTTTTCTGGGTGACCCGTATGCTAAAAATTTATTTTAAGTTAGGTTAGTTTAAGTTAGAATTAGTATTTGTAATTATTAATATTGTTATTTAAAATAGAATAAGGGTTTAATGGAAGAGCACCACCACAGGTGAACTACCCCTTAAGGTTTCCTAATTTATGTATCATATAATTCTTTACTATACCTATTTAGATACTTGGAAATAAAGTCATTTTTTTATTATCTGTTAAATTTTCTTCCAAATTTTCTACTAAATTATCTACTAAATTCTCTCCTAAATTATCTAGTAAATTATCTAATAAATTATCTACTAAATTCTCTACTAAATGCTCTATTAAATTCTATATTAATTTCTCTACTAAATTATCTATCAAATTCTCTACTAAATTATCTACTAAATTATCTACTAAATTATCTACTAAATTCTCTACTAAATTCTTTACTAAATTCTCTACTAAATTCTCCTTTAAATTATTCTCTACTAAATTATTTTCTACTAAATTATCTACTAAAATCCCTACTAAATTCTCTGCTAAATTCTCTACTAATTTCTCTAAAAAAAAAACGAACAGAAATCGTACCTGCGAAGTATCTTCTGACGAACTCTTAATAAATCCTCGCAAGCTTTCTTCTTTGTGGAACATTGCTTCTGTTCGTTTCTTCACTCTCTCGGCCAAAGGAAGGAACGGATCTTTGAGCAACTCTTCGCTGCTGTTAATGATGATCTGTTGAGTGTAAGCGGCAACCCTTGTCATCCAAGGAGAACTTTCGTTGCCGATATTTTTCTTAATCATTTTCAACACGTTCTTAAGCAACTGATTCATGTGTTCGGAAGTAACCATTGAGACGTGGGTACTGAAAATAAATATTGAAGATCGTTTAATATATTACGGATATATATATAGATAAAAAAGAAAAAATTAGACAAAAAAAAAAGAAAATAAGATAGTATTAAGAATGGAAATAACATTACTTACCCTCCGGTTGGGCTGACATTATCAGGTCCTTGGGACCACCAGAAAGGAAGATAGGAGCACAACATAGGCATTATGACGTCAATAACATAAGGAGAGTCAGAATATGTCTTTTCGCTGTCTACAAACTGATCTACTTCAGAAATAATTGTTTCCAGGGTAGGCATTGAACTTTCCATACGTGCCATTATGTCTAAAATAAAACGAAATATTTTAGTAATTACAAACTAGGCCAGGAAGCATTTGAATGTTACGTAAATACAATTTAGTTTATTTCATTCTCCCTCCTATCCTTTTTATTCAATCAATAAAATGATAATACATATATATCTAAATTTTTTGAATACTACTTTGCCCTTCCATCCTTAGGAGCTCACACCGTCATGGAGGATTTTTCCACCTTCAATGCATTTGACTGATTTCTATTATGAGTTGCTTGCCCTCACTCCTTGGTATTTGGTATTATTGAGGTCTTGTGATTGTGTGTTAATCGGCAATGGAATCGAGATGCATTGAAAATCACAAGTTGTTTTATTTAATTTAAAAATATATTCGTTCCATTAAGGAATGTATTTTTGCAGGAGTTAAAAGAATGTAGTTTTGAACAAATACAATAAATTTTTGATATTTTCATTTCAAAACAAGTTGTTAGTATTTGATAAATTACTGTGAAAATTTAATAGGTAACCAGTTCTTTTAATCTTCAACTCCAGACACAATAGATACACCTCAGGCAACCTCATCAAAAAGAAGTACCAGCAGAAAACGTCACCCCTTTCCAAAGATTAGCGTTCATTTTTGGACATCATATAGGCATTACAACCCGTTTTAATATGAACCTACATGTATTTCAAAAATACCCTGTATATTAAGAACTATACCAATAAAATCTGATGTAGTAAGTGTAGGTATTAAAATTGTTTACTAAGAATGTTTTTACGATAACTTTTTTTTCTGTAATTTGATTCATTAATTATTTGTAAGGTAAATAAATATTAGATTTTAATTTAAAAAGAATTAAATGTCTTGTCATGGCTAAAAATAATGTCATGCGACCCATTTCTAACCAATCCTGTCATGCTCCAATCCCTAAATTTCCTCGCTAACTTATTTGGGCCTTTTATTGTCTCTGTTTTTCCCCTTTACCAAAAATATTCGATGGTCATCAGTCGTAGCGAATCAGTATTCTGTAATGTGCTGGATGCTTGGATAAATCAAAATTTTGATGAATGCACCAGTACAGATAATGGTGGAGGTGTTTATTATTAACCGAAAGACGTCTAGAATCTTAGAGAACAAGTCTGGAACACCACGTTTTTAACTAAATAGCCCAAGTTTGCCGTTATAGTTCAGTTTTTAGTTAGATATCGGTCTGTTCACATAAATATTGTAAAAGTAAATTATTGTATAAGTAAAAGAAATATATGTTAGTAAAATAAATTAGGTTATAAAATAAATTAGTGTCTTAGTGGAAACACATTAAATAACAAACTGTTTAAATAAATAAACGTTTTAATATATAGACAAGCAAATTATTTTTAGGTGAATTTCTTACCTTGGGCTTCTAAAGAATGATCTGCGATTCTATTCAAAAGTGAAAACTGATTATTTTTGTTTAAATGCGGTTCCAAAAAGGCAACCGGAAATGTAGAACTGAAAGCACCCAAACAGGATCCCAGCGACGGTCTATATTTCTCCATTTCCGTTTTTAAGTACTTCCTTTCGTGTGATAGCGTAGGATCCGTCCCAAGAATGTAGAGTGCTTGTAATATTTTGTAGGAAGCGACTTGAATTTCGTCCACTGAAAAGTATAAATAATAGTACATATCTGGATATTTCATTATTATAACAACTTACGTAATAGGTCGCTGCCATATTCACAATTGGCCAAATGATCGAAAAGTGATGTTAGAACAGGTAAAACTACAACATTGACGTAAAAAAGTGATGTTGAAGTTTTCAGGTGTGTTCCTCTCAGATGACTATACTTTCCCTATGATTAAAAAACATCAATTTGTACAGGGTATTTTAAGTGCCTTCCAAAATTTCAATACGTAAAAAAATTATCCCTTCAACATTTTTAATAAAACGACCGATATAACAATTACATCACTTCCCGGTGCAAGTGTCCACAAAAACGTCGCGCCACTTTTGATTTTGTTATTTGTTACTCTGTCACTCTCTAACGATAGATTTATCGCTCTCTAATATCCAATTATTTTAAAACTAACGCTAAACGAAATTCAACTCAAATATTGAATATGTCAAATTCTCTATATCGTTCTGCTCATAAGATTGTTTAAAGGCAAAGAGAGAACGGGGTGTATTATTTTATAGTTTAACGCCTAGGGCGAGTTTGTATGTCAAAAGAGGACATAAACATTGAAAAGATCGGTGCGTTGATCCGAAAAAACCTTCGGTTAAGTATCCAGGATGTTGTTGAATTCGTAAGAATTAAAAAAAGAAGAAGAAAATAGGATTTTAACAAAATAGTTATTTTTTCTTTAATCAAGACTGCATTATCGTCAATTTTCCAAGGTCACATCAGCACTGAAAGAATCAGATTTGAGATGGTAAGCGCTCTGAAAGAAAATGCTAAGAAGATCTTGAACTTGCTTTAAAAAAATGATTAACAGCATTGCTTTTATCAATAGAGCAGTATAGTAGTCCTGGAGGGAATAATAAGGGGATGTTAAAATTGTAAAAGAAAATCAATAGAAGATTGCTTAGCACTAATTCGGTTTCTTATAGCCACATTGTATAGTCCGTTAATCTTTTGAGTCTAAAATACTGTCCACAGCGTCCCTATGAAGCACTTAGGACCTATCTTTATTTGAAATTTTCAATGGAATATGCTATACAATCACACAGAGAAATATAAGATCGTACTTAAAACACATGAAGGCATGACATGATTAAAACTAATATACAATCCTTACCTCCTGTAAATTGATAATGGTATGTCCTAAATCATCAGCCGTGTTATTGAAGAACGTCAACATGGAAGTTCTGATAAACTCCGGGCAATTCTTAACGAGGGATTTGGCGTCAATTCCCTTGACGAGTACCTGCAAACATCTGACCGTAATTCTGACGTCCGCTCCGAAAGCCGCCAATTTGGTTCTCAGCAAATTGGCCAATTTGCAGAATAACGCTGCCACCATTTCTTTTTCTTTCAAACTAGCCGCTCCCACATTATTAGTAGCTGTCGCTATTGTTATGAAATAATTTCTATGGGTGGAGAAGTATTTTTCCATTAGCGGTAAAACCACTTTCGAGAAGAATTTAATGTCGCGCGATGATGTCTTGTACGAACTTCTTCTGCTGAAGGTTTGCGAGGGCTTCAAGAGCTTCATGTTGACTGTGGCGCGATCTAAGTATTGGATTAGTTTTTCCAGTAAACTGTACGCAAAACGCAGTTCCACTGAGGGACCGGCTGTTGATTGTTCAGTATCTTGTTGTCCTCCTCGATTTGGCCTAATAATTAGAAAATAACGATTTTATCTAATATTCTAGAAACTAGTAAAAAAATACTGTTATCGTTAAAACTAGTGATGTGCAAACGCAAGACCAAAATCCTTAATCTTTGGGCTTAGGTATTGGTCTTGCTGCAAAACTTGAAAGACTTGCAAAACATTTGCGAAGATTTTTTTTAGTAACTGCTTATTATTGGTTGAAGAATCAATCAAAATCCAAAGGAGTAACATGCGTTTCACACTGTTGCAATTAGACCGTCAATTGTCCATTAGTTAATGGGTCTTTTAATTATGAAATCGGCCTATACCTTTTGATTTTGTGTAGTTACTGTAATTTTTTTTACATTAAATGTTATCGATAAACCAGTAACTCTTTTTGATCTTTGCTCGTCAAAAACCTTCAAGGCCTTGGTCTTGCAATTTTGCTAGACCAAGATTGCAAAATCAAGATCAGTCTCGCATCATCAAAAATTTGATTAGCATAGAGTTGCTACTTTTTAAAAATCTGTTATAAAAGCTATAGCGAAATTGGAAAAAGAAGAACAATCTCCATCAAAAAGTTTGTAGACATATTTGTCTCTAGAACAATAACTGTCAAATAAAAAAATTCTAAACTAAAAATAATACTTACCTGTGTAATTTATATCCTTGGTATTGAAGATATTTTAAGAACTCTTGCGATCTCTCTCTATCCTTTTTCTTCTCCTTATCTGTCAATAGGTCGTAAGGAACCAATTGAGGATGGATGCCACCTCCGCAAGTAATCAACTCTTCCTTCTTCTTTCTCGCCCAAATGTCGTGAGCGTTTTCTGCCAAACGTTCGGCCATATTTTGCATTTCTCTCGACAAAGTAAGATTGGTCATATCGACCGGATGTGGGTTGTAATTAAACGCCGAACTACCCTCTGCAGATTGTCTTATGCCGGAATTTCTATTGTTTGACGGTAGATCTACTTCAAATTGTTCAACGGACCAGCCAATGGCTAGCAGGGCTTTGAGAGATTCTCTGACGGGTTCTTTGTACCTCTCTTTTTCCTAAGAAAAGAAAATATTTTAGCGTATTAAACGATATTTATCTTTCCATATTTCCCTCCCAGATTATTACTTACGTAATCATTAAGCATAGAATAAGGCTTCAACCTAGGATGCGTCTTATTGCTATCCCATCCAGAGTAAGTTTCACCATATTGCCAAGCGTTCTCCAATTTCCTCGAAGCCCAAGCGTCGTGATAATGCTCAGAAAACTGCTGGACAATATTGTTTAAATCATTGTTCAATACGATGGAAGAAGTATTGATCGGTTGCGGATTGTAAGGTCCATCCGTGCTGGATTTATCGGACTTGTTGGTATACCATTCGTCATCGTAGTTTTTAGAAAGGGAATAGTCCGGTGGTAAAGCACAACCTATGGCTGTGAGACAAGGTAAAGCCTTTCCGAACAGTTCCGGCTCGTAATCCATTTTGCTCAAAGAATCAAAAATATTGGAGAAGAGCATCATCGTTAACCTTTTTTCTTCATCGCTGGAAGATCCGTAAATTCCTTGGCCACCGCTAGAACCGTAATATTTGGCACATCTGTCATAATGTAATGTCAATAGTCTCAAAGCGACTGTTGTGTATTCTGAAAGATTAGATACATCGACCGTCAACTTCCTGAGCAATTTCAGAAGCATTGAAGGTTGCAGCTGACTGGTTAAAGCAACTAAGAAATCTGATACAGCTTCTCTTTGACCTTTGGTTAACATTCGGTTCTTTGACAACCGGTACACAGTATGCAAAGTTGCATCTAATAAAGAAGCGTAGTTCTCAGCCTCACTGTAAAATTTACTGTGCTGAATCAATAGCGGCAAGATGGAATTTCCAATGTATCTGTTCATACTTAGAGCCATATCAGATTCACTACCATCATTCTAAAATAAAAATTATGAAATATTTAAAAGATACATAAACATAAATAACAAACCCTGTCCAACATTGTGGCACATCTCAAATCTGGCAAGAAAGCGTCTTCCAAAAGTTTGTAGAACAACTCTTGAGTTTCGATGCCGTAAACTCTTTCCAAAAACAGAACGATGGACTGCTTGTGAGGAGGTGTCAATCCAGAAGGCATATCAGACTTAGGTCTTTCTTCTCCAGCGGCTGGATTATGTAGAGTGAATTTTTCGCTCAAAACTCCTTGCAAATCCTCTAATGGTACAAGAGATCGTAGAATGGCTCTTGCTCTTAAAGATTCGTTCTTTCCCTAAAATTTAATTCGTAAATATTTTTATTTTACGTATCACATACGTTCTCTGCGAAAGTAGCTTATTAATGTGGGTCTTAAAAGATTTTGGGTATTGGGAGGATCAGGGAAAAATTTGTTGGGATAAGCCATTCCAAACTCTAGCTGCTCTAGGTACATAGGTTTTAAATGTTCGGAGCTGAACCTTCTACATATATGAGGAACTGGTATTGAGTCGCTCCGGTTGATATGGCTAGTGGTGTGACGAAGGTTCAGAAGAACAAATATTGTTAAAACATAAATAGGACATAGACAGCATACCAAATGCATGCCGACGGTTGATGGGAGGGAAGTTTTTAGTATTATTGGAGTTTTTAATTAGGCAGATAGTCTTTCTATTACTTGAACCAAGAATGTTGTGGATACTGCATCTTTCCCAAGTATTCAAATTAAGGTCTCCGGGGGTAAGATGTGGAGAAATATGTTCTTGCTACAAAGAAGAATGGATAACAGAGAATGAGAATACTTAAGCTTTTTACATAGCATAAGAATATGTAATAATAGTGTCATCCTCAGTAGTACAAAGGGTCTGTTATGATCCACAGATGATGGTACAGGACAGTTCTTTGCCAGAGCATCCTTAGATGAACTGACAGTAACGTACTATATCGCTTTATTGCCAAGACATATATTTATTTATTCTTAACCGTAGGATCTTGAATGTACCTTGAATGAGATTTTATGGAAGTGTCACTCCAATAATTTTGATTAGAATGAAAATTAAGTGTATATATACAAATAATTGTGCCTCAATTGCAGTCTGGATAATTTCGGTTATGGCTAAACAATAATCGGAAGGATTTTGATAGGACAAGCATCAACATGCATCCACAAAAACGATTATTATTAAAGTTGTTGGATTGGAAAGTAAGTAAATTAGTTAGAGATAAATCTTACCAAAGCAATTACTGACGCATCGGGAGCGCACCGTCCCAAAAGATCGACCAAGGTGCAGTAGAAATTTAAAATAGCTGCACCAGTATCGATATAATCTTCATCATCGTCGCTTTCCGGCAACGGGTGTGTAAATTGTGCAATATTAACAACAGTCCCCTCAGCTTCGTCCATCATTTTTCTTCTATCTGCTATTCTCTCGGACATTTTGTTAGCATCTACTATAGCTCTTAATAAACCTTCGCCTTCTCCTCTGAGAGCGGGTCCCAAACATTCTGGTCGTCGGATTAACAGTCTTATTACGAGATTGGCGTTTTCTTCGACGCTTTCGCCGTTCACCCAAACGCAAAACCTCAAAAAATCTAGGTACCTTTCTCCTTCTACCGGGTCCCAACCTAAATCCGGGTAACCTTTTTCTATTAATTCTGAATTTGATTGTAGACCACAGCGAGATAAATATACGGCAATTTTTTCTAGATAGTGTTCGCGAAGAGCCAAAGCTAGTTCAGTGTTCTCCATGAGCGAGGAGTAAGATACATCGAGAGGCGTAGAGCCTCTTAAACTCGGTCTCGATAAAAGAATGTTACTGTTATCGAGTAAAAAGTCGAAGTGTTCGAACATGGCTTTCTGGTTCTGTCTGCCGGTTCTGCAGAAATAGCATAAGAAACGGCAGCAAGCGACCACCATCTCGTGAGAAGTGTCCTGCAATTCAAACCAAATGGTTACTGAATTTAATTAGTCTACTATTTAAAAGAATTTATATTTTAATTAAATTACCTTTTCTTTGGTAGCAACTTCACCTTCGGTGTTCTGCTGCTGGTTGCTAGCATCGGATTGAGCTTGCGATCTTCTGCCCAAAGTATTAATCATGACAGCCATAACGTTCTCGTGGATCCTCAAGACTCGAATTAAGTCAGGATGTTGGAAGAAAGTGTGATTGTTCACCAGCTTCCACAATCTCTCTCTCATTAGTTCTTCTTCTTCTTGCGACATTTGTACGGGAAGCAAAGCTCTGATTTGACTCAAACCGACCCACATTTCTGCCACATCTATTTTTGTCTTTGCATTAATGATGTACGTCTTTTCTAAAGCTCTAATTAGCTCTCCTACTGAGTCATATTGTCTTACCAACAAACTGCAATCAAATCGTATATAAGTACTGTAAAATTAAAACAGGTAGTGTGATTCATAACATACCTAAACATCTCCTGGACTAGATTTGAAGTTTCAATTTGAGTTTCCTCCGCCCATCTAACAATAGTGGCAATAAGTACCTTCCTGAACGTTTCTTCTGGAGTTTTCTTTTCAGGTTCGGGTTCCTCCTTCTTCTCCTCTTCCAGTTCTTTTACGGCGTTTATTAAATTGTATAATTTTTTAAACGGTCCCAGTTTGACAACCTCTGTATTCTCTTCTTCTTCTGGTGCAAGGAGAGCTTGAAGTGATACGTGGTTCATCAACCTGTGATGGAAAGTGTTCATTCTTTCGCACAAATCATCACCCAGAGGGCAATTGTCTTTATCTTCTTCTTCAATGTTTTTGAAGCCTAAAAGACCCACAAAAAAACCGTAATAATGGATTTTGCAATTTTTTTAAAGCATGTTATACTCCAGCAAAACGTCGTCTCAGTGCTGAAACGTCTATTCTATAAAACCTTAAAATTTTATTCAAAGACATTAAGTAATGACGGTAAAGTGAAAATATATTAAAGATTAAGCAGACTGGGTTTTTGTTAAGGATAGATGAAAAAAATATATTAGAAGTTTGTTGAATGCAGAGGTTAACTGCGCACCTATTGAAAACACAATAAATTGTTGTTGGCCAAGATGGAATTTTTGAGAGGTCTTAAAAAGTGTTGGATATAAAGGTTTCTATCTATCTTTCTGAATTAGGCTGCAGTTCAAAGCCCACTGGTACTGAATCACTAGGCTTATTGCACCCTTCTCAGTTTCTACCCCATCAGGTCTTGATGTATTCAATAATATGTCTGATATGGGCTCTTTCGTCATTTCTTTGGGGTCCGGATATTGTACCCCGAAGTTCCCTTTTAAGGTTCCAGCAATTAAATAGTATGTGAATAGGAATTTGGTCCTCCTCTTCACATTTTCTACTTAGGAAATCATCAGATGTCCCTAAGATATTTAGGTGTCCTCTAAAGTCACAGTGTCCCGTAAAGACTTTTATTATGGTCTTGATTTTTTGCTTTTTGAATATGAATATTCTGGACTGTCTGAGTCTAGGCAGTAGGCAGTTCCAACCAGAGCGTATGGTTTCTATTTACTTGTTCCGTGTTCCCCCTTTTAATATACTGATATGAAATACCACATATGGATTCATTCTTGTTTGATTGGCCTGATAGCTGTTCAATAAAATCTTAAGAGATTAATATACAAAAACAAAGGAGGCTTACGCCGATGTACTAATTGTATGGTAAGAAATATGGTCGCACAATGAGATGGAAGTTTAAAGGCGAATGAAGATACAGTCGAATTGTTAAGTTTTATAAAATAGGAGAACGATGAAGTTTATAATGGAATCTGAACAAAATAAAAACTGAAAGCAAAAAATAAATAGCATAATAATTTAACGTTAACCCGAAATCAAAATGAATTGCAATCAAACAAAATAAGAAGTTTCGGGTTCCTATGAAGGGTCCGACATAATATAAAGTGACAAAAAGTGTAAAAGTCTACTTGGAAAGGATATTTTTAGGGATATCTACACATTTTAATCTACTAGGATGAAAAATCAAATATTTTAATTTATAGGGGAAACAGTAGGCCAAACAACAAAAAATTGACATACGTATTTTACTTACGATATTTAATATTACAAGTATTTCTGTGTTTTAAAGGAAAACAGTAAGATAAGTGTTATTGTCATTATTTTAGGATTTTATAGTATTAAATTTAGTTATTCTTTTTAGTAGCTCTTAAAAGTAGGTAAGTCATTATATAAGACGTAAAAATTGTCCCTAAAAAGCCAATGGTTTAAAAGCCGTTTTTGGCTGTAAAAAATAGTTATTGGAAACTTTTTATAACAATAAAATATATTTTATTTATTTATGTAAAATAATAACAGTGGCGGCTTGTCGTAAGGGTTGTAGGGCTATACCTCCTAGTACAAACGGAAACCAATTAATATAAATATTCAATGAAAATGTATTGTTATCTACCAATACTATTTTTAATAAAAAAATATATATTCCATGTCTATTTATAACTTTCATACGACTTCTTTTATTTTACTTATTCCAATTAAAATCTAACAAGCCGTCCCTAGCGTTCAATATATTTTCCATTAGCTGATGTTGCTGGCTGGCAGGGCTAAAAGTTGTAGTGCTCTGATAATCGGGCGGTGAGATCGGGCTCGTAGGTCTTAGATAAGGAATTTTGACATGCTAAAGGACTACGAAAATGTCCAGCATTGCTCTTGTGTAGACACAGTGTATAGAGAGTATAGAGACAGTAAGTCTGTTTATTATTTTAGCCAGTGTTGCCAATGTCCGGTTAATTATCCGATTTTCGAATAATTTCATGTACCATCGGATAATTTTTGGATACCATCAGATAAGTTCGGATAATTTTACAAAATGGACGTGTATCTTATAATACTCTGAATGCATAAAATTATAAAATCATTTGAAATAAAATTAATATGTTTTCTATATAAAAATTGTTTTATTTACGGCAGTGTTATACTCATACTACTATTTAAGCACTTATCTAACAACACAACGGTCTTTATGAGTAGCATAATCTAATTAGGGGATTTCGCGAAAGCAATATGGATTTCCTCGACAGTAGAATATATAAATAAACGCTCTGCCTGAACGATCTTCTTTTGTCTTTTCTTCGTTGTTCTACAAAATTTTCTATTTTATTTCGGATTAAAAGTTGAAAATGTACGAATAATTTAAGTTAAACATTCGGATAATTTGAATTCAACAAACGGACAATTTTTATTTTGCATTGAATTATAATATACGAATAGTGTACAAAATATTTTAAAAATTGTTTTTTTCGAGATTTTTGGTGACTGAAAAATGCCATATTAACGGCCTACTCCCGATTTAAAACTTACTCAGGCAGACAAACGTTCATAAGGTTTATATACAAAATTATTTTCAAGGCAATTGTATAATAAAAACAGGTGGATATGTGTTTTAACGAATTAGAATGTAAATGTGACAAAACTGTTACACATCGCATCTACAATTTTAACGAAAAACTATTTAGGTTAGAATAAATTAAAAGTGTGCCAAATTAGAGGAATACCACCTATCGTATCAGCTAAAGTGCTTTCATAAGTTTTGATAAATTTTATATATCTTACATGCATTTCAAAAGTAGTCCCCTCCGTAGACTAGGCTACAAGCCGCCACTGAATATATTTTAGTTAAATGACCTAGGAGTCTTGGCCTGTGATGTTATTTTATAAAATATAGAAGAAGAAAAAAAACGTTTATTTTATCAAAATAGGTTATTATAAAATCCAATAAATATTATTTGTCTTAGATATAGCGATACATTAATGCAGCCTAATAATATTAGAGAATAGTAGAATTCTATTAATTTCCAAGATAAACCTAGTGAGTGATATACCATTTGGTGTTGCCCTGTGGAGCGGGCGGATAGAGTAACTTCATCCGGGCATTTACCATCGAGGTGGTAGAAGCCCATCAAATGAGGCGTCCAGGGACACCTTTCGGCGACGTTTTATTAACCTGCAGAACTTTGACTTGAGAGGCTAACTATTCTTAGACACTTATCAGCGGCAACCAGCAAGTGTTGAAAATTTGAGAGGCATTTTCTATATGCCTCTGGAGGAGCACAATGGACCTTATGATGCTTAAGTACTGTGGAGAAACTTCCCTCCCCACCTTACAGAAACAGAACCATTTGGTGAAGTAATCACTGATTAGGTACCATTTTCCACCAAACTCCAATGACCACTTTTTCATATGGAAGTTGGGGAAACTTTCTTAATAAGAGAGGCAGGCTCCTTCATGTTATTTTATTTTTGTATGTTTTAACCATTTAATTATGTCTTATTCATTGATGGCTAATATCAAATTTGTTTATCACTTTTCTGAGTGTTTGTCTTTCAAAGAGTGTAAAACTAATGCCTAACTTTGTAAAACTTTTTATAGCAATAAACACTTCTCAAGGCCGTCTATTAATACATATATATTTAATTCTTTACAGTTCTGAATCCTTGGTTTCTTCTTTAAAATTGATATTTTTTTTATGAGAAGTCAGATTGATAGTGTGCACTATTTCAGTTATCTTCTTTTATGTTTTCTTTAAAAAAGACCAGATAATAGATCTGCATTTGTTTACCTGGTTAATATTTTACAGTCACCTCATACTGAGATAAATAATTATCGACGCAGGCAGCAATGACACACCTCTGGTAGTTTGTTTGTCTAGTACAGCCCCCTAATATAGCCGATTGGATTATGCGTAAAACTGCATGGCTCATAAATATGTTAAATGAAGGCAAAGTATTAATTTTAATACAGTTCAGTTTTATTGCCATCGCTCATCACACCATTGAATCGCCTCTGTTTGTATTCATATTTGGTGTACCTATCTTGGAAATAAATATTAGTTCAGAAAGAATTATTGTGGTGAAGTGTGATCTATATTTTTGCACGAAATTAGTAGGTTTTGAAACGTAAAAAATAGACATCACTTTCTCGAAAATGAAAGAGTTTTGCAGAAACAGAGAACACATACACATATACACAGATAGATAAGTTAGATTTCGATCACTGTTATAGCATTGTGTTAACATATTTATTTGTTTTATGACATTAACGAAAGCGACGTGTAATAGATTTAATACATACGCTTGTCAATTTTTTCCACGTACCTGCTATTCTCTTAAACTTACACAAGATGGCGTTCATTTGCTCTCTAGGAGGGCACCTGAACTCTCTCGTTTTTTTCGCGGCGACGGCAGAAGGTAAATCGGATTGTTTGATATCGATGTATCTTCGCAATTGATCGGTTTGAAGTTCGCCAACGAAATCGTGGCTGAAAGCTATTATAGACTCCACCCGGTGCCTTAATTGGATGTCGCATAAGTGATGGAGAAGATAACACATTTGGAGTTTGGCACCTTCGGCCATTTTCATGGACAACAGACCTTTTCGATGCTCGTCTTTGCCGTCCTTTTCGTAAGATTCATCCCAGGTTTCTGGACACACCATTATTAGAAGTTTATCTACGTCTTCGTCGCTTAACATTCCGACCAGGAGCAGGCGATCGACTAGTTTCAAGAGAGGTCTACGAGAAACATTTAACATAAAAATTTGTAAACATTAGTGTCAATAAAAATAAGTATGAGCGTGAGAGTATACGCTATCTGTTAAAAATGTATTGTTTAACACGTAATTTAAAAATTAACCTGTAGTAGCCTTTTCAAAAAAAAATAAAACTCAATCTAAAAAGTGTTAAATTAGACGGGATAGAAATATAATGGAAAAAAGAAGTCAAATATCTAGGCCTAACCCTGGACAGCAAACTTCTCTGGAACATACATCAGAAGGAAGTCGTAAATAAGGCCACAAAAGCCCTAATGGTATGCAAAAACATTGCGGGTAAAAGATGGGGATGTAACCCGAACACATTCCGATGGAGGTATACAGCAATAGTGAGACCAATCATCACTTACGGGGCTGGAGTAACAGAACTAGTTTAGCTACTACGTGAGCTAATATCTCAAAAGTACAAAGACTAGTTTGTGTTTGCATCATCAGTGCAATGAGAATATGTCCTACGGCCGCAATGGAGGTGATCTTAAACCTCGCCCCTCTATATTTAATGATAGAGAATGTAGCAAAAAGGACACGATATAGAATGATCAGTAGAAAGACTAATAGCTTCAGGACCAAAGATACTTGGGATATGCTCCAGGAAAAAATGAAAAAGAAGTACAGTTTTATGAAAAATTTCAAAACCACCAGACCACCATCGTGCTTGCAACCGAAAGACATGCTATTTAGTGGTACACGTATGGTTCCAAAACCATAGAAGGAATTGGAATAGGAGTGTACGGGCCTAAAACCAAGCACTCTGTTTGGGAAAATAACCAAGCATCTGCCAGACGGAAATTTACGCCATTGAGAAGTGTATCTAGTTTAACATCAAGAGAAATTATCATAGATAAAAAAATTATTATCATGTCGATAGTCAAGCAACCATCAAAGAGCTGAGCTCTTACGTAATCAACTCAAAAATGGTTTCGGGACATAACAAGGTAAACGAGATTGCAGATAGTCTTTGTGGGACCTGAGACGCTTTGCGGTATCAGCAGTAAAACAATATTAGGAGAAATTAAAAAAGAATTGGGCAGTAGAAGGACCGATAATTGGAACAATCTCTTGAGGCTAAGACAGGCTAAGATACTTCTAGGTAAATATAACCAGAAAAGAACGGAAGCCTGTATCTGAGCAAGAGCAGGCTACGCATTGAAACAGGGATCATTACCGGGCATTGCCGACTTAAAGGACACCTTAGTTAATTGAGAGTAGTAGAAGATAGTGAGTGCAGATTCTGTGAGGACGAAATCTCCATTCACATTCTGACTGAATGTGTAGCACTCCAGAATCCAAGGGCACTATACCTAGGAGCATATCAAATAGAACTTGAAGCCACTCAAAATCCTACACTTCCTTGAGAAGATAGGATTGGAAGGGTCGTTATAGACATTTTTTACTGCGTTAGCGACAGAAGGGGACACGATATATCTTTTAGGTCGCAGTGCATTAACACCCCATTCCCAACATAACATAGTACTCCACATTACAATTGGAAGAATATTCTCAAATTTCCTTCCATTTTGCACAGAGGCGTATTCAGTATTTATTTACGGTTAAAAATTTGTATATTTTAAACACCAGCCTAAGTAAGATCTCAAGCAGTAAAAACTTTTGCCAGTACTATGACTTCCTACTTGAAGGTACTAGCTTCTGGTTTATTCACACTATCAGCTTAACTAAAAAAAGTGAAACTTACAAGAAAAGATTTTCATTGGATCCTCCAATTGGATCCCGATTGTGAACTTGATTGGTTTCGACAGATTCCGATAGAGCTTTCATTACGTAGTCTCGAACGACATCCAAAGGAAAATATGGAGCGTACAGTTCTTTAATATTGGCAATATTTTCCCTAAAAATACAATTTTGCAAAGTTAGCTGTACAAAATATTTGCGGAATTAATCATTACGTTATATCTGACATTTTCATCTGCGGTTGAACGGACTCCATTTTAAGTCGTCTTAAACTGTGTCCCATTTCTGGGTCGTCGGCGTACAAATCTTTCAGTTCTTGGCCAATAGGAATTACGTATTCGTTTTTACATACTTCCCTAAAAAAAAATATAGAGTAAAATTTACAAATTAGATTACAGAGATTAGGTTACATAACATAAAAGTTGTCTATATAAGCGGGGTGTAATATGGTGTGAATAGATCATAAACATTCATTTCGAGTTGGGAAAATTTGAAATAATTTTAAAAACTTATAACTTAAAAAGTATTTGAGATAACAACGTCGAGTTTTTACTGGATATCTTAAATTTTTTTGTTTTTTTTATATAGGGCAACTTTCTTATTTCATTTGAAACACCTTGTATATATATTTTTGTTTTTTATTTTTGTTACATATATATTTAAGAAGAGACTTTCTGAATATTTAAAAATATCTATAGAATATTGCTTAAAAAGTAGGTAATTGACGGACATTTTTAAAAAATATTTTTTTGTGGAATGGACTGGTATAGGGAACGCTTAATTCAAATTATTGTACTTTTTAATGGTGATATAAAATACAGGGTGGTCAATTAAAAAAATAAATGAGAAAGCGATGTATTTGAGTTTTGACTCACCCTGTATAGATTTGTTTCAAATTAAAAACAATAGTTCGTCGCCATAAATGTTGACTAATATCGAAAAACTGGTTGTCAATTGTTTTTTTTTACAGACCAAAGCTCATTGAAATAAATACGATTTTCATATTAAACTGTTTTTAGTGTGTGAAATAGCCGGTGTAATCCCATACTATTTGGTATTGTTATAATGAGGACAAGCGAGGGCAATTAAAATATAAAATAAAATACTTTGATATGTATCACTTTCCTGGAGAACCCTGTATAATTGAAATTAGTTTTCAATTGTTTCCTTTTTTATTTATTCCAAACACTATACTCTGTTTTTAAACTAGGAGGAGCGAATTGAAAAGACACATTTACACATGGAAAAGTAACTAGATTTGTTACTAAGAGCGAGTTTAATAAGGGGGTTATGATTGACAACCTCTGTTATTTTTAACAGGTCTGTTATTTTATAAACACAGAATATACAACCTGTTCACAAATAACGAGTCTATTAAAAATGACATTATTTGTCCATCATAACCCCTATAGGCATTCCAACGACCTGTCAAACAATAGGTGCCAGTGGGAAATTCTTAGCGACATAGTCTTGCAACTTGGACGCTATTTTTATTCGAAGTAGTACTCGCCAAGCCTGCTAATTTATGAAGAAATGTATAGGTAAGTTTTTTAAATATTATTTTTATTGTGTTTGACATAAAATATTTAAATGTAATCCATTATTCATGATTTTACGTAAAGTAGATAGAATACACCATATGTCGCCACCCTTAGATATACCAAACCTGCCCACTGGTAATTCATTTGTTTGGAATGCCTAATAGTCGTGTTAAAATTTATGAAATAGTTATCTTATCGGCCTTAGTCGGTGAACGGCCAATGAGCGGTTAGGATACGAATAAATGTAATTTTTTTATTGGTCCCAGACGACGGTCGCAAATTTCATACTATTGTGATCTGAAAAGTGTGACTAAAACGAATTGTCACTGTCAAATAAAACTTGAATAAAACTCAATATGGTTGTTGATTGATGTCAGAAATAATTTTATCTAATATGAAAATCGACTTTTTGAGAATAACTATGATATTTTTAAAATGGATATTAAATATTTAAGAAAATTGTTAATAGAATATCCAGATGTAGCCAGGTTAGTATAAAATATAAAAATCTGGGCTGTTTACATTTTTAAGGATATAGGTATAAGTGGATCACACAGTAACTGGCATCTCTCCTATGAGTAATGTGGATGTTATGGCTTATTTAGTGTTAACCCATGGTTAATACGCTAAAGGGCAAACAAAGGCATTCAAAAGTTTACAGGTCTATGAGTCGGAATTTGTTTTGAAAACTGGAACCAACATTTTCATAACACTTTGTCAACATATATATTTTTTTAATTTAAAGTGAACTATTTATACATACCTATGTATTATTTTTAAGTATTTTTAAAATATTTTTGGTTTAAGTAATGTTACTTACTCATTGTGCTAAATTAAGATTATCTCTAAAGTAGTAGATTTTGTTTTAAAAGTTATAACAATTTTGTAAATGGTTTTATTCTATTCTAATAAATAAAATTTACTTGAACATTTAGTTACATTATGTTTAGAAATTCATCAATTTTTAGTTTTAAAAAATTAGTAATAAAGTTGTTAATTTTTTTCTAAAATACTTCGGAATTCTTCTCTTCATGGTAATCTCCCACCTGTTTACCTTCAAAAACCAATATTGCATTTTCTACAAAACCTTTTTCACAATTAGCATGTAAAATAATAGGGTGTCTTCCCTTTCTTGTAGGGCTTTTCAGGACTTGCTACCCTTAATAGTACTCATTGTAGAAGGATCCATTGCTTACTGAAGAATTATTATTTACGAAATAATGTAAAAAACTAAAATGGATGAGATATAAAATTATAAAATGTCAGAACTGTCAACAATATCAATTATTATCTGATGTTCATGTTAAAAAGTAATGTGTGAAACTGACTGCAATCTAACCAATCAGAAGTCTACAGAATTGCCAACTTAAATTCAAATCACTCCTCTTAGTTTAAAAACAGAGTATAGCAGAGACTGGGAATCAATGGCATCAGGGAGTGATTCAGAGACTTTTAATGACTTTTTTGAATTTTTTAATGAACGTTATAAAACTTTAAATAAACATCCCATGAACAAGCTTGGTATTTAACTAAGAACGGATTTATCAAAAAATAAATCTAATATTTTTAAGTTAAAGCAAAATGATCTGTTTACACCATATTATTTCCCCACTTCAATAGCCAACTTTTATCCAATTTATCCTATTAGAGATATTTAACCATTTACGAGATTCTCATGCTTTGCGATCCTATACAGAATACAGTCCTGGTAAGATACAATCTTCGGTCCTGCTTTGCTTGGATTGGAGTGAATAGTAAATGGTGCTCGTAAATGTACGACACAGTATCAGTGTCTCTACACAGCAGGAAATGGAAACGCCGATACCTCATCCTGTCCTCTTCAGTACATGAGAACGCCATTTACTGTTCACTTAGACATTTAAAGCGGGATCGAATGTTTGATCTCTCTAGCACTGTATGACATTGTATACTAGGTATATTCTAATAAGAAAACTACATACATAGTTGTAGCCGTAGATTCCAGATGAACAGCAATTAACAAATCGTAGAAACCTTGTCTGAGCGGACCACTCATATACTCGGATTTTATGGCGTACAACAATTGTTTCTGGTCGACATGTTTACACAACACGTGCGCCGCTCTGTAGTTACTTTGATAGCACAACGCCGCGTATAATGTCAAAGTGTGCGCGTGGAAACTGAGCAATTTATCCATTTCTATAAGTTCCAGGATATCTATGCATCTATCTTCCTCTGGAATATGAAGAGCCAACATCGATATCGGGTCTTCGCATAACATTGACCATCCTCTTATGTCAGAAAGTTTCAAAGCATGTACTTGAAGACTTTGATTCGGTACCTAATGAATAATGATGGTTACTATTTTCCAAAAAATATTCGATCATTAATAAAAAAACTCACTCTAGCCCATTGATGTGGTTTCAAACATTGAACTTTTAATCTCGGTGGAAACTGTGGTATAACGTGTCTCGCACTGTTTTGCAAAATAGCAGCAGACAGTGGAAGGCTAGTTGGAGTCCTTCCCAATTCAACCTGTAAGACTTCTTTGCTCGTCGCTTCCACGAAAATAGCGGGAAACAGTTTTGTTTCAGGTTCCATCTAAGATTAATTTTAAATTAATTAATTAATGAAGAGATGTTTTTTTAAGTATGTAAAATTTGTTTTAATTTAATTCGTCAAGCACTTTCGGCTATTAAATTACATTAAAAGCAACACTGTATAATAAATCTAGCTTACTTTAAACCTATGTGAAGTCGGTTTTCCGTCGCAAGTAAATGTTATGATACCAGTAGCCGCATCTAAGAAACAACCAATAAACATTCCTTGTGAAGCTCCTTTACCAGAAGCGTCTTGAGTCACTTGGTTGTACAATTCATCTGATCTAACCATGTAACAAGATTGTCGGTCGACGCTATATATGAAAAAAAATATCGAGTTAACTCCTTAAAAATTATAGAATGGTTGATTATATCATACCCATCAACCACACGATCAAAATCATCTACAACCCACACGGAAGATTTGCGTACTTGATTTTGGTTAAAATCTTTACTATGGAGATGATATTGAGTTGTTACCCAGCCTACGTAAGTGTGTGCAGGATCTTGACCAGGAAATATACGCACACCTGAAAGTATCATATAAATAAAAAATGTATATAAATATCATTATTTATTCTATTCATTCATTATATTTGTCGGGCGAGAACACTACCTAAAAAAGCGATAAAAATAAGTATAGACAGTCTAAGCGGAATTAATAAGGAAAACTATGAGAATATAAGTCTAGATCTACCATGTTATTAGCTGATGCAGAACAATATTGAGCGAATTTGGAATTGGATAAATGCTTACCGTAAAAGTACTCATTTATTAGTTTGAGACATTCCGCATCATAAATTTCATTACCAACTGATTCTATATCCGATGGTAGCGTTACCGTTAATTGCTTTTGCTGTTTATCTATAGGTGCTTGATGATGAAGATCGGTCTAAAATACCATTGAAAAAGAAATTTTAAATAAAAACGATATTTACGTATTCAAAAAATACTACCTGAGACTGTTTCATTGTCTGTCGCCTCTGTAAAGCAGTGTTGGATAAACCGACCGATCTCGCTTGCGGTGATAGATCGCTCGCCATTCTTGGTGCTGGATCCGGAGTTCTCGCTTTTTTGATGCGATCTCTTTCACCGCTTGTGCCGGCTTCACGATTTTTCTTAGAGAAAAATCTAAAAAAAAATTGGCGTTTATTAATAGAACATTGTTTAAAATAAAATATTTACCTGAACGGTGATCTACCTCTCTTTTTCTTGTCGTCCGTCTTTTCTGGAACGCTATTTGTCATTTCGTTGTATCTATTCATGTTAAGTTCGCTGCTGGACCTCTGCACACCTCTGCCTGTCATGACTCCTAGAGCTGAAAGGGTTTTTTTTAAATACTTTGATAAACTACATCATGTACATACAGAGCGATAATATATTTCATAATTTGCCTTTGACATCCAAGTAACAATTTTAATCAGACACTTTAAATTTTTTTAATTTAAAAGTGCTTTAATATGTCCAATATTGGTTTTAAAATTACCTTAAGATAAACTAAAAGTTCTTAAAGACTTCTTATTATTATTCAAAGAATTAATGTACTTTAAATTAAAATAAAAAAACTATTTCCTCTTAATGTCCTATTGATCTCGCTTTGCTCGTCCCGCAAATATTCACTTGTTACATAAAATAAGTCATTTCGTAACTGGTTTCATAAATAGCTATTAAATGCAAAACGTCAGGTAATAAGTTTTAATACATACATTTAAAGTTGTCTTGAAGAACGCTTTAAGAATATAAAATTTAAACTAAATTTAATATAGATTTAAAATTTAGTCATGAAGGCCCTTTTAGGATGGTCCATTTTTGTGGTGGTCTTGAGACAGACAAACACAGACAAATACAGACAAATACAGACAAATACAGACAAATACAGACAAATACAGACAAATACAGACAAATACAGACAAATACAGACAAATACAGACAAATACAGACAAATACAGACAAATACAGACAAATACAGACAAATACAGATAAAATACAGACAACATTCTGACAAAATACAGATAAAAAAGAAAATACACAAAATACAGCCAAAATACAGATAGAATACAGACAATACAAACAAAATACCGAAAAAATCCAGACGAAACGCCGACAAATAGAGAAAAATATGAACAAATTTGGACATAAATAGAAAAACACAAACAAAAACAGAAAATGCAGAAGAATGCAGGCAAATATAGACAAAATACAGAAAAAATACACACAAAATACAGACAAAATACAAACGAGATACTGACGAATTACAGAAAGAATACAGACAAAATACTGATAAAACATGGAAAAATACAGATAAAACACGGACAAAATACCGACAAATAGTGAAAAATATAGATGATAAACAAACATAGGTAAATGCAAACAATTATAGAAAAATGTAGGCATATACAGATAAATAACGATTTTAAATATTTTTCTCTGATGTAAATACATGAAAAACTGGAGGTGAAATTTAAAAAAAGGTTTGTGAATTAAGTTTTGAAAAGATCATTAAATGTGTATTGTGATGCTATTGAAAACATTTTTTACTTATCTTTTTAAAAAATGAAAATATTTCCTGTAAATGATAACTTGGGATATCAAAAAGCGGAAATGCCGAAGGTATAAAATGGGTATCAAGAGACTCCCTTAAAAATAAATAAATACGTATTTTACCGTATTCCTATAGGATTATAGCTATCAAATTTTTTAAATGAATCAATATATTTCAAAAATTGAAAATGTAAAAGACGTAAAATTGATATTAAGATTCTAATTTAAATATTTATATTTGCTTTAGAAAAACGTGTCTTACCATTTTCCTCTTAAATAGGTTGAAAGTGGTAGATGCATTTTTTATAATGCTATTATTACGATTCACACAAAATAGGTCTTTTCCTTTGCATCGAAAGTGTAGCACTGAGTTACACCACTTCTGAAAATATCATCCCCATTTATACAAATTGTATGGATGGAACGATATTTTCAGAAGTAGCGTAACTCAGTGCTACACTTTTGATCGAAAGGAAAAGACATAACGTTTCTAAAGTAGGTAATGACTGACAAAAACAGAGATAAGAGACGAAACTGTCATTTAAAAAAAGAAGAAATGTACACTTTGCTATATGTGATTTTTCCATGGCCCACTTTAGAAACATTTTTTGTAAATCACTCCCAATGTGATCCAAAGCGCGGATAAAAACTACTAAAATAAATTTTTACTTACTATTATCATCAAAACCATTCACATTTCTGGATAAAGAACCTTTTCTCGGAGGTCGAGACGGCAACCTCATAGATTTGTTAGTGTTACTTTGTTGGTGACTTTGTTGGTGACTTTGTTGGTGACTTTGTTGTTTCATCACTTCGTCCGATTCCACGGCATCTTCATAATTTCTGTGCAAACCTTTGATGTCGCTCATCGAGAATCCGCTCTTCATGATATTTTCTATGTGAGCCGGAGGTCCTTGATCGATAACTTCCGCCTTCAATCTATGTTGACGAATTTTAATTTCATCCCATCTCCTGCGCTTTTCGTCTTCCCTAAATTCACCAAAAATCATAAATACCGCTATTACTATCGACTAATCTTGTATAATAATTAATTTTATTTAATGAACTCGGCGCTTCGCCTAATTCTGCTCAATCAAATTTGTATCGTTCATATCTGTACACTAGAAAAAAAAAACATAACTCACGATATAAATTGAGAATGGCATATGACAGGCAAACTTAATCTCAAAAATTCCCAGTTGGCTTTCTCCATGGTTTCGAACGTGTTATGACTGATCTTCAAGCAAGGTGGTGTCTCAGAACCTGCTAATATTCTAGTTACATCTATTTTCGTATCAGGTATGTCTTCGGTATTTTCAAATATTGGTTGATCTTGGGTGTACCAGTAGGTTACCGCTCGATTCATATTTCTAAAATAGTTGATGTAATAGGTATAGATATAGATAACAATTATTTGCAGCTTATGACACGATAAATTAATGAAAGCCTATGCAAAGAGTAATAAACATAAGTAGGACAAAGACAACAATAATGAAAATATATAGCAAAAGACAACAATATCGCATTAACACCATTTTGTTCATTTTTTCATTAGATAAAGTCATATGTTCATCGTAAATATAATACACAGTGTTAATTGTGAAGAAAATAGAAATTAATGAACTATAGAAAAACTGGAAGAGATATAACAGAGAATGAAGCAGGAGATAAATGAATGTAATCAAAATAGTCTAACAGAGAAATTCAACGAATACACTGTGCACTTATATTTGGGATTCGTTGAATTTAAGAAGGTTTTAGGCTCGGTTGAAACCTAGGCTATCTTGAATAAAATGGAAAAAGATAATTAATCATATATCAAAATTTTTCATTTTCCTCAGCAGCCGGATTGTAGAGAAAAATGATGTTCAGTATGGAAAGTATTTCTATTCCTTTACACATGGGACTATTCAGAACATTTAAAAAGTGATGGCTCTTATTTTGACTCAAGTGGAAGGCAATTCCTTAAGACAGGAAGTGTATACTTCACATTAGTACATACACGTTACATTGTCTACTCCTAATAGTTAATTATCACTTAAGTTTTGTTTGAGCTCAGACAGGACAGCTAAATTATTTTTACTATTTTACTTTAAAATTATAACATCAATTATTTGCAACTTTCAATGAAAACTGTTTTTTAAGACCGACCAGAAAATATTCACTTTCTGAACAATTTTTCGTCTAGAAAATAACGTTTTGTCGATAAAGACCGGAAAGTAGACGTTAGGAACCAATAATAGAAATTTACGTTACAAGATCGGAAAGTAGTGTTTTGCAGGTCGAGACAAGCAGAGCCGTAGGCGAGACCTGGAATGTTGGAGAGACTTGCTTAACACTAATTTTCGGTCGCGTGACGTACAATATTTTAAGACCGACATGATACTTCGATGTAAACTCAATTATTTTTTTTTTAATAAAGTGATTAACAAATACTAATCGCCTTTTTTGCTACTTCCAATATTTCTTATGGAATTTCATTTTCTATGTCAGATAATTCAAGTTTGACATTAACAAAAAATTGAAAATTAACGAACTGTCACTTATCAATAAATCGGAACGTTGTTACTATAGTAACGAAATCAAGGCAGATTGTATTATCAAACAGTGATCGGAAAAATAAAAAACAGCGACCGGAATAGTTATTTACGATATAAGTGGGATAAGAGCTTTATTAACATACGCATGCGAAATTCGCACAAGTGCGTAGCACGAGTTGGGGAATCGCAGAAGTACGTAAATAAAGCTTTATGACACGTATATTGTACAAATTTTTATCTACGCCTCTAAATGTAAAAATAAACGGTAATTATAATGTGTGTCTAAGACTTAATTTAGGCCTATTTTCTGGTCGGTCTTAAAAAAATCTTTATATTGTAAAGTATATTATAAAGTATAAAGTAAAGTATATTGTAAAGTATATTGTAAAGTATATTGTAAAGTATGTAAAGCATATTGTAAATTATATTGCAAAGTATTTCGTTTAAAATAACGAGTATAATTCCAGACAGATTAAAGAAAGTTAAACTAGAATGAAGATGAAGATATTGCTTGGCATTCTATATTATACTCTTCACAGTTTAACAGACCCTGCTCCCCTTAACCCGTCATTTTTATTCATATTTTTTTCAGAATCAATAGGCTTCATCCCCTTAGAAAACTTGAGTTTTCGATTAATAGATTATTTTTGATTAATCGATTATTTTAAATAATCGATAATTGATTATTTATTTTGATAAACGCCCAGCTCTAATTTCAACCCCCCTTGCCCTTATTTTTAGTCAGATTTTTTTTTCAGAATCAATAGGCTTCATTCCTATGAAGAGCTTGATTTTTACTACAATTTTTGTTTTGTTTTTGAGTTAGAATTTTTTTAAATATTTCAACCCCCTCATCCCACCATTTTAATTCAGATTTTTCAGAATCAATAGGCTTCATCTTCTTATAGAGCTTGATTTTTACTAAAAAATTTATATGTTGATCGCTTTTCGTCTTTGATTTTTTTCTTATCTCCCCATTTTTAGTCGGATTTTTTTTTCAGAATCAATAGACTTTATTGCCTTGTAGAGCTTGATTTTTGCTAAAAATTTCATGTTGATATCGCTTTTCATTTTTGATTTATAACTTTTTTTTAATATATTAACCCCTCTCAACCCCCCATTTTAATTCAGATTTTTTTCAGAATCAATATGCATCATCTTCTTATAGAGCTTGATTTTTAATAAAAATTTCATGGTCAATAGGTATTTTTTTTTATTTCAACCCCCCCTTAATTTATATTTCGTGATTTTAAATTTTAATTTCAAATGAATGTGAAAAATAGGAAAACATTTATTAATAGGATCACTTGTCAATAGTTTTTAAACATTCATTCGTTTTTCTATGATAATTGCTTCAGCAAACATCTAAAAAAATGCTTGGTATTTATCACATTAACTACTGTTTTATTAGATTTTTATCGTTGTAAAAATTATAGAAATAATGGAGATTTTTCTGTAAATAATAATGAGAAAAAGCTAAAAGCTTCTTACAGGTATAGTTTTATTTTTTCATTTGTCAATTTTATATTTCAGTTATACGGCTGAGTAAATAACAAAACATTATTAAATGACCCACGAGAATGTTATGACCGGGGTGGGTGGCTCTCAGTGGTAGTGTATCTGCCTGTGGATCCAAGGGTCCCAGGTTCGAATCCCACCGTTGGCCGGGATTTTTTTAATTAATTTAATTATTTAAAATTAATTCTGATGCATTGGTAGGATTCCCCACTCGACCATTAACTGTTGGGTTCTAATTAACAGTGCTGTTCCTAAAGTAGCGCTGGGAAACAGTAACAAAGCCTACACAGAATACGAGGCTAATAACCTTAGTAGTTGATGCCGATGACACCAAATAATAAAAAAAAGAATATTATGTTTGATAAGAAAGTTCTACTAGTAACTTTTTAAAATAATCATTGTATTGATTATATACAGAATATTTATTGATAAATAAGGAAATGGAAAACGGTATTTTGTCACCAAAGAAATACATCATTTGAAACTTTGAGACAGTTGGTTCTACTTCAAACAAAATTGAAATATTTTTTGATTTTCACAAAATTGAAAAATAAAATTTCAGCGAATTGGAATGCCGACGGTACCACTTCTGACCGTTGCAGTGTCCAGGACCAGGAGAGAGCGGGGACTTGCCTTTGGACCAGCTTTTCATTTATAACTTTTTTTTAATATGTCAACTCCTCTCAACCCCCCATTTTAATAAATATGCATCATTTTCTTATAGAGCTTGATTTTTACTAAAAATATCGCTTTTAGTTTTTTATTTTTGATTTTTTTTCAACCCCCCCCTAACCCCTATTTATAATTAGATTTTTTCAAAATCAAAAACTTTGTCCCCTTAAAGAGCTTGATTTTTGCTAAAACTTTCAAGTTGATATCATTTTCAGTTTTTGACTTATCGTGCGGACAAAAAACGTGATATCGGACGGACGGTCAGACGGACAGACGAACGAAGCGAATGCATAATACTCTTCACAGACTACTGTGTAAAAAGTATAATAAATAATGGGTAATAAGGAGTATCTAGGTACCTGTTTTGAGAATTGACCGCTTTACCGATTTTAGAATCTACGTTATGCATCTACTGCTTATATGATGGAAGCACAACCGGATTTAGTATAGGAATTAGTCTAATTATGATTAATGATACGAAAACTAGAAATCCTATAAATAAACTTACACACAGAATGGTTCGTATCCCTCTTGTAACCCGCACATTGTGAAATATTTTAATTGCGTAACGTCTTGACCAAAAATAAGTTTGGCTTTTTGACCAACTCCGAGAGTGAACGCTGGTACGAAATTATCGCCCTGTACGTCAGCGAACGTCGTTTCTCCACCAAGGGCATCCATAAGAAGTTCACCATTCAAAGAAAAACCTAAAATTAAATCAAAAAATTGCACGTTGCTCATTAGAATTTGTATTTAAAATTGTAACTCGATGAAAAAACAATGAGAATTTAAAACTACCAAAAAAATGAAAAACGGGTTATATTTACGAAGTGCTAGCCAAAATTTCATAGATTTCAGTAAAATCTTCTGTAGCACCATTTTAAAACGCTTTTAATTTGTTGGGTGGTACAAAATTCATCGAATACATCCGATCGAAAACATTTGATATTAAATCTTATATTAGATTAATAAAAATTAACTATTAGAGAAATTAAATCTTAAATTAACACCTAAAGTGGCATGGGGAACAGACGCGTCGACTATCGTATTGCCGATATTAAAAATTTTACTAAAAATTACGTCGGTCAGCATTTGTGCGATACATGCAAGGTAAATACATTATTTATTATTTTGTATTAGGCATAGCCGAGCTTTTTCAGCGAACATGTGGCAACTACGATATTCATGCTATCCTAGCGTTGTCACTGATATTCGGTTCGGCTAATATCCCACCACCATAATATCTTCTAATTCTAGTCGACGACCCGACGACTGGCTGTTGCCCCGTTGCCATTTTATTAACTTATATATTAGTCGTATGCCTTACACGAAAAAATAAGCACTGTATATATAGGTAGGTACTTTATTTAATTATGTCCTAGGCAATATTCCATTGCAGTTGGTTTCGGTTTTTGCAGCATCGAGATAGAAAAAAGTAGAGACGACATAAACACTATTTTATGATATGACAAAATGGACGCACTTCAAGTGACAGAAAAGTGTAATCAAAATGGCGACTTGAGTCGTACTTTGATTTATTTGAAGTCAATAATTTTATATGTAAAGACTGACGGAATGAAAATAATTTTATATCATTTATATGAAGCTATTTAACAAAAAATTGCATTTATTCTCACCAAAACTGACTAACTACACACTATCTTGAGTTTGACATTGACGTAAAAATGTAATACAAGCATCGTCATAGTATCTCCTCTTTATTCTATCTCAATGGTTTGTAGTTAAGAAAAAAAAATGGTAGGTACTTTTCGGTAAAAAAATTATCAAATATTTGTCAAATTATTTACACAAAAGTTATTGAATTAATTTACAGGAGTGTTGTTCTTCTATCCTAAACGTCACCAGAATTGGCGCGTATGCGTTATTGTCCGCTGGACAGGTCCGGCGTGGGGGTTATGAATACCAACACTGCTTAGTGACCATGGGGGGACAGATGCTGTCCGATATTTTTTTTAATACACCACCTTGTCACTAATTTTTCGAATAACACATTTATTCTTCCAAAAATAGATATATTCATTTCATACAAGCTAAGGTGACTGAAAATTACGACCTATAGTAAGTATTAGTTTCTTTGCTTCTCTGTGAAATTTTGGGTGGCACATCGCAGTAAAAATTTACAAAACATTGTGTAAAACAAAAAAGCATGCATAAAAAGAAAATGCAAGCTAAAAAGTATTGATAAAAATTTATGTAAAATTCCAAATTAATTGAAAAATAAAGTTTTCCTACGACCACTTAGGAAAGTGATACATATCGCACTATTTAGTCTTATGGGACGTACCTTGTATCACACGCGTGTGAATCATCTACTTTCCGCCTATGTATGAATATGAATCTACTTTCCGCATCAGCTGTCAAATATGTCAGACGCATAATTTATATTTTTATTTATGTAATTTCTATATTAATAGTAAATAGATGATTAAATTGTTAAGATTGATTTTTATATGTACCTAGATCCTAGATATTTATTTTTAAAAATTAATAAAATAATTTAAAACTACATCATTTTTATTTTTTTTTTTTAGTTAATACACATTTGATTAGATAATTTACTGGATATAAGCCTTCATGGCTCAGATCGTTAAAGATTTATCAACTTTGGATTTCGAGATGCAGATTGAATTCTCGATAAAAAGAATCTCTATTTATTTATTTTTTTATTTTGGAAAAATATGAAAATTGAAAAATCGACTATTGTTGTTTATTTATTTAAAATACATTTTATTTATCATTTTATAAACCCATACAGTTAGTAGAGACATTAATCTTACCTCTATTTGTACTATTTTGTTAAAAGTCCAGAAAAAAATGTTAACAGATAAGTCGGTATCATCTATAATAATAACAAAAAGTATTAGTTCAAAATTGTTTATCTTTTTATTTTTTATAACTAATATTATTTTACCTTTATCATTCTATGAAAGTGTTTGTAAATGAAATCACAATGTTTTTAATTTCGACAAAACACCATCCGTAAAACACTTTAAAATTATTCAATAAGGCATATAAAAAAAAATCTAGAACCAGCCACATCTTGACTGAACTAACGTAGCCAAATTTCCTGGTTTTAATTTTTTTTATTTTTTTGTTGAAATTATTTTGTGGTCGTAGGAAAAATATTGTACATCACTTGTGTAAAAGTGATTTTTCACACTCGTAATGTAATATGATATTTCGCTATTATTAAATAATTGAAAGCTAAATAAATTGCGAAGCCACAAATTTTAGAATATCTTACTTATAGTATGATCAATTAGGTCAAGAAAAACCCCAACGACATCACTCACTTGCCACTGTTTGCCGAATGACTCAGCAGAATTAGTGTATACTTTCTCTTCCTAAGTATAGAAAACATAAATTCTCAATAGAACACTTTTAAAAAATTAAAAATACAAGGCATTAAATGCGTTTTTCAAAGTTGTAAAAAAGACACATAAACTGTCAAAAACATAGAGACATCACGCTATTCTTGTGAACTCACTAATAATTCCATCGGAAATATCTAGAAAACATCCTACAACATCTCCGACTTTATATTTTATTCCAAAGTGCTCAAAGTTACCGCAATGGTGCTTTTTTATCTGAGAAATATACATTAAAGTACATCTTATCAAATTGAATTAAATTTGTATGGTAATTATGCAGAAATGTATATAGGATGTCCCTGAAAATAATGCGCTCCTAAAGGGGTAGGTAGAAGGTAGAATAAATACATTATTTAAAATCAAAATTTAAAATATTTTTTGCTAAAGTTGTCCGATCACTTGTATTTATAGCAAAAAGTAATAGCTAACAACCTTAAAGATTATTAAAAACGTATGGAAAGTATTAACTAATTCACATCGAGGGCGGCTTCAGGGGGTCCATGAGGCCATGTCCCACGATATTAAAATTTTTACAATTAATAAGCCTTTTATAAAAAAATATGCTAAAAAGGTAATTGTTATTGGCAATGCCCCCTCCGAAAATTCGGCCTGGAGCCGCCCTTGGCTTAACTGATAAAAAAAATATAAAAAATAAAAAAATTATCACAATAATAATATTTATAACATTTCTGCTTTATTCTCGTTTACTACATAAAAGAGTAAAAACGAATATTGATGAAGACATAATGAAAATCAGATTGCTAGGGCCATCACTTTGACAGAGGAAGATCGTTCAAGACAGCACTGACAGCAGGTAGATCAAATTTTTCAAATTTTAAAGGTGAACCGTGCACCGTAACACCCTGTACATAAATATTGTTTAATTTAAACGTGGATTTGTTTTAAGTCGGGATCATGTATAAGGTTAATTATTAAAAGTAAGTAAAATAACAATAATCTCTTAAGCGATATAAAAAGATAATCTAATACACACGCAAGGATTATCTGGGTAGGAGACCCCTCCGAGTAGTTTTTTCTCCTCGTGGCAAATTGAGGTCGCAAAGGCTGTATTACACATCCTTTATTAATTATTATCAATTATTACTTATAACGTAAAAGGAATGCATTATTTTCAGGGACCGCGATAGTATCCCAAAATTAAATATTTATTTAATATTTATTTTTGATTGAAACTTACATTGTACCCATCAAACGCCCACGTATTCTCGTCAGATCCCAGCATACACCCTGGAGCGCAATCCGCCTTTGCCCAACCGACCCTCATGGGCCCGGCTGTCAAAATTTCGAATTCGAAGTACCATTTTCCTGAGCTGACAGCGTAATTCTTCTCAGCCCTATAAGTTCTGAAGTGTAACAGCCTCTGTCTGTTGATGTCGCCTAATAAGGTTTCTTGCTGTTCACCAGTAGGCGGGTCTAAGTTGTATCCGTAGACCAAAAGCGTTCTGACCGTTTCTGATGCTGTGTCACGATTGGCTTTTTTGATTGCGTCGTCTACTTTGCCGTAAGGAACCAGATGGGGGCTCCTGAACATGTCAGGGTCCTTAAAACAAAAATAAATTAAAGTCTTCCAGTGCATTTTGGAAGTTAAATACTTTTATTAAAATTAAAATTGGCAATTGGATATAGGTTTAACTCTTCTTACATCTGTATTATCTGAAAATATGTAAAACTTAACATTTAAGAAAAGTATATTTTATAAGACAATCAAGAAATTTTGTAGACAGACATATTTGATTTTACAATGAAAGATGTTCAAGGAATGATCATAAAAAAATAATTCAAATTAAGGCAGACTGAGGTATCTGTATGGTGGACTTGGCAAATGACCAATCAGATTTCCTCTGAGCAGGAGCACATTCTGTCTAGTTATAGTCAATAATTTGTTTGCTATAGTGATGGCAAGGTAACTTCAAAATTCCCAGAGAACTCTGAAGTTTCTTGTTTCATTCCTCCTTTCCATCTACAAGGGAATGTTTTTTAATTAGGTAGTTTAGGACCAGGTCCAAACAGTATTTGGTTGACTGCCTTCTTGGCTAACCCTAAGTATAATTGTGATATTTTTTTGCTGCTATGAAAATCCCCATGAACTTAGATTTAACTGCACTGGCAATATTGCTCACAGGTGATATGGATATTCAAAAAAACGTTTAGACCTTTAGGAAGAAGATTTATAGCTGAACCAAGGACAATACAGTAAAGATGCAGAGGAAACTTCCTAATTCTTGAAAGATAGATGTTAAAAATGATCAATTAAATAAATTAAAATATTTACTTCGTTAAGTCCATACGTCCATCCATTTTGTATTCTTTCCTTTGCCCATAGATTATGCGTATTTTCTGCCAATTGATCGACCAATTCTTCCAATTTTGCTGTCAAACTGATAGCGCTTAAGTCAAGAGGAGCTGGTTTGTAACCGTTGGCTTGCAAAAAAGGTTCGTTGGGCAGTCGGATAGTCTTTATTCTTGAAGGAGGTTTGTCCATCGTTATATAGTATCCAAGAGCAATGATAGTCCTTTAAAAAAGCATAATTTTAATCTATAATCAATATAATAATCAGGGCCGCCGAGAGCCAGGTCGGGCCCCGGGACAATTCTCTACATCGGGCCCGCCCTGTGACAAAAACTTTTCGTTTTCTAAAAATAAAAAAAAAGGTCCTCGTCTCGAAGAAAATAAATTTTCTCCCTACCTCAAATACTTTTCTTCAAAAAAAAAAAAAAGCGAAAACAGAAAACCCTATTGTCGGGCCCCCCTTATAGCGCTACCGGACCCCCATTTGAGCCCGGCCCCCGGGAATTGGTCCCGGCTACCCCCCCCTCTAGTCGGGCCTGATAATAATATAATAATTTATTTCTTTAAAAAACTAATTTTAGATACTTACTTTAAGGTTTGAACAGCTAACTGAGTATCATATTTTCTTTCAGCTCCCGGCAACTTATCAAACGAAACCAAACAGGGATGAATCAGCCTAGAATCGTCCCTGAACTCTCCCCATTGGCATCCAGCTTCGATTTTATTCATAGCCCACATTTCGTGAATATTTTCGGCTAGTTTATCTCTGATCGACTCTATGTAAGGAGGTAGCGTTACCATGGAAGTATCCACAGGATTCGGTACGAATGCCGTATCGTCTTCCACGTAAAGGGGTCCTGCTATAACATTCTTCGACATGTTGCCGAAATAGAAGCAAGGTTCGAGCAAGAGGATTTGCTGAGGTAGAAGGCTCTCGACGAGAGGAGAGAAGTCTTCTGGAGGGAAATATTTTAGTTTACCGTGATCGCCGCCAAGTAAGAAACGGCAACTGCAAATACATTAGTCGGTGTTTTATTATAATATAACATTGATTATTTGGGATGTATATTTTTTTATTACCAATGAACATGTATTTAATATGAATAATTACACAGGCCTGCATTTAACTACTCTGTAAAATGTGAATTGAACTTTTCAACTGAAATTGGGTATTTCAGTGACGCTGATTTCAAATCTGCTTTTAGTTTTTTTCTATCACGTAAGGTTTTTAAACAAAATACTACAAGAATGCAAAAAGTACAAATATATTTATAGATTCTTAGAGAAAAAAAAAGAAAATAATAAACCAAGAAAACAAACAATAAAACCGGGGAAGTAGTTAAAAAATAACATACATTAATCATTTGTTTTCTTGAAAAATATTTCTCTCTTTCCGGAAAAGCTTCTTTTTGTTGTTTTTCGTGCATATTCTACTCACATAGGAAACATGGATATTTCGAATATTAGGAGCAACCCTAAAATTTTAATATCACCACATAGAATCCAGTTATGTTGTCTGTGGTTTATTCTTAAAAGCAGTACCTCATCATTTTCGTAATTTTCTTTTAGCTGAGTAGAATGACCAACAGGAACAGATGCATATAAATTGCCATTATGAAGTAGAACAGCTTCAAGACTTCTCTTTGAAGAGTCTATAAAAAGTCTCCACTCGGCAGGATTGTATTCAGGAGCACCTAGTTGAATAACCAAGTCAGATACATTTTAACAATATACAAGTGAACCACCAAAGTAATTGATAAATTCAGCCTCACGATTTCTATACCAATAAAATGTACTTAGTACCTGGAGCAAGTAATTTTTTTTCTTTAAGCCTTGATCCTAAAACCTCAGAGAGGTCTTTTGGAAGTCCCAAATCCCTGACTAAGTCATTCAGTTCTACTTGAGAAAATAGCTGCGGTTCACGAGTTCCTGAGGTAGATGGCTCAAAAATGTCAATTTCTGAATCTGTTGAAGATTCTGATTCGATAGACTGTAATAGTTTAGGTGGAACCGGTACAGGTATATCAGCTTCATGTGGAACTGGTCTTATTGCAGACGAAAGATTAGGATAGTTAATATACTTTAGAGATTTTGTCTTATGACCTTTAATATCACAAAGACAAAAATAGCAGTCGTCAATGTGATTTTTAGGTTCTCTCCAGACCATTGGTATTCCAAACGGTAGGGCTTTTCTTGTTCCTTTAAACCAAGGCTTCTTCGCAAATCTTGCAGATAACATGGCGCCCAAGGTTTATCTTGATCTCCAAGTCTGACTTTAAAATATGCAAAAGATGCATTTTTTACGAAATCAGTAATGTTTCTTTTAAACTTCTTCACTATAAAGTGTCCACAAATATAACAAAAGTCATCAGGCCTATTTTTACAACACCTACTAGAAAATTTTTTAATAGAAAGTGCACAACGAAACACCGATAGAATTCGATAGACAACGCCTGTCTCAATACCACGGGGATACTAAATATATCGCCCTCTTTCCTGAATAAATCGCATCTCGGGGAATCCCCAACAATATTCTAGTAAGTACCGGTAAATCCCCCTACAAATGCGCAAACTAAAACGAGGTTTTAACGCGTCTCAACGTTTTGAACAAAAATAAGGAATTCAAATTAATTTGTTAGCGATGTTCAGGGATAATACCCTTGATACTAGTTTACAAAAAAAGTTTACGTGATAGAATACAAGTATTAGAAATAAAAAATTTAAAAAAACCCACTTCAAAAAACGTGCAGATGCCATCACCACATCTTAACCAAATTTATATGGAACCACCCCTGAGGTACCCCCTTACTAACAAAAAAAGAATCATATTAATCGGACAAGGTGGTAAAGCATTATCGCTAAACATGAGGAGTTTCTCATGGACCCAATTATTAGATTTTGACCAAATTTATATGGGACCACCCCTAAAGTACCCCCTTTCTAACAAAAAAAGAATCATTGAAATCGGAGACCGTATTAAAGAATTATCGCTGAACATACGTAAAAAAAAAATATCGCGACGAATTGACAACCTTCTCCGTTTTTGAAGTCGGTTAAAAAAGGGGGTTATTTTAGCTATATAGAAGTTGTAAATAGGTGAAAAAAAAAAATAAAATGGCTAGATCACAAAATTTTCGCGGGCCTGTGTTATTATGATATTTTTATTCAATTTAATAATATTTTTTTTATAATCTTTTATACTTGACCAACTATCATACATCCATGTCACTAATTATATGAATTACCTTTATTTAATTTAATTTTGCTCCGGCTATGACTCTTGGTATAGATTTCACATGGTCTGGCGTTACTATATTTAAAAAATTAAATTCCCCTTTATGAATTAAATTGTTATTTCTCTAATGATTATAAAATCACAATTATTAATAAAATATTCCTTCTTACATAAAAAATTAACTTCGTTTATTTTCAATTACATTTATGTAACATTTAGTTCAAAAAGAAAAACACAAAAAAAATCAGTTATGATTTAAAATTTTATGGATTGAAAATGGCAGACATGCCATCCTTTGAAGGATATTACAGTATTCTGTGAGCTGTTAATAATTAATTTATTATTTCATGCTAAGTTTAGTTTACTGTAATTACTTCTTTTTATTCTGGTAGAGAGATATGCACCCTTTTTTAACCTAAATCTAAGAAATTATTTACAAAATTTATGGTGCACCTACGCGACAAGAATGTTTGTTAAAATTAGAATTGGTTAAAAGTAAGTAACTAGTAGCTACACTTTTTAATTAACTTGTTTTACGAATTTAGTTCACTGAATCATTTGGTTAATTCTTGATAATGTTATTCTATTTTTCAGAGATTGGAAATGTATTTTCTCAAAATGGCTGGAATGGTCGTTATCACAAAATCTCGTTTGTCTGCTTACTGACCAGATTTCAACACACAAATTGCGCTTTCTAATTAAAGGTAGGTATTCTTACTCACCCAGGACATGTACAGAGTAAAATTTAAAAGAATATTTTATTACTTTTAGGATTCCACAGCTCCAATTTAAAAATTTATAATTAAATTTAGAAAAAAATTTCAACGTTCGTAAAAAAATCTCCATTCAAGAATCAACAACTCCCTATTTTCAAAGTTACCGTGATCAAAAGCAAGAAAAACTAAAGGTAGGTTCGTATGTTTTTCTTTATATCAGTCAAACAACTTTTAATGATCATTGCAATTTGAATTCGAGAGACGCTAAAATGGTGGTTCCACCTTATCGAGACTGAGGCGCACAAGGGTAAACTCGTAGCGTAACAAAAACGAGAAATAATTTAACTTGGAACGAAAGACCGAAAGCCGATAGTAGTAGTTTTAGGACGTTGAATTTTTTGGTTTGTGAAGCATTGGTATTAATTAGGTTAAACCATGTGATGATTTTCACAAGCCTTGATTTTTAAAACCATTCTATATCGCCTTTTGATTAGGGTTTACAAACTTGTTTGAGAATGTTATCCAATAATAATAGGACCCTTTACCTCTTAAGCCTGCTCTTGTAAAATATTTGGGCTCCTTACTTCGCCTATTTATATAATATTAATAAAGGACAAAAGGATGAGTATTGCAACTATGTCAAAAGAAATAAATTGGCTTTCAGTTTAGAATTAGGTTCAGTACATGACTGATATTTACTTATGTACCATCGCTTCAGATCTATTAGAAAAAATTCAATATAATTCGCAATATCACAATTATAATATAAGAAACCAATCTGACTTTCATGTACGGCAAGCCATCACTAAAAGTTCTCAAAATACAATTTTTATTAAAGGTTTAAAAAATTAAATAAACTGCCTACAGAAATTAAAAAAAAAAACAACAATAAATGTATTCAAAAGTAACCTCAAACAATACTTGATAAATAAACAGAACGGATATACTTTCTTGTGATAATACTCTTTAAACCTGCCCCTTTTAAGTATTTCCCTTAATTTATTGTCATTTTACCCCTCATTTTACCCGCATTTATTATAAATTATTTCTGTTTTAAGATCATGTACTTTATTTTAAAAAAATTACTTGATGTTATATTAATACTACTTACGATGTTTCAATTATTAATAGTTTTGCAACGATAGGTTATAGCAACTTATAGCCACAAAACTATTTTTGTGTCAAAGTAGATTCATAGAGAGCACTGTAATTTACAAAGGCCTTCTTTCAACATACAAATAAATGACAACTTTATAATTAAAATAAAAAACACAACAAAATACCTCGGTATTAAAGTAAGAAGATTCATTTTTAAATTTTATTTATTGAGAAAATTTATAACTAGGAGTTTACTAATTATTATTTACAATTCGCTGGTTGAATATGTAATCCAAAATCGTATAATAAAAATGTTCTACAAAAAACCAGCATTATATCCTACCTCTCTTTTATATAATAAAAAAGTGCTTTGTATAAGAACTTTATATTTTCTGTCTTGCTGTACCTTTATTTATGGAAAGCCTGAATTGAAATAGATTACAAATTATTTGCAATAAATATCAAAAGAAGTATACATTTTTAAATAATTTGACAATTAAGAGCCATTCACACATTACAGTTGACATCTTGATACTTGACAGGCACAGCCAAGCATTATTCTGATTTTTGCCAAATAAAATGGTCGGTTAATTATTCTATGAGGTTGCGACATAGAGCCAGTAAATTTGATGAAGGTGTTTTTGTGGCTAGTGGCGAAATAGTAGTACGTTTAAGTTAGCACCACCATAAAAAAGTCATTTTTAAGAAACTACTTATATATTTTTCATAAATTGGCAGGCTTGGCGACTAATTTCGAATAAAAATAGCCTCCAAAATGGCTATGGTTGCAAATATGAAGGTCGCAATCCGCCTTAGAAATTTCACCTTTACTATCAACAGCTGTTGTTTGACAGGTCGTTAGAGAATGTTTGCAATTCATGGAATGTTAAGAATGTCAGGAATGTTGAAATATGAAATATGAAAAATGAGAAATAATTGGAATTCCTAAAATTGTCACATAAGAAATGCATATGCGGATTTTAAGAAAAGTGATATTAAAGTAGTTAGGATGAAAAGAAAATTCTGAAAATCAATAGGGTTCTAAGTTAGAAGGAATTATTCAAGAAAATCAAAACCGCAAGTCAATCAGAACTTTCGTTCTAGAATTATCGTGCCGGCATACATACACACAGACGACCAGACGAAAATTTTTTTTGCATTTTTGGACTCAGAATGATCGGAAACATGAAAAACAGTTTGCACGAATGCAATACTGAGGCCCCATAGGAAGGGCATCAGTAATTTTGTTATGGTTATTTTATTTTCTTTTAATGCCTTGACCTGAAAGTTCGTACTATTGACTAAACGATGTATTATAGAAAGGGTCGGATCAGTAAATACAAGATATATTTAAAAATGTACCGCTGCGGTTTAACGTAAAAATACCTATTAGATCCTAAAATCATATTCATATACGAGCGAAAACTTCGGATAGGGTAAAATTTAGGTTGATATCTAAAATTTTGGGGTATAAGACAGTGGGACGTAATTCCACATACTTTTTATACATAGATAGCTTGATTTTTGTAGAGTAATAAAATATTCTTTCAAAATTTTAAAAAGTAACCTTTGTGCCTGGTAAACTTTTTTTTGTTATGGATGTACTAAAAAATGCTCTTTTATAATACTTCATAATACATACAGGGTGTAGTTAAAAATTTTGACGTAAGAGTAGCGCGGTATGTCCTTAACATATGCACATTCATCGATGAAACACAATACACCTATAAAAAAAGTAATTTTAAAAAACCGACTTCAAAATCGTGCAGATGCCCTTAAAAATTGAGATATTTTATTTTCTCCTAGATCATTAGATCTTGACCAATTGTATATGGAACTACCCCCGAGGTATCCCCTTTCTAAGAAAAAAAGAATCATAGAAACCGGACAAGGTGGTAAAGAATTATCGCTGAAAATACTTTAAAAATGAAGAGTGATGATTTTCTTATGGACCCCATTACTAGATATTAACCAAATTTATACGGGACCACCCCTGAGTTACCCTCTTTCTAACAAAAATCATAAAAATCGGACAACATAGTAAAGAATTATTGCTGAATATATATAAAAAAAATATTCCGACGAATTGAGAACCTCCTCCTTTTTTGAAGTCGGTTAATAATAAATCTGTTGGTGAAAATTATTATGTGAATGATGATGATAATATTAGAAGTGATGATCATGATTATTTAGTTTTTAAATACCTTAGTTTGGAAGAACAGCTTATGACAGGGAAGAACATGCCGTCCAAGTTGAAATTACGAAAACTACCTCTAATTGGCACACCATTAAACGTAAAATTGATCATTGGAACTGTTAAATCTAAGGCACATCCAATAACATCAGCTGAAAGAACAATCAAAGGTTTCAGTTTATTCTAAGAATTTCAAACGTTCGTGATTATTAAATAAAAATATGAATTGATCCATAAACAATGTTTCTAAAGTAGGTTTAAGAAAAATTAATTCATGTTGGAGCGTATAATTATTTTCCGATCATGGTCTACTTTAGAAATATTTTTTGTGGATTACTCTTTATAATAATTATGTTTAGAAGATTAGAGATGGCTTACTTTTTCTTATAAACGGTTCTGAGTTACTTAGAACTACCCTGGTACTTCTACCTCCAGTCCAAAGGTATGCACCATCGAAACCATAGGAATATAAATCATCTCCTACACCGTTTCCACCCCATTTCTCTCCACCTCCAGGATACGGTATATAACTAAATTGCAAGAAAAAAATTACCTATTAAATCAGAAAATAATGCGACAAAATCAATTGCATCATATGTTCTATATAAAATTAACAAATTTTAATATATTTTTATTTTTTAGGACCTACAAGTGATGTTAGAACACAGGATATCTAAAATATGAATGGCCAGCGTGAAATTATTAGTATGGTTAATACTAATGGTGAATTACCAGAATTACATACATCCTTTGTATGAAAAGAATCCTGTAAGGCCAGAAATTGACCTGGAAGAACTAGAAAATTAGTCAAAGGAGGACGAAAACTACAAAATGGTGAAAAGTAATTAATAAAATATATTTAAACTTTCACTTAACACAAGCATTTATGCAACTTTTGTTTTTGTTGGCGGAATGCCATGTACAATTTTTAATGTTTTACGTTCGACAAATTTATTTTAAATATTCCATTAGTTATGTACTCAATTTGTATATGTACCATGTACCAAGTTTATTGATTTTTTATTTATTTTTTAGGTTCAATGGAGATCAAATGAAATTCAAGCCATAGATACAATAAAATGTTGGTTGGTTAAGGCCAAAAAATAATAAAAATAAGAAAAAGTGTGAATTTTTGGAAATAAAGATTTAAAAAATGTTCAACATTTTCATATATTATACACTTATTCTTTGATGTTCAATATTAATGAAACATCCTGTATTAGGGTGGGTAGTATATGCCTAGTATGTGTTAAATTTAAGTACTTAATATCAGTGGCGGCTGCTGACCAAAATTTTGGGGGTTCACAGTGACAGAATATAGATATCGGTACAGATATATGAAAAAAACGTTCGGTGTTTTAGAAAGTTTACAATTGACCTTTCTAAAACACTGACAGTTTTTTACCTATATCTGTACCGATATCTATATTCTGCTACTGTGAACCCCAAAATTTTGGTCACAAGCCGCCCCTGCTTAGTATATACTTAAAACGTACTATCAAATGAAAGTAAATACTTATTGCATACTGTACATATACTTGAAGTACATTCTCAGTATCAGCATAGCACGTATAAACAACATCGCGTAACATATACTTAGTATATTCTAAGAATGTACTAAATGCAAATAAAGTATATTCTCAGCATATGCATATTTTTAAAAAGTATATAATAATGTATAATTATTATCTGGGTAAGCCCATTCTGTATCCTCCTAAGTTGATAAGCACCTCCTAGCTCATGAGCCATCCTACAGATTTAATTTAGTTGACAACGTCGCCAAGAGTTCCTTCTCTTATATCGGCCGGTGTTAGCCAATTCTCGCTGAACACAAAGCTTCTAATACATGAGAGCGTCAGGCAATCGTAGAGGATATGCTCTATGGTTTCATCTTCTTATTCGTATGTCCTACAGAGTGCGGATTCTGACAGCTACATGCAATGGAGATGCTTCCTTACTTGGCAATGACCAGTCAAAATGCCTGTAATATGCAGATTCTGTCTAGTCATAGTTAAGTATTTGTTTGCTATAGTGTTAACAAGGTAACTTAAAAGCTTTCTCTCAACTCTGCATCCTCTTGTTTCATACCATCTTTCCTTAAATTTCACAAGAAAATGTTCTTTAATTAGGTTTGTAATCAGTCCAATAGAAGGGCCAGGTCCAAAAAGTATTTGGTTAGCTGACTTCTTGGCTAGTGAATCAGCAAGATGGTTAACGTTCGATGCGGCATGACCTTTGATCCATCTTAAGATGACCACATGCCAAACTAATTCCACGTTTATATCAGTTTTTAAGAATGGCATGCGCATTAATAAATCGTTACCATCATATAATTAATCCAAATTATACTAGAGCACATTATTTTCTAAAATCAAAATGTATCAACGATGTAAATAATAAAAGTGTAAAACAAAGTGCTTGTACTATTTACATCATGAAGTAAAAAATGTAACACATGTCACACCCAGAAATTCAACAAACTCAATTTAATGTAACAGCACATTGATTCAAAGAGTTTAAAAAGTATGTCTTACCCTTTAGAATTCGCCCAACCAATTCTCAAATGCGGAGTCATGTGTGTGGTCTGTTCTAAATGATCAACAGTGACCTCAAAATACCATTTTTGATAAATCGCACTACCTTCTACTCTACCTACAAATATATTTGGTCGGACACTAAAAAAAATGCAGTTGTTAATGGCAAAATAAAGGTTGTGTAATGGTTGAATATTAACCTTGCAACATGGTCGACTAATTGGGTTTGCAAAAGTAAATTTTTTCCAGGCAATAGATAATCACAGATATTATTTTGTGAACTACGAACTGCGACTCCATTACCGACGCACAGAGAGCACAAAACGTCCAAAACTTTAGGATCTCTTCCGTGTTTTTCCAGGAGAGATATTATTACTTTAATATGTTCATCCTAGAAACAGGAAAAATGTATTTATTGAATTATCAAAACTTGTTCAACCGTATTTATTCAAGGCCGCATTTATAAACTAGCTTGTGCCTGACCTTGATATAAAATGTGTTTTATAGGTCGATCTAATAAAACACAATAAAACGTACATTTGCTTCGATGGTTACAAAATAACAGAAAAAACTGGAATATGAGTGTGTGGGCCAGGAACCAAGTACTTTGAATGTTTGCGTAAATACCCTGACAAGATGGTATCATCATAGCCGATAGCCAAGCACCAAGCATCATTAAAGCGCTGCCATCTTATGTAACTTAAGGCCCCCATATCAGTATACTTGAACGGTATACATGTACAATGTACAAGTTTATTGCACAAGTATACTTGAGTATCGCGTCGACAACACACGTATAAGTACACAATGCGCCAGTTTAAAGTTGAACAATTTTATTGTCAGACGACGACAACGCGTTGGCCACTGTTGACTTTTTTCTTCTCCTTCCTGTGATTCCTTCGGAAGCCGTTAAGTTTTTTAAACGCTGTATTACGATCTGCTTTTAGGTCTATTTCCCCTTAATTTTTCTCTTAGTTTTTTAATTACTGTTCCCTCTTTCCCCTATATTGGTACCTACTCTTTGCTTTTAATGCACCAGATACATGGCTCATGTTCGTAAATAGAAATAAATTATTCGAAACATTCTCGACGTCGAAAAAAGCTAGATTTATCAAATTAGTTCATAAAACAAAATCTGCCTAAAAATGCATTTTCTACAAGATGTGCTACATTTGAAAGAAAATCTTGAGTGCAGCGTCATCTACATATTGACATATTTAAACTCAATTTATATCCAAAACGGGCTTTTAAAGAATAAAAAAAATCTCTATTTCTTTTCAACATATCCGGTCTGGGAGTTTTTATTGGTACACTTTACATAATATAAAATAGTAATAAATAGTAAAAAAATAGTAAAAAAATAGTAAAAAATAGTAAAAAAATAGTAAAAAAATAGTAAAAAAATAGTAAAAAAATAGTAAAAAAATATTAAAAAAAATAGTAAAAAAATAGTAAAAAAATAGCAAAAAATAGTAAAAAAAAAAATAGTAAAAAAATAGTAAAAAAATAGTAAAAAAATAGTAAAAAAATAGTAAAAAAATAGTAAAAAAATAGTAAAAAAATAGTAAAAAAATAGTAAAAAAATAGTAAAAAAAATAGTAAAAAAATAGTAAAAAAATAGTAAAAAAATAGTAAAAAAATAGTAAAAAAATAGTAAAAAAATAGTAAAAAAATAGTAAAAAAAATAGTAAAAAAATAGTAAAAAAATAGTAAAAAAATAGTAAAAAAATAGTAAAAAAATTGTAGTAAATAGTAGTTTTTTATTGAGAATGGTAATATAATCTTCAAAAGACATTAGACTTCTAAGACGTCTAATAGTGCCGGATTTCTAGCGACTAAAAAACTTCCACTCTGTTTCACAGGAATGTCTCATCGAAGAGACGTGATGTAAGGATGGTCGCGGGTACTTCACAACAGTTGTTAGGGTATGCTCACATATTCCTTCTTCTAAGATCTCTCTCCTTTTGTCCCAGTATCTTTTTCATCATGTTACGTATCTGTTTCCATTGTTATATGTTAGAGGTCATGACGTCTAAAAGGTTTTCTTTAGAGAGCCTAATTCCAATTCGTTCTTCTAGCTCTAGCCTGATCTCTCTCCATTCTCCGCATTGAAACAGGGTATGTTCTACTGTATCCACATTCGGACAGTATATACAATCTTGTTGCTCAATCACACCTAATCTATTTAGGTATTCCATAAACCAGCCGTGACCAGTTAGACATTGAGTAATTGAAATGTGACGTTTCCTAGTTTCCGTTTATTCCATTTTTCAATATTTGGTATGAGTGGGTACATCCATCTTCCTTTTTCACATGTTTCCCATTTTCTCTGCCACGTTTCTAAAGTTTTTATTCTAGCTTCATTCTTTTCAGCTATGCTCTTACCTTCAATCAGCAAGTCAATGGGTATAATTCCGGAGATAACGAGGCTGCTTTCCATATATATTGTTTTATACCCTCTGCAAATTTTGATTACCATCGTTCTTTGTATTTGTGCTAGCTTTTTTCAGTTTATTTTTCTATGCAAAGCATTTTTCCAAATCTCTAAGGAATACATTAGGACTAAATGGACGACTGTTCCCAATAGTCTTCTCTTTGTTTCCATAGCTCTCACTTTATTAGGCATAAGTCTTATTAAAGAGGCCATAATATCCTTCTTTGCTTTAGCCACTGCGTTCTCTAAGTGTTCCGTATATGACAAGCTTCTATCCAATCTGACCCCCAGGTACTTTATGATATTTTTTGGTATAATAGGGACTGCTTCAATTGTAAACGTAATTGGTCTACTCAGTTTTTTCCTGCCAATTAGTAACATCGCCTCTGTTTTTTTCGGTGCTAGTTTGAGATCATTTAGTTTTATCCACTCGCTGTTTTGTTCCAGAATGGTGTTAACCGAAATTATGAGGCCTCCCTCCGTCTGTCTGTGACTATGACTGCTAAGTCATCTGCGCAGGCAATGAGATTAATATTTGGCGTGGTCTCTATGCGTAATATTCCATCAAATTGCATATTCAACAGTAGTGAACCCAAAACAGATCCCTGAGAAACTCCAGCTGCTATCATATACTCTTCTCCATTATTATCTATGATTTTCCGGTCGGTAAAGTAGCTAGCGACTAGTATTCGTAGGTATTTAGATATTTGGTGCCTTCCTAGGTGTCTGAGTATGATGTTCCAAGAAGCTGTATTAAACGCATTTTTGATGAGTTAGTAGAACACACAGACATATTGATCTTTGATTTTTTTTTTCATTTCCCTTTTGGCAACCTCTACGACTGCATGCATAGTAGACACGCCCTTTCTGAATCCGTATTGCCTTTCGCACAAATCCCCCTTTTGCTTAAGTTCGTCATTTAATCTTGCTACGATTATTTGTTCTATTAATTTCCCCCATTGAATCAAGTAGGCAAACGGGTCGATAAGAAGACGGTTGTTCTTCTTTATTTCCGGGCTTCTTAAAGAGAACCAATTTTCCTTTGCATTGGGAAAACCCCACTTTTTATAATTCCATCACCCATCTCTCGGAAACATTCTGGGAGTTCGTTAACAGGTAATTTAACTATTTCGGACGGTATCCCGTCGTGCCCTGGATCTTTACGATTTTTGAGCATCTTGGCAGCCGTTTCCAATTCTTTCATAGTCACATCCGGGATATCCTCGTCCTCGCCTTGTTTGGGTATCCACACCTTTAATCCTTGCTTAGGAAATAGGGTATTGATAATTTTCTTTTTAAATTTTGGTGGTATATCCAACGGTCTTGATTTTAATTTCTCCATTACTATTTGGTATGTCTTTCCCCAAGGATGTTCTTCTACTGCAATAGTAGTAAATAGTAGTAAATAGTAGTAAATAGTAGTAAATAGTAGTAAATAGTAGTAAATAGTAGTAAATAGTAGTAAATAGTAGTAAATAGTAGTAAATAGTAGTAAATAGTAGTAAATAGTAGTAAATAGTAGTAAATAGTAGTAAATAGTAGTAAATAGTAGTAAATAGTAGTAAATAGTAGTAAATAGTAGTAAATAGTAGTAAATAGTAGTAAATAGTAGTAAATAGTAGTAAATAGTAGTAAATAGTAGTAAATAGTAGTAAACAGTAGTAAATAGTAGTAAATAGTAGTAAATAGTAGTAAATAGTAGTAAATAGTAGTAAATAGTAGTAAATAGTAGTAAATAGTAGTAAATAGTAGTAAATAGTAGTAAATAGTAGTAAATAGTAGTAAATAGTAGTAAATAGTAGTAAATAGTAGTAAATAGTAGTAAATAGTAGTAAATAGTAGTAAATAGTAGTAAATAGTAGTAAATAGTAGTAAATAGTAGTAAATAGTAGTAAATAGTAGTAAATAGTAGTAAATAGTAGTAAATAGTAGTAAATAGTAGTAAATAGTAGTAAATAGTAGTAAATAGTAGTAAATAGTAGTAAATAGTAGTAAATAGTAGTAAATAGTAGTAAATAGTAGTAAATAGTAGTAAATAGTAGTAAATAGTAGTAAATAGTAGTAAATAGTAGTAAATAGTAGTAAATAGTAGTAAATAGTAGTAAATAGTAGTAAATAGTAGTAAATAGTAGTAAATAGTAGTAAATAGTAGTAAATAGTAGTAAATAGTAGTAAATAGTAGTAAATAGTAGTAAATAGTAGTAAATAGTAGTAAATAGTAGTAAATAGTAGTAAATAGTAGTAAATAGTAGTAAATAGTAGTAAATAGTAGTAAATAGTAGTAAATAGTAGTAAATAGTAGTAAATAGTAGTAAATAGTAGTAAATAGTAGTAAATAGTAGTAAATAGTAGTAAATAGTAGTAAATAGTAGTAAATAGTAGTAAATAGTAGTAAATAGTAGTAAATAGTAGTAAATAGTAGTAAATAGTAGTAAATAGTAGTAAATAGTAGTAAATAGTAGTAAATAGTAGTAAATAGTAGTAAATAGTAGTAAATAGTAGTAAATAGTAGTAAATAGTAGTAAATAGTAGTAAATAGTAGTAAATAGTAGTAAATAGTAGTAAATAGTAGTAAATAGTAGTAAATAGTAGTAAATAGTAGTAAATAGTAGTAAATAGTAGTAAATAGTAGTAAATAGTAGTAAATAGTAGTAAATAGTAGTAAATAGTAGTAAATAGTAGTAAATAGTAGTAAATAGTAGTAAATAGTAGTAAATAGTAGTAAATAGTAGTAAATAGTAGTAAATAGTAGTAAATAGTAGTAAATAGTAGTAAATAGTAGTAAATAGTAGTAAATAGTAGTAAATAGTAGTAAATAGTAGTAAATAGTAGTAAATAGTAGTAAATAGTAGTAAATAGTGGTCAGATATTAGTAAATAGTAGTTAAAGCAGAAAATAGTACTTTTGCCGTGGCATTTGAGGTTGAAAAAGTACTATTATATATAGAGAAAGGTTGGATCAAAATTATATGTTTATATTTATAATATATTATTAAATAATATTTTAAAATTAAAATAATTTATGAAAGTACTTGCCCTCATCATGTTCAAAGCTTCTGGAGAATCTATTAAGACGCAGTGAAGTACGTCCAACATTCCTGTACCTTCGCCGGAAGCCTGCGAACCTAATCTAGAAAACAACCAGTTCAGTCGATTGGAATTGGCGAATTGCGCACAATTCGTGTGATTTCCCTTAATGATTGCAGCTAAAAAAATAAGTCATAGTTTCATGAGTATTTTTTTCAGATATTTTATATTTTACACATACCTAACAATTGATATAGATACACTCCGATTGTTTCCCAGCTTTGATCTCCGGCTAATTGCGCTAAGAAACCTTGAGATGTGATGACGTTGATTTTGTCGATGGCTTCCAGGATTAAATTAAGGATTCCTTCTTCTTGAAACAGATCCTGCCTGTTTCTCAGAGCTCGTAGACGATTTTGTTTTTCTTCATGCTCTATAGAAGAAAAAAAGTACTAGATAATAATCAACAAAAACCAGCTATTAAAAATTAAAGGTAGTAAGTGTTGAGAAAGTTGTTTAAAATACGAGTATAATATTACAATCTTTATCCACTTACCCATATCATCTTCGGGTTGGGCGAAATAATTAATCAAATCTTCCAAACACATAACCATTTCGTTCAAGTTGATTTGCTGGAAAAAGATGGAATGTCTTCGGTTGGATTGTAACTGCTCTAGACCGCTGCAAAAATATTTAGGTCAATTTAAATATGTATTAATATCGTACGAACGTTCATTTACTTTATGAATTGCGTAAAGAGAGAGCTGCATTTACGGATAACTCTAGCGGTCCTGGATTCTTCTTCTTGGGATCTACTGAAATCCAAACCGTCATCCATTTTACCTTCTTCGTGAAGTACGGCTTGTTTTTCCTCAACTTTTCCGACGCCTTTCTTCTTTGTCTCGTATGCCTTATAACGAAATTTTAAATAAAATAATACAACAAAAATTTAGGTAAGGTACCTTGTAAGACAACCAGAGACCAGTTTCAGAATGTTGCACAATGACAGTCGAGTCACCATATTTGATTATAGGAGCTCCGATGATTTCCAAATCTTTATCTTCTAATACAACTTTTTGGTCGTCTTTTTCTTGTCGTAAACAGAAAGCTGTTGTCGCGGTGTTAGCTTCATCCCTAAAATAATACGTTGAAGTAATTCTATCCTCAATACTGCCGAGTTTAGAGATATTTTTTTTATTCCCCCTTTATTAAACTTTTTTAAAAAGTAAATTTTGTATAAAAAGAATGCATTAAATAGCCCAGCCAGCCCATAGAAGCGGCGTAAGGCGTGGACGACTTGGGCCACCGCCTACGGCCTCGCGACCCAAAGGGCCTCGCATCTCAAAGATTTAATGAAGCTTTCTTTGACTCATGAAAAATATTTATTGTGAGATGATATATTATCGCGGCGTGTTAATATCATAAACAAATTACGGCAATCTAGCTAATTTAAGCATTTAACTTGAACATTTGCATACTTTTTGTGACTGGATCAAAGAATATCGACAAATTGGGTTCGAACAATGCTTATCTGACGGTCGTCAACTCAATGAGAAAAGCTGTTACGATATGTCAAAAGATTTTAAAAATAAAAAGATATCAAAAAAATAATGTTCATTTTTTGCGATGAACCAATAGAGTCTCCCAAAACCCGGTAAGAAAAAGATTTTTTAACTTCGTAATTGATCAATATGGAGTCAAGACATATTTTTAAATCAATATTTTGAAAATTTTGGATTTCTATATAATCTAAACAAGTTAAAAAATATTCCAAAAGAGCATATATTAAAAAAACTCCCAAGATTTACACAGAGTTCTGCAAGTGGGTGGGAGCAGTGATTTCGAACCTTACGAATTATATGAATAATTACAAACAATGATCCCAAATTTGCCTTATTCATTTAAAGATGTGAAACAGTTACTCCAATACGAAACAGAAACTAACCAAATGTCATTCGAATTGTCTTAATAGTACCAGTACAGCCTCAGCTGAAAAGAGCTTTTCAAAATTAAAACTAATAAAAAATTAATTAAGAAGTATAATGGGCCAGCAAAGTCTATCAGCTTCGACAATTTTATCTATTCAAGCAGATAGCAGACAGCAGAAGCTGGATTTGATACAGTTATTAAGAAGTTCAGTAAGGCTAAAAGCATGAAATTTAAGCTTCTTTAATTTTTTACTGTTAGTAGTTCTTATTTAATAATGTTAGTTAAAGTGTAGATGTTTGCATTTTTATGAATAAAAATTTCAATTTAAATTTTTTTCTCTACACAAAATCCGTCTTCTTGCACCACCAGAGGGCCTAGCAAAACTAATCTTGTCCATCAAATTCAGGTCTTGCCCCGCCACTGCCAGCCCAGCCCAGTTCCTTTATAGTATAGATGATATTACACAAGCCATTTTTTAATGATAAGGGGCTGAAAACTTTTGTAGATTTTATCTACAGTTTATTCATCGGCACAAACCGGTACATGTGGATCAGTTTCAACCTTGTGAGAGGAACCTTGTCCATAAAATCAAAGGCTGGGTAATGGCACATTGTTTTATTCACTTATTTGAACACAAATATTTATAATACCTAAGAAAACTTGCTTGTAGGAAACTCAAATCTCACGCTAGTATTTATGTCGATTAAAGGTCGAAAAATAGTGTTCTTTAGCGAGACCAATATATAGGCCGACTTCGGGCATGCTGTCATGTCAAATCTTGAAATTGGAGTGGGTGTGTAGCTATAACGATGTATGACGACTCCGATTCATGCTGTCTTAACAAGTTCGAAAGTGGAGTGAAGTGACGAGATGCGAGATAATTAATTGTACACTGGAAAGCGAAGCGGGTAACCGTTAGTTCTTGTGTGTGAAAAAGGGCGCTGTACTCCCCTCTATTTACAGAATGGACTTGTCCAACTGTCAAGAGTTACATCACCAAGTCGAATTTTGTTAGACAATAGTCGTTTTCTTTTTACAACTAATCTGAGCTAACTTACATCGACTAAGCTGAGATGTACGTTCTTTTTATGATTGTAAGTCAGAATCTTTCTTCCCCCCTTACCGATGCTAAGGTGCACGGTACTTGACGTCAACCATAAACCATCACAGAAAGTGAGTGTTCTGTGCATCATACGAACAAACTTATCCTATGAATTTATTATTTTAGAGAGAATAAAAGACTATGATAACAGGGGGTGAGATTTGTAGTGTTGAATGTTGAAAAAATTATAAAATTTGATTAAAATATGGATTGTTTTTAAACGGATGACATGGGACACGTCACCTGTCAACCAAAATTCGCGTTCTTTTTACAGTTAAGCTTAGATCAGAATCTAACTTTTAGTTAGTCAAGTATGCTTGTAAAAAGAAAACGACTATTATTTTTTAATTCTATTAAGTAGGAAAGAAAATGCTGCGAGGCAAAAGATAGAGCATAATATACTGGAATGCGGTTTGGATTCGTAGCGTATGTGATATTTATTACGTCTGCAGAAAATATATTTTGTTTGTACTATATTAGAGCGTGAAGACATTGTTATTCGTAAGATGGAAGATATGCTTTTCTTGAATGGCTTGAACAGGAGCGGGTTAGGAAATGCTATGTTAATTTTTAAGAATGTTATGAAGAAGGGCCTTAAAATCTGGTAGGAGCGTTATATAGTTTCAGCCGACGTCTCAGAATTGGTTGGTTAACTCTGGAAAAAATGGAAAGTATGTTTGGGTGAAATATTAGACTTTTTTCGTACTCTACATAGTGTGTTTTGATAACTATTTAGGACGCACCAAATATCTTGAAGTATATCGATATTGGACTTTTCAGTGCCACACAGTTGAATCCAGTTAGTCCAAATTGGCTTGAGGATGAGATTTGAGAGCAATTAGCCAGTACATTTTTGGAGTTTAATTCCTGTTTCCTTTTCATGAACAAATGCTTTTTCCAGGCCAGTCTTCTATCCAGGTACATACCAAGGTATTTGACATCATCTCGCTGAGGTATCTCAAAGTTATTTAATGTAACGGGGTGAAAGTAACTTTTCCGGTTTGTAAAGGTTACATTTAGAGACCGTAAACAATCTTTGAGTCGAGGGGGAGAGAGGGGTCTAAAGATCTCATTTACTGATTTTCGCTTATATCTCGGAAACTATGCGTCCTAACGACATAACCACAATACAAAATAGAAGCTTGAAAGCTTATTAAATTTGCTACAAGTTTTACTTAGTCCAGTTTTTCGATATCTTGTATAGTTTTCGATATATTAGCTCTTGAAAGTTTGTAATTTTGAAAAAAAAATTTGCCTCATTTTGCTCTTTTTGACCGAAAAACTAGTCAACGATGCACCCAAAAAATAAATGCCGACCATGCTTTACTATTTTGTCTATTTTCCTTCAAATGTTAAAGCCATTTCAAAATTGAGCGTGAAATCTGAAGTTTTGCGACAGCTGTCGACTAATAAATCTTTCAATTTCTCACCATTCCCAGTCAACGTACCTATTGGCCGAAATATGCACCAGTATTTACTTAAAGTGAGTACTGAATGTACAGATACTCATTTTAGAATACATAGTTGTGGTCATTCTGATCAGGTTCTTTACATTTAATTAAAGAATATCTAGACCATTTTAATGGGAAAATATGTTGCTATGACCATGTTTCTGCATGTGTGAGCGTCTTTAAGACAGCGGGCTGGTTTTATAAATCACAACCATTAACTGAAAACAACGTTTATTGACATAGAAAAGTAAATTAACATAAAACATTACAACAGTTTGTAACATTGAGTCAATTTCTTGCTCTCTTGACGTGGGAAGGGCTTTCATCCTCATCTTCGTTTTCATCTTCTTGTCTTCCTCCAACCGAGGGAGCAGTAAAACAGCATTCCCTCCGAACATTCCACCAAATTCAACTGTGGCTGGAAAATGACCTGCCTCCTCAGATGTATGAGTGGAAGACTGGGAACAACTGCCTGGTTCCAGTGCACAGTGAGTTATTAGCAGCTGAACCGAATGATATCCTGAAAATGATTTTCTGCCGATGCACGTAAGACTGTGCCAGCGCGAAGTGTGGCTTGCAAAAAAAACCTCAAATGTTTCACAGCATGCCAAAATTGCCAGGGGAACTGCCTGAATGGGGTCCCTCAAGTTGACTCCGAAGATGAAGAAGAACAGGAAGATTCTATGACCGGTTCCGATGGAGAAGATATTGAAGATAAAGAAGATGGAAACGAAATCAAGGATGAAGGCCCTTCCCACCCCAAGAGAGCAAGAAATTGACTCAATGTTACATCATACTGTTGTAATGTTTTATGTTAATTCACTTTTCTATGTCAATAAACGTTGTTTTCAGATATTTTTTAATTAAGTGTAAGAAACCTGGCCAGAGGGCCCACAACTACATATTCTAAAATGAGTATCTGTGTTATTTAAACGTCCAGTACTCACTATAATAAGTAGGTACATAATGGTGCACATTTCGGCCAATACGTTGACTGGGAATGGTGAGAAATTGAAAGATTCATTAGTCGACAGTTGTCGCAAAAATTCAGATTTCACGCTAAATTTTGAAATCGCTTTAAAATTGAAGGAAAATAGATAAAATAGTAAAGTAATTTATATTATTAAAGGGAATTTAATTCTCTACAACCCTATGGTCGGCATTTATTTTTTGGGTTCATCGTTGAAGAGTTTTCCGGTCAAAAATAGCAAAATATATGAGGCAATTTTTTTTTCAAAATTACATACTTTCAAGAGCTGATATATCGAAAACTATTTAAGATATCGAAGAACTGAGTAAAACTTGTAGCAAATTTAATAAGTTCTCATTTTATATATATATTAAGTGGTTATGTCGCTAGGACGCATAGTTTTCGAGATATAAGTTAAAATCCGAAAAAGGGGAACTTTAGACCCCCTTTCCCCCCTTCCCGACCCAAAGACGGCTGGGGACTCTGTTCACCTTCTAACTAGTCCAAACAAAATTACGAAGCCAAAAATTGTGTTCCACGCATTTCCCTCTATATCTTTTTTTGTAAAGAGTAAGTATAGGGGAGGGCCAAGTACACTGCCCTGAGAAACATCGGCATTTATTGAGCATAGAGATGATTGTTCATTTAAATCTTTAACAAGGAAGGTTCGGTCATGAAGATAGGATTTAACGATACAGAAGTAGTTAAGTGGTAGGAATTTTCTGTTTGTATAGTAGGCCTGTATCTACCAGACCTCATCAAAAGCCTGGCTGACATCTAAAAATATTGCGGAGCAATATTTGTTTATTTGTTTTCATCTAGGTCCTTGCAAGTTCTGTTTGTGACTCTGTTTTGACATTAGTGGAAGTAAGCTGATCGGATTTTTAGAATTTAATTGCATGATGGTCAAGAGTAGTTCTAGCTGGTAGAGTGACTGAAGGAACTGAATAATCTCATTTTGATGATCATCGTTGGTTTCTGAATGGTTTTCTAGATATCTGGCGAAAGTTAAAGCCTTTTTTTTCATAATTGTTTTTATCCAGAGACCATTTCGTCTGTTGAGAAGAGTAATCCTTTGCTATTGGTTTTGAGTATTGCGCATCTAAAAGTTTTATTGCCCTATAACGAAGACAATTATAGGCAATGAGTGTTCCATATACGGCTTTCTAGGAAATTGGTTAGTCTTGCACAAGCTAGAATTAAATAGGACACGGATATTATGTCAAAAACTATTTAAAAAAAAAAGTTTTTGTGGCTTTCCAAAGTGAATATTCGGTGGCCTCAGATGCTGTCACATTTTTTAAGATATTCAGGATACCATTTTATGACCATTAAGCAGAGTTTTCAGGTCTTGCGTTGCGTTGTTGAGTATTCTTTTGTCAATTGACACTCTTGTGCTTTTTTTCTTAATCTGCATTCAAGCCATCTTTTCATTGATGTCTATAGGCAGTTGATCTCTGGCGTACATTGCTGGCCAGTGTATTGGTATAGTGTTTGTTAGATACTGCTTCGTCTATGTCTCTATTGGTTATAGGTGAAATATTCGACATTAGGTTGTTTTCTATCTAGAAATAAAATAATATATTTAATGTGCATAAATACCTGCTAACAAGGTACAGTTCGTTATTTTCGTTTACAGCCAAATATCGTCCTGTCGTGATATGTCTTATTCTCATGGGATGATACCAATTTATAAAACCACCAGCCCATTTGGTTCGTGCTAGCTCTAATCTCCAAAGTGATCTAGCTTGAGACATGACACTACCGCCTTCATAAATAACCATACTAAAATATAAAACATGGAAAAATTACCAGGTAAGACATTTATAAACTATTATTATTTCTTACTTATGTTGTGGTTCTGTATCCCATGTAGAAGGTATAGTGAGACATTCGTCACCTCCATGAAAGAATCTGAGAACGTCACCGCCAAACACATAACCTACATATTTGACCCTAGATATACCGGTTCCATATGGTTGGACAGACCAATGTGTCACGTGAAAACTTGCATTTACTATAGATACTTCGTTTTCTTTGGTTGTATGCTAAAAAAGAAAAACGTTAATCGAGAAAAAAAGACTATAAAAACGAATAATTAATATGCACTACTTTATTTCTTGGAGTTCCTCAGGGTTCCGTTTTTGTAAATGACTTACCCGCAAATACACATAGGGCTAAGATTACAATGTTTGAAAAGTATACTAGAATAACGGTCACAGGCAGGATTCCGGAGAATGCCTTGTTTGTAGTTAGTCAAATGGAAAAATGATACTACAGAAACTCTCTAAAACAGTATCTTTAAACTTCCATATTTAGAAATATTTACAAAAGTTAATAAGAAAAGTTCGTCCATTTAAAGCTAAAGTCTAGACCGACAATAACTCTCACTCATTGTCAGTTCGCGGAAAATATCAATTTTGTGGCGAAACTTCTGGAAGCTAGAGGTGTGAACGTTTAAGTTGAAAACATAAGAAAAATAATTCGCGCTCGAGGGTTGTACAGTAGGAGAGAGTTACGGGTCTCACAGATATCTAGGAAAAATAAAATTGACCGGTTAAATTGGTGCCTTCAACACCAAAACTAGACAATTGAGAATTGGCAAAATGTTCTTTTTTCGGATGAGACCAGAATTGGGGTTTTTAGAGGTCCAGGAAGACGAGCGAGACTCCAGGCTGCCAGAACTGTCCCAAGATATCAAGGAGAAACTGTAATGTTCTGGGGAGGTATTATGCTGAGAACAAAAACTCATTACCACTTCAACAAACTTTAACCGGTCGGAGGTATGTTGATTTAGTGGTAGATCCAATCGTTAGGCTTTGGAAAGCTGCAATTGGGGATAATAAGGACTGAGGTTTATTCACAAATTAAAATGTTCATACATCTCAAAAATTATTAAAAATAATAGATCATTTAATTTAATACTTTAAACTTACCAAGTATCTTTCGGTGGCAACTGATACCAAAATAAGATCATCTCCTACGCGTACTTTCTCACCCTCAGATCTAGAAAACAACGATTTTTAAATTGTTTAAATTACTGTAAAATGTGTTTATCACCTTTGTTTGCTAGCAGGATGAACGGTCCACCAACAAGCTTCACCATGGCTGTGATCTTGTAAACCAACGTCGAAAGCCAATTTGTCATTACTTGAACTCGTTGATAGACAAGCCAAATACTAAAAATATATATATAAAAAAAATATTTTCGCTTATAAGTCGTAAATTGGGTTAATGAAATGAAAAAAAGTTTTAGAGGTTTGACGTATTAGAAAATTTCTTAATAAGGACAGTTAAGTTCAAATTCTAGACACTAGACACCATATGAAAGAATGAACTAATGGACCGAGTACTAGTGTGATTTATTTGGAATGGTCTGTAGCTGCCGCAAAACGGATTCATATGAAGAAATATTCAGAATTTAATAACAGTCTCTATGTACAACAGGGACATACCATACGGAAAGCATGTTAGAGACCTAGTGAAACGAAACATCTCTCTACAGGGTGGCAAAAAATTGACTACAAAACTTTTAAAATTGTGTCGTTCTGGGAATATCTCGGCAGAAGATGTAAAGCAAGATTTGGAAATAAGAAACTAGGAAAACAATAAAATATATATTTTAGACTTGGCTAGCCACTTGAAAGAAATATGGCATAATTATCATTCAATTTTTTTGCTCCACTTAAGCACAAGAGCGAATTTAGTTACCTTGAAGGTAACATTTGGGAAGGCGAGAACGAGTAAGACGACAGGCGACAGGCAGTAAGCAGCAAATACTGCCGTGTTAATTTTAAAATTTCCCAAATGGTACCTTAAAACTATTAAAATATTTTTTGTAGGTTTGCGATGAGTTAAAAAGAAAGATGTGTGAACAGTGTTTAAGATTATGGGGTGAGCCTCATAGAATATCAGGTGATTAAATTTGAATAATTTTCCTGCAATAAATAGGTTTTCCAATGTTTTATTAGCGATAATGGCAATTGATGTCTATTGATTATTCCAGATCAATCTTTGAGGAACATGTTACCAACAAGAATAACGTAGTTTTCACGTAATAGCAGTCGAAATTTAGTTTTGAGGTAACCCAAAAAGATAACTGGTTTGATATTGATATGATTCCATTCATGAAACTGGATATCGTAGATGTTTAAAAGGAATATTAGGTTTTGAGCCGTTTATAATTCTATTCCTAGTCGATTTGACAGGGATTGCCTTGAAAAATATTAGTTAAAAAACAAACCTTTTTAAAAATATTTTATATTTTCAAAATATTCCTGTTTAGTTTCACTGAACTTCATTTTTTTGAATCCATTTTTCCAACTAGAAGAAAAACATCTCTTATCTTTTACAACAGGGCATTAATGTTTTAAATATTTGCAACAAAAACTAATGGGAGCAAGATCTGGACATACATGAGGGATGGATGACCAGTCTGGCTCTGGATTTGTGTAAAAAACTTAGACCATGGAAAGAATCCAGTGAAAATTCTAAATTTCAGTTGGATTTAGATATTATTGATTAACTATGTCAAATTGCACATGGAAACTGTCAAAACAATGTGTTTCTATTACAGATCTAGTGTTAGGGTTGCCACCTGTCCTTTTTTGAAAAGGACAGTCCTTTTTTGAAGCAAAATGTCCTTATGACTTTTTAAAGTTTAAAATGTCCTTTTTACGGCGCAAATGTCCTCTTTTAGGACAAATGTCTTGTTTGACTGAGAGCACATATTTTTGGAAGGGACATTACAAAAGTTATGAGCTGAGGACCTTTTTTTTTGCACGGTAAGACGAGGAGGATTTCTTTCGTTCAGCTCGATTGACTTTTTTTTTAAGAAGCTTGGTAAAATGAGATGGATTTCTTTCGTTTAACTCGATGACCTTGTTTTTTAGAAGCTTGGTAAGATGAGAAGGATTTCTTTCGTTTAACTTGACGAACTATTTTTTTTGTTTTTTAGAAACTCAATAATCTTCTGTCGTTCAGCTCGGCGACTTTTTTTTTTAGAAGGATGAGGACTTTTTGTATACCAGAGCCCCTACTGTCAGCATCGTTGTTCTTTTTTCACTTTTCAAAAAGGTGGCGACCCTAAATATCAACTGAAATTTACAGGACAACCTTCGTTTTGTGAAAAAAATCTAAAAAGTTCTTAAAAACCAAAAGCAAAATACCGAAAAACAGATATATAAGTTTTAAACAACAGTAAATTTGGATCAAATATTAAATAGATTATCCCTTCTTTGAAGTTCCTGATCATCTCTCATACCTATATGAAGTGATCCACAAAAAATGTTTCTAAAGTAGGTCTTGGAAAAATTAACATATGTCGGAGCGTACAGTTCTTCTTTTTAAATTTGCTTGGATTTAATATAGACAAGTGCGTAATTATCATGGGCATAACTTGTATCTGTCTTTGTCGGTCAAGGCCTACTATAGAAATATTTTTTGTGCAACACTATTATTAATCGCAATAATAGCTTTAACACCTACCATATCACTGTTCTGATGCCTTAATAATATTGCATTGCCGTACAACAAAGTTCTGTGTCCTGATCCAGTACCTTTGCCCTAAAACAATCAAATTTATATAAAAATATTAATGAAGACATTACATATAGATGCAAACAAATACGAATTTTGTGTTTCTACTTTTAATGTTTAGTACAACTATTGAGTGTTTTCCAAATTCTACCACTGCAAATATGTCTGTTGTTAGAATTTTCTACTGCCATTAAGTAAATAAGTTATTACTATAAAAGGCCATAATAGATCATTTATTTTAAACATCAACAAATGAATAGAAATTGTTTGTAATAATTTTAGCCATATCCAAAAATCTCTTTTAAAATAATCAGCCGCTGAAAGTTAACTTTGAATACCTTCTCTGTATATTAAACACCGTATGAAAGCGGCATCTATAAAATTAATTTAGTAGCAACAAAAATATAATAGAATGAAAAATTACGTTGAAAGCAAAGCCGTTCGAATATTAGTTTAAGATTATTAGAAAATCGCATATTATTACAAATAATAAAAGCATTGTTAGCTTCTGCTGTTTTTGACATAACGATGGAGACGAAATTTCCAATAATTTAATAAAATTATTTTAAAAACGTTTAGAAAATGTATTTAGAAATATAACATGCGATTCAACTAATGATAAATTAGAATATGTTGTAGATAAGTACTTGTGTTTTCGTTTATATAATATAATATATAATGTAAATTTATGGAATAAACTAGCTGACCCAATCCCGCTTTGCTGGAATTTCTCAAATCTCAATTATTAAAAGTGACTAACAGTTTGTTACTTGAGAGAAATTTTTGCATGCTATACCTGACAAATTTTTTTTAATAATTGTTATTAATTTTCATTCATTTTTATTCACTTTTATTCACTTTTTTTTTACTTTTATTTATTTTTATTTATTTTTATTTATTTTATTTATTTTATTTTTATTTATTTTTATTTATTTTTATTTATTTTTATTTATTTTTATTTATTTTTATTTATTTTTATTTATTTTTATTTATTTTTATTTATTTTTATTTATTTTTATTTATTTTTATTTATTTTTATTTATTTTTATTTATTTTTATTTATTTTTATTTATTTTTATTTATTTTTATTTATTTTTATTTATTTTTATTTATTTTTATTTATTTTTATTTATTTTTATTTATTTTTATTTATTTTTATTTATTTTTATTTATTTTTATTTATTTTTATTTATTTTTATTTATTTTTATTTATTTTTATTTATTTTTATTTATTTTTATTTATTTTTATTTATTTTTATTTATTTTTATTTATTTTTATTTATTTTTATTTATTTTTATTTATTTTTATTTATTTTTATTTATTTTTATTTATTTTTATTTATTTTTATTTATTTTTATTTATTTTTATTTATTTTTATTTATTTTTATTTATTTTTATTTATTTTTATTTATTTTTATTTATTTTTATTTATTTTTATTTATTTTTATTTATTTTTATTTATTTTTATTTATTTTTATTTATTTTTATTTATTTTTATTTATTTTTATTTATTTTTATTTATTTTTATTTATTTTTATTTATTTTTATTTATTTTTATTTATTTTTATTTATTTTTATTTATTTTTATTTATTTTTATTTATTTTTATTTATTTTTATTTATTTTTATTTATTTTTATTTATTTTTATTTATTTTTATTTATTTTTAATTATTTTTATTTATTTTTATTTATTTTTATTTATTTTTATTTATTTTTATTTATTTTTATTTATTTTTATTTATTTTTATTTATTTTTATTTATTTTTATTTATTTTTATTTATTTTTATTTTTTTTATTTTTAGTCATTTTTATCTATTTTTATTTGTTATTTAGTTTTAAGATACTCCTCATTTCCCCCCTTCTTAAAATGTGAAAGACCAAAATCCTTTAAATACGTCATTATTTACTAATAATGAGTAGCTATAATTCCAATTTTCAATTTCCTACCTTTAAAAAAGCGATATCCCCTTACGAACATTCCCCCCTCCCTGCCTTCCATTTATCCCCTTTCTTTCTTTCCTTTCTCCCCTTTCCCCCTTTTCCCCTTAAAATATGAAATTCCAAAATCCCAGAAACCCACCATTATTTATTTGTGATGAGTAGCTATAATTTCAATTTTCAAGTTCCTACCTTTAAAAAATCGATACTTTCACAGAAACGTTTAACCCCCGTTTCCCCACTTTAAAATGTGAAAACCCTGAAACACGTCATTATTTATTTATGCTCAGTAGCTTTATTTCAAATATTTATGTTTCAATATCACTATTCAAATAATCACGACTGTGAAAAACAAAAACAAATCTATCCCACGGGAACCGTATATTTTTCCGGGATAAAAAGTCGCCTATGTACTATTCCAGACTGTAATCTATCTTTGTGCCAAATTTCATCCAGATCCGTTCAGCCGTTCTTGCGTGATTGAACAACAAACATCCATTCATCCATACATCCAAACGACCGAATAAACCAGTGAACTCTTTATTTATACCTTTCTAATGAGTTTTTTTATATAGCAATAGGCCGAGTTAACTTTTCTTTACGAAAAGTTAATTTCATCAAATTTTAAAAATATCTCAAAGACAAAAAATATAAGTAAATATGTATTTTCAACATAATAGAATAGTATCAAGTTTTAAAGACAGTGGAATTTTTGGGGCTAATAACGTTACCAAGCCTTTCGGCGATGTTGCATTAAGGGAACGTAATAACATTACTATACAACGTAATGAGAAGTTGTTGAGGGAAATCAAAACCTCGCAAAACTTCTATTTGTTATTTACCTAGTTAATCTACCTGTTATGTTAACACAACGTAATAAAGTAATTTGCTAAAATAGTATCCACGAGAAGTACCGTGAACATCACAATTCTGAATTCGGAACGTTTATGTTTATGTCAATTGTCACTTGTCAGTTTTTCTTGTCTTTTTTGATGGTTTATTTTTTGACTTCCAGAATTTATTTTACAAATAATTATTATTTATACATTCGAGTAGATTTGGTAAGGGTCCTCTATAAAATAGAAAACTATTTTCTAAACCATTATCTGGTTCAGATTACAATGCCTGATGTAAATTTATTATTTCATTCATTAGGTATACAAAATGGTTTAACTACAATAAAAACAAAGAATTGCAGATAAATCGTTGTAAACGAGAAGATAAACATTTAACCGAATGTCCAGTAAGTAACATTTTACACCAAATACTTATAAAAGGTAATTATACTTAATCGAACTAAAAATACATTTAAAAAATATTATATTTTACGTTTCCTTTGACATTCTAGGAATTTTAGAAGCAAAAGTAAATCTATAGGTACATGGTATGTCAGGTATATCAGAATTCAAGCAGTTCATTATCTTCAACAGGCTAGATGTGCCTGGAAATGTAATCATCAGTTCAATTGCAAACCCAGAAGAAAAGTTGAGAGAAATCATAGATGATGCTCTCTAGTATAATAGAATATCTTGCTAAAAAAAACGAGTTGTTTTTTATAAAATCTGAATATATGGAAATTAAGCAAAAATTTTGTAAAATTCAAACAAATTTCAATACACTAACACTGGTTGTTTTATTTAAAACAACAAAGTGAGGCATATTTTTTAATTTCTATATAATTTCCTTTAATAATAGTTGAACAATCAATTTCTTTTTTATTCAATGTAGGTATTGAGAAGTAAAATCTTTTTATATAAAAATATAATTTATGCTCTTCTAATAAATTGTCATAATTAGGTTACATTACAGCATTTTATAAATATCTATACAAAACAAGTTAAAAGGCTTGATTTAAAAAAGATGATATATATCCGCGTCTAGAGGTAAGAAATCAGGGAACTTGGCTATCCTCTAATGTGCTAGATGGGAGTCGTTCCATTACCATAGTCGTCCCATTAGGCGGGTTTTCGGAAGTTGACTTGCATCGAATATTTTTGTTAATCATAAAAGTGGAGGCCGAAATAAGGGATTAGATCATGGCCGTTTTGGTGGAAAATAGCTCACATTACAATAATGTCACTGACCTGTTTGATTGAAATGATACTTAATTTGTCATAAAAATCACTAAGAATTACTATTTTCATTCCATTTTTTGTTACCAGATCATGTAGGATATGGGTATTGTTTAAATAGTTCTATTAGAAATTATGTAGGTAACTTTTCTAGGTATGGATGTAATGTTAAATAGTAGTGACGAATATTAATTTCCAGCTAACATAAAATGTACATTTTCTGAAAAATTATTATTTTTTTTTGGAAAATTCGCCTCCGTAACACCATTATTATGTTAATTTAGTTTTAAATAAAATATTTATACAATACTTGATACTTCTTAATCGTTACTTACTAAATTTTCCTGTCCCTGAAAAGCAAAAATGTAAGCAGATCAAACATGAAAATAAAAAGTAAGGAGATGTACTATCAAAAATCCAACAAAAATGATAAAAGAGTGATAGTCAAAAAATTCACGTTTTTTTTTTAAATGGGTGTAAGTAAAGTGTTAAATAAAAACAAATGAAAACACAAGTTTTTTTCAGTACAAATTGTTTCAAAGTTTTTATGACCTTTTATATGGAAACTATTGTATATTGTTCTCATGGCTTATAGTCATTGAATGAACAAAAAATAAAAAAGATAAGTTCAATATCATGACTTACAGTAAAATAAAAGTATTGTTTCATTCTTAAATCCTAATTTTTAGTGTGGATAAACAAATTACTTTTAACACAAGGAAAATATCAATATCCAATTGTACCTTATAAGCTACTATTTACAGTTTTCATTCTGCTGTAACATGAAAGAAATAACATCACGAATAATCTATGTTGTATTTAAGAATTTTCTATATATCATTGTAATCAAAAAATCATCAAAAAACTAAAAAGTTTTCTTGCTACATCAGAAGTAGGAAAAGCGTTTTTTTTCTTCAAAATTTACCAAATATTATTTGTTATAACTCCGAAAAATGTTATTTGATATTTTTAAAGATGTTTGAATTTAAAACATACTTACTGTTTCGTTTCCTGCAGCTGTAACTAATTCCTGCAAAGCACGTACTGATAGGGCCTGTTCTATTACAAAAACACATTGGGAAAGGTCTGGTGGTATATTCTAAAACGACAGTATAAAAATATTGAATTAAAATCAGCAATTTTCTGTATTAATTGTATTAAAGGTTAATTTTCAAAAAATAAGTACATAGTTTGTAAAAACTTTAAAACAATAACGACTATTGTCATAATGAATAAAAATGGATGTCCATAACAGCTTGCCCATGTAACATAATATTTTATTTTCAGGTACAGAAATCTAAATGCGGATCCTCTATTTTACAATGAATTAGACAAGGTATAATAGAACTATGCGTGAAACAACTGCCTTGCACACAGTACGTACGACTTCCTCCTCACTCTTCCTTACGCTAGTTTCTAATAGATTTGGCTAGGATGGTTCGCGTTTAAATTTCCTTACCTATAGGCATATGGGCTGATGAAAAAACCATAAATTAAGTAAACCACATAAGAGCAAGCCGAACAGCTTGAAAATTTGAAATTTCTTCTGAACTTTTATATTTGGTCCGATTTTTTTTTAAATTTTTAGTAAATACCAATAATAACAAAACTTATAAAGGAGAATCCTTGATTTTTTTTGTAAACCTTTGAAAAGTAATTTTTTTTAAATAAAATGTATAGTATTGACATTACAAATTAGTCAGACTAATTTATATTCGAAAAGTATTTATTTATTAAAAGGAACTTTAACAAGTATTAAAAGTAATTTTAAAAAACAGACTTGAAAATCGTGCAGATGCCATCACCACATCTTGACCAAATTTATATGGGACCACCTTTGAGGTAATCCTTTACTAACAAAAAAAAATCATAGAAATCGGACAAGGTAGTAAAGAATTATCGATAAACATACATAAAAATAAAAGAGTTTGAGGATTTTCTCATCTCAATAATTAGATTTTGACCAAATTTATATGGGACCACCCCTGAAGTACCCCCTTTTCTAACAAAAAAAGAATCATTGAAATCGGACACCGCGTTAAAGAATTATCACTGAAAATACATAAAAAAATATTACTACGAATTGAGATCCTCCTCCTTTTTTGAAGACGGTTAAAAATACATGTACGTGCCATTCTGTATTAAATCTATGAAAATTTGCTGCTTTTTGTTTTAATAAATATCTAGTAGTTATTAAATGGGAGGGTTTCCCACCTTTTTTCTTAAATGTCTCTCTAGAGTGCTGCCTTATCGTTGCACAAATTTAAAGCAGAAGTATTCCCAGTGGCGGGCTTATAAATACAATTTTATATTTGAAAATACTCACAACATTTTTGCTTTTCGCGAGAGGTCTGGTTTGCTCTTAATACAAAAACACTACAAATTTAGTATTAATATAGCAGGGGCAGAAGTTGGAAAGACTTTATAAATTGACAGTTTTGCGAAGGATCTAACTGAAGTGGACGCGATATATTGGCGTACAAAATTATTTTATAGATGTTAATATCAATAGAATTATGATTTGGATATTATAATACATGTTTAATAATTATTTATAGTTCATAAATACATGCGATTGTCCGGTTCCGCCGGTAATAATTTAAAATTACTTATTCTATGAAACGATACTGGCGTGGTTTAACGTTTACCACCTCTCTACCAACCAACTTCTGCCCCTACTATAGAACCCAATTAAAAATATATATAAAAAATAATATTTTTGCTTTTACTAGATATCTATCCAAGTAATAACAACTGGTTACTATAGAATAACTATAAATTTAGTATTTGAACCCAACTAAAATTTGGCAGTGTTGTTTCTACATTCTTTGGGACGCCACTGAACTTAATAATTTTCATCCAGTTGGGGCTAAATTGGTCCCTTATTACTTTAAACAACAATCGGGTAAAGGATATTAATGATATTTATAAAAACTGATTTAAAAAAAAGTTGATTCTCCGAACGCATATGTTTATGTTTTCTTACGCAGAATCGCCCCTAAAAATATTGGAACTTAATTTCACAGATTCTAAATTAAAATTTCCTATATTTACCATTTTTGTGTGTTTTTTCGAACTTTAGACTAATATAACTATTATGGCAACCATTTAATACAACAGCGACAAAAATCAATAAGAGTGTAATGGTCAAAAAGACATTTTTTCATTAATTTCCAAAGTGCTTGGTCCGTGATGCTGCCAATTACTTTTCCAAAGGGCTTGGTGGTGAAGCACTTTTGTCGAGTGCTTTGCCCAGTTCTGTTTGAAACTACTAGTGATCAATATGATATGTATATATGATCGAAATGGTATAAGATCGGAAGCATTATATCATGAAATTAGTTGCAAATCGTAATGGCTCGAGGTCGTACAGGTTAGGTAAATTAATTGTTTTTTATTTTTCTCATTGTGTATAATTTTTCTGCGAAGCAAACTGCGATGGATTCAGGCCGTACAGGTTAGGTACATTAGTTATTTTTTTTTTAATTATATTACTAGGAAAATCTTTCTCAGTTTTATGAAAATACAACTAGAAGACTATTTTTTCTTTATTGCAGCGCTTTTCCCTTTCGTAAATCTGGCAACCCTAGGTACAAAGTTTTACAGATAAGCAGAAGAGTTTTCGATACAACCTATTGATCAGCAGTTGGCTTATTCAGACTTCGTCACTACTATATATACACCAGCTAAATTGGTGAACAAATCAATATAACGTGCTTTAGATGTTACTTGGGTTGTTAATCATGTGCTTCTTATGGGCGTTTCCAACTCCAATTATGATTTTTCTCGATGACTCCGTTATTTTTAGAAAAGGTATATTACTATGTTGGACCACTTTATGTTTAAAGCACGTTAAACCGAAACCTTACGTTCTATAATGCGTTGGAATCAGTGGCGGCTCGTAACTAAAATTTTGGGGGTTTACAGTGATAGAATATATATAGATATCAGTATAGATATATATAAAAAACTTTCAGTGTTTTAAGAAATTTATAATATACCTTTCTAAAACATTGACAGTTTTTTACCTACATCTGTACCGAGATCTATATTCTGCTACTGTGAACCCCCAAAATTTTGATCACGAGCCGCCCCATGGTTGGAATAAACCTAATATTTAGAAAAATCTCCTGAAGAGATTCACACTGAATCTACATGTCCAAAAAAATCCAGGCTCTGAGTCTTTATAGTCTAATCCAATTGTTAAAAAACACGTTAGGTACTTTTTCATAAAATTCAATTTGTTTTGCATATTGCAAAGTTTTTCTACAATGTAATCGATGATTGGAATCATTGTTCAAGGGTTCTGTCTTGATTTCATTAGTAACTTTCACTATTTATTAACAGGGGTCGCTGCAGTGTTGACCCAATTTTGAAATCTTTATTTTAAATTTCTATTTGATTTTAAAAATATTGACTAATCCATTAAATAGAGAGTAGTAATTTTAAAATTAAATTTAATAAAAAAAAAATAGTTAACGTTGTTGAGTAAAAAAAATATTAATATATTTTTTTTTTACAAGAATAAAAATTCCATTTGACAAAACAATAAAGACGAATATGAATAACTCAAATAATTATTAGAAACGTTTTCCATTAAAAGCGATAATATTATAGCTAATGGAAATTTTTAATTTTCAAAAAATGCGCACATTCAAAATGATTTTACTACCTTATCAGCAATATTTTCTAAGAAACAATGTCTGTTTCCAAATCCTTCGGCTGCTAAACAGACACGTTCTCCTGTTGCAGTACACGAAAGACATACCATGTCTTCCTAAAATCGTAAATTAAAACATTGTTTATTATTTATTTTCCTGCAGTATAACCTCAAACACTTACCGTTCGTAAGAACGAGACATCATCCTGTTCGGATCCCCCCTCGGCTTCTGCCATAGTGGGGGTTTATTTTTATCTAAAATTGATAATATTAAACATTAATACAAAAATATTATAGTTATAGGATTTTTAAAAATTGAATTTAAAAATTACGCGACATGGGAATGCAGTATAAGTGTCGCCAACTGAAATTACCCCGAAAATAATCAGCTCCTTAAATTTAAATATCCCCAAAGGGGCTAAATTGGTTGCATAACGATTTTCGAAATTTAAATTATGTAATAAAATTTAAACTTATTTTTATCAAATCGTAATTTGGAAGACTTGAAAAGAAAGATAGGTTATATATTATTTATTTTTAACCGGCTGATATTTTATTCTGCGCTGTTGATTTCTGAAACTCCATTTCCGCCGAGAAAGTTAAAAAAAAAATGTTCTCGGAATGTAAGGTATTTGCAAACAAGATTTGCCGTTTTCAGCAAAATGGGATCACGGGTAAGTTATCAAAATATTTTTAGACGACTATTTATTTATACTGCATTTGTTTATATAACACAATATTAAACGTGTAAAAATAAATTGATATAAATCCTAGAAAGGTACTTACTTTTTGCAAATTTTTACATTAATTTTATATCCACACAGCAACAAAATTTTGTTCGACTGATAGACCTGTTCTATTTTTAAAACAGCTGAGAAAGTTGTATTTTTAGAAACCAGCCAAATTAAAATTAGAAAATTATTAATGTTATATGTTGCGACTTTTATATATTTGGAAATAATTTAATTACAATAACATTTTCAGTCATTGTAGAAAAATGTGTAGGTACCTAAATTAATTTTGTAAATACCTACCTACAGTGGGCAAAAATTATGATAAGGTAATTTTTAAAAACAACAAGTATTTCGGGATTCATAGACAAGGAAATAAGTGTTATGGAAATTAGGTCTTGTGGAATGCGGAATTTTATTGTTCACAATAAAAAATATTGTGATAGGTCTAAAAAATCTGTATTGATTTGCCATGAAAAGATTTATCAATAGTTTCTAAATTCAATTCGAACTATAAATAGTGCGGCGTTTGGCTCTTATGGACGATTTTATGCATAGATACACGGATCGTATTAAAAAATAGCCAAGTTCAAATAGTGGAATGGTTATGGATTATTGTATTCGTACATCTAAAAGTATATTATTTTCAGAATTTATAATTTTTCTCTTTCGATTTTAATTAATTAGTTTAACAAAAATGATTTACCATGTTTAAATAAAAAACTACTAAAAATATTAAGTTTGGGATATTTACTCGCTCATGTAAAGTCCGCTCGGATAGAGAAGAACCATATTACGTCACGTTAATCAAATGTTACTTACATAAAGATGATTTGCAAAAAATGTTTCTAAGGCCGCCAAAAACAGAGATACAAGACGAGTCATATATTATTCGCGATTTGCGATTCAAATTTTCCCGCGCTGTGTAAATAGGCAAAACACTCCACTATTGTCATATGGATTAATTTATTTGTAATAGAATTTTGAACCATTAGGTAAAGAAATTAATTACTAAATATTAATCAAAATAATAGATTAATCTTTTATAATCAATTAATCAAAATAATCGATTAATCGAAAATAAACGATTAATCGAAAATAATAGATCAATCGAAAATAATCTGTTAATCGAAAATAATCGATTATTTTGCCCACTCCTAAGAAGTATGATCCATCATTAAAAAGGTAATTTAATAGAAAATTCCACACCTGTAATTTTGAACCAATCAAAATACGTGTTTTTGACAGATCACCATGACAACGGAGGTATTTTAGTGGAAATTTTTTTCTCGTGGGGTACCCAACAGCGAATTATACTGGAAATTTTTTGACGTTTACAATAACAGACCATTTTTGACAGACTGGTTTTTATTTGTTCACATAATAGGTTTAGTTTTGATACATTTTAGTTACAAAGCTAAGGTGTTTTCTATATTCTTCGGCCACTTCTTTTCTTCTTAATGGCGAAAATGCAGGACTTTGGATGCTTTGAATTATGTGTCTATGTCTAATAAAATATATATAATATTTAGACACTAATTTATTCACCTTTTTCCCATTCAGCACTTTGAATTTTGCGTAGTTTAGGTGCAAATATTCGTGGACAATTCGGAACAAATTTTCGTTTTTCAAGTTGGAGCCACAATCCTCTATTAATCCGAGTAAGTAAGTCATGGTGCGATGATTGATCATTACATCAGACAATTTCACGCATATTTTGCATAGCGTATGATTTTCAAATCGATTCATTTTTAAACAAATAGGTAATTTTGTTGGTTTTACTTGCTGTGCAATATTCTTTATCGCAACAAAACGCGAGTTATTTAATGTTTTGAACTGTCAAAATACAATGATCACAGCCTCCTACGATTGATGCTTGCTGACGCTGGTTATGAATTTCATACCATTTTAAAGCGCTCATAACGCATGTTAATAAAAACGCAGAAAAAAAATTTTCTACCACTTGTAGTTATTCAAAACTTACGTAAAATTAAAGAATATACTATTTTCTATTTTCAAATGGTATTCCCATGCAACTACAATGAGTAGAAATAAGCAATTTGAAGGCCTAAATAATTGCAGCCAAAGCTATGACGCGTTGTGAATCTTCATGCAGCTTTCCGAAAAACCTCTAAAATTATAATTTTCTACCACTTGTAGTAAGCTGATGTAACTATAAAATAAAAGAATATTACATTTTTCGTTCCCAAATGGCACTTTTGAGGTACTACAATCGGTAGAAATCAACAGTTTATAGGGTCCATTGGTGTAAAGACAAACCGAATATTATTATGTACCTAAAAACTGTTCCTGTACGTATGTATCTATACAAAAATAATATTTTTTTCGTTTTCTACCACTTGTAGTAGCCCGAAGTAAATAAAAAATCAGAGAATGTAATATTTCATCATAAAACTGCAGTACTGTATAACTACAATGAGTAGAAAACAATATACCTTGATTAAAGGGCAGGCTGAGAAACCATTACCGAAATTGCAAAGCACATTAAATTAAATTTGATAAAATTATAACTTTCTAACACTTGTAGTAATCCAAAATTGATATAAAATATAAAAATATATTGTTACGCTTTAGGTTGCCATTTTCATGCAACTACAATGAGTAAAAATTTCAGAATTATCGCAGGTTTTTAACCATAGACCTAGAGGATGTTATCGAAATTTGTATTTGCCTAGCTGGGTTTCCAGGAGTTGAAAAATAATAGAATTTTAGTTTTTTATTTTATAATATGAATACGGTTACAATTGATAACACTTAAATCTAATTATTTATATTATTTGGACTATTGTAATTATTATTTATGTGGAAAACGCAATTATTATAAACTATGGAAGGTTGCTTGGAAGTAGTTGCTGGTTCTTGATTCAGAGATTCTTGAATCGTCTTTGCCGAAGTTGAAGCAGACCTCTTTGCATCAATTATTTCCTGATGATGTGCCGAATCTATTTGCAGATATGGTTTTATTGAGTGACTGCTACCATGACCGGTTATTTTAATCAATTGCTGTTCTCCAATTCCAGTTTTGGCTAAAGTTGAAACAGCAGTAGCCCTTGCAGAATGATTAGTTATTTTGATCTTTTTAACATCAATTCCAATCAATGATGCAGCGGATTTGAACCAGGAAGATATTGTATTCTGTCCAATGGACTGTTTTTGTACCAGCCTTTGGAACTGGGATTCTCCCAGTTTGGATTCGGCGTCAAAAATAGACGCTTCGTTTTGATAGGATCTCGCTTGCTTGTTAGTTTTTTGAACAGTCTCACTGGGCATATTTCTTCGTTGAGGGTATTCGGTACTAACCACTTACTGTCAGCTAATTTCTTTGAACCGCCTTGGGTGGTCTTGGAGAAAACCGGGTTATACTCAATGCGGCCTGTTGGTTCTCCTCTATTGTCAATTTCCTCCACAAAATATTCTAGTTGTGCTGCCGCTCCTTCATTTCCTCTCCAGGCCAATTCATGAGCAACAACGTAAAAAAACTTTTTCTGCAGTCCTTCCGGAGTGTTTTCGTCCCAAATCTCAATGATTTTTCTCAGCTCGTCTGTTGATAGTGCAGATGAACTTTCCTTTCTCTTGCTTGGATCCATTTGTAGCTTCCGGCGCTTAGCATTTTTTGCAGCTCTTGCATTCAAAAATTCTATGTCAGAGAATGGATTGAATTTGCGATTATATTTTTCAAAAAAATATTCCTGCAACTGCTTATAGCTGTGGAATTCCATAAAACTTTGATGACACTCTCCTTGTAATCTTCAGAATTCTTTTTTCGCATGTTGAACCCATAATCTTCAAGAATAAGCGCCAGTTCTTCCACAGGTATATCCGCTCTATCGAAATTATATGATTTTTCTGCGCAAAAGTTTGTAAACTGCCGCCATACGCTTGACTTCGATTTTCTGGTATTCGCGGGTGTCAACTGCTCAATCTCCTGACGAATATTTTCTTTGCTTTCTTGACCGAAGCGAAACATTTTTTTACGTCGGGCCGCTTGACAACTTCAAAACTGAAATTATATTCGAGGTTAGCAGGGTCTCACTTAGTTACCATGACAACTCAACAATCAAGGCGACAACACCTTTTATGTTTCACTGGTGACTTGGAGAAAATAATTTGCATTGTTGAGAAACGAAAAATAAATTTTAAAAATATTTAATTTTCAACCATAATTCGGCGTGGAATTTTCTTACCGAATACCACGCGAGGTCAAATTAATATCAGGAAATTTTTTCTCGCTCATGAATATTTTTCAAAATATTCATGAGCTCGAAAAAATTTCCGGAAATAATTTGACCTCTAGTGGTATTACTAGTGAAAATTCGGCAATAAGACTGACTATTCATTGCGTTATTTTTAAAAGATTGAAGGACTTACCTTAAGGAAGTTCGATCATAATTATAAGAACTTGTCTGTTTTCCAATATATAAGACTTGGTAGTTTATTGTCGTTTAGTAAAGTGCCACAACGTTTAAAGAAAATTTTGAGTCTCCCGGTATATCTGCAAATCCCAGTGCCTGCGATCCAACGATCGCTAATCATTATGTGAGTTGTTGAGGATCGCCATCAGGGGTGGAAGATAAATATACAAGGCTGAAAAGTGCAACTTTTGGCTGGCGATGGTAAGTTATATATTGGAAAACGGACAAGTTCATGTAATTATGATCGAACTTCCTTAAGGTAAGTCGTTCAATCTTTTAATTATATTTCACTTGTTTGTTTTCCAATATATAACACTTGGTAGTTGTTTAGAGAATTGGCGATCTGAAGATAGGTGGTACATAACACTAAGAAAGAAAAGGTAAGTATGTGTTTTATTATTATTTTATTAGTACCAAATAATTTGTGTAATATATAAATGTGCAATATATAAATGTGTAATATATAAATGTGCAATATATAAATGTGTAATATAAATGTAAATAATAAATATACTATTTTTTAAACCAATATATGTATATATGCGAATTAAAAATATTTCAAGAAACATTAGTTATAAATGTACGTAAATAAATCTATTGTTTAAACGAATATACGAAAATAAAGAAAGATAATATTTAAAGAAACAAAAAACATTTTAATATTGTACCAAATTTTTCCTATCTACAATTATTTCTTTGTAAGTGATAGCACCGCTTGTCCAAATATTGGCTCAATAGTTCGGTTATAGAATTTAT